CCCCGGAGGGGCTGGAGCTGCCCTCCTCGCTGATGGACTCCCCCCAAGAGAAGTTCTACCCCGACACCTCCTTCCAGGAGGACGAAGACTACCGCGACTTCGATTACTCCGGCCCTCCGCCCTCGGCCCTGATGAACCTGGAGAAGCAGCCGGCCAAGTCCATCCTCAAGTTGGGGAAGCTCTGCGACCCCTCGGAGTACCCCACGGGGATGTCCAGCTACCGGCAGAGGCCCTCGGGGTTCGGCCTGAAGGCCCCTTTCGGCCAGCCCAGGCGGCCTCTCCACGACCAGAGCGACGGCTGTGACCCGCTGCCCTCCTCGGGAATCTACGGCAGCTACAGCCTGCGGGGAAACGACTCAGGCTCGGATGCCTCCCCCACACCCAGCAAGAACGACGCCTTCTTCCCGCCGGATTCCAACCACAGCAGCCTGCCTCCGTCCGGGCAGCAGCCGCACTCGGGGCTACTGCAGAAGCCGTACCCCGACTCCCCCCACGGGGCTCCCCAGAGGTCCCTTTTCTCGCCCCAAAATGCCCTTGTGAGCCCCACCGGCCGGCTGCCCACCTCGAACGTGGAGAAGTCTGTCCTCTCAGCCATCTCGGCCACCTCAACCATGGAGTTCAAGAATATGCTCAAAAACGCCTCCCGGAAGCCCTCCGAGGAGGGCAAGCACTTCGGCCAGGGGCCCAAAGGGGGCGCCAGCGACCTCCCCGGCCTTTCTCCAGGAGGGGGGGACCCGCAGAAGCAGCCGGAGGAGCACTTCCGGATCGAGACCAGGGTCTCCTCCTCCTGCTTAGACCTGCCCGACAGCACCGAGGAGAAGGGGGCGCCCATCGAGACGTTGGGCTACCACAACACGGCTGTCCGGGGGATGTCCGGGGAGCCCATCCAGACGGTGGAATCCATCCGCCTCTTGGGGACGGGCGGCCGAGGGCACGGGCGAGAGGCCTCCCGCCCAGGCTGGTTTGAGATGAGCGGTGCAGGCAGCTCCTTCGACCGCGGCCCCTCAGGCGCGACGGAGATGCCCCCCCTGGGGTCTGGTGGGGGCGCTGGGGGCGTATCGAGTTTCCAGAGCCAGTACAAGGACCGGCTGGGCTCGTTCCAGGAGAGCGTCGGCAACTTCCGAGCCGGGGGCTTCGCCGCCCCCTTTGATCGTCACGTCCCACCGCCCCCCCTGGAGCACGGGGCTTCCTTCCCCAGAGACCAGCTGGGGCCACCCCCCTCGGGCCCTCAGCCGCTTCCACCCAAGGAGCTCAGCACCCTCTTCGCGAGGGACCACTCGGTGCCCCCGCCACGGATGCCAGCGGTGGATCGCGCCAGCCCCTTCTCGAAGGAGGCGTCCTCCCCGCTGACCTTGCCTCGTGGGGTGCCTCCTCCCCCACCCCCGCCTCTCGAACGGAGTGGGGTGTCGTTTCCCACCCAGCCGCCCCCTCCTCTCCCGGTGGAACACGGGGGGGTCCGCCCGTTCTCTAACCCTCCGCCCACCCCCGGAGACCTCGGCCTCCCCTTCCCGGCTCCCCCCATGGCCTCCGAGCATGGGGCCCTGCACCAAGGAACGATGAAGGAGCATTTTAGCCTGCCGCCAGGAGCCCCCCGGGATCCGGGGGCCCAACCTCAGTGCGATCACAGCGGTCAGCCCCTCGGCCGGGCTCGAGACGGCCTGGGCATAGCCGCCCTTGCCCGAGACGGCCTGGGCTCCGGCCTGTCCGTGGGCCCCTCGGTGCCCGCTCAGCGGAACGGCACAAACCGAGGTGGGCTGGGGCTGAGGAACCAGCGGCCGGATTTTAGGCCCCGGGAATTCTTCTTAAACCGAGACCCCTTTAACAGCCTGAAAAGGCCCCGGCCCCCCTTTGCCCGGGGCCCTCCCTTCTTCGTCCCCAAACGCCCCTTCTTCCCCCCCAGGTACTGAGTGAAGGTGTGTCCGAACTCTCTCGAGCAATGCAGGAGGCGCTTCCGCCCCCCCCTCTCACTTTGGCCCCCTGCCCAGACCGAACGGGCCCCGCGGCTGGAGGGAAGTCCTCTGCCGCGATATATATATATAGATATATATATATATATAGATATATATTTTGTTCTGTTCGTTTCTTGACTTTTTTTTCCTCCGTAATTGGCCTCCATAGAGGGGAAAGGAAGCTTGCCTTTTTGTTTTTTCTTCCTGCAAAAATAATTTTAAAAGTTAAAGCGGTTGTTGAAAATAAAAGCTTTCCAAACTGACTAAATTAAAGTAAAATGGGATTTCTTTTTAAAATTGGAGCTCCTACAAAAAGTGGGATTTAAGCAAAGGTCCCGCTCTATAAATGTTCAAGTAAGCAGGAAGGGAGGAGCCCCCCATCCCCTCACGCCCCTTTTCTCCTGCCTCCGTTTTCCTCTTGTTGGTTTCTGCTGCTGCTGTTCCTTTTGCCCCCTCCCTCGTCTTCACTGGGGCCATGGGAGGAGGCTCTGCCCGTCTGTCTCCCTCTCTCCAGCTAATCTTTCTTTCTTCTTTTTTTTTTTTTTTGCAGTCTTTTAGGTTTTTAAGCGTTCTCACGCACGTCTCTGATCACTGAGGACCAGAATTCTCTGATGGACTCAATTGCTTTTGCCTGGGTCTAGAGCCAGGAGACCAGTGTGGAAGGTGGGCAGTAGCCAGACCCTCCTCTGTCTTTTCCTGGGGTGATAGGGCTTGTGGGAGCTGAAGGGAGGGGAGGGGGCAGTGCGGGGAAGGTCCTGTGAGGCAAACCCTGAACTCTGTTGCTCTTCACCTCCAGAAACGTTAGGCGTGGGTTGCCTTCAGTCAAGAGGCTGAAGCTGCTGATTGGGAATGATCCCAGATCCCCAAGGAATCTCTTTCCCTCTTTGCAGGGGACCAAGAAGCATGTCCTCTAGAGCTGTTGTGTGCAGGTAGCAAGTCTTGTCTTTGAAAGGAAGGGTCCCTGCATGCACACCAGCCACCGTTCCCCTCAAAAGGCAGGCAGATGAATGTGCCCACTGAAGCATTCTTGGTTTGGCTCTCTGCTTTGTGTTTTAAAAAGAGCGTTTCTCCTCTCCTTTTGATTTTCTTTCTTTATGAAAAAAACAAACGTCAAATTCTCTTAATACTGTAACTTTTCCCTTTCCCTTTTAATCAACAGGAACCTGGTATTTTTTATAGTTCAGTTGTGCCACAGTGCACGTATATTTCAGCACTGGTGTTTACAAAAAGATGTACAATTTTGATACACTGAGTGGATTTCAGAATTCCTGGATTTACGTAGACACACTCTTTTTCCTGTTGTAAGCCTGAGCAATTCTTACATTGACTTATTTTTCCTTGAAAAAAAGCAATTTTCCGTTTGTTTCTCCTTGTATGAAGTCAGCTTCCCGTAGCCAATATTTTACAGTTGGTTCTGCTAAGTCAGACATCCAGAAGAATTGAACTCAGTTAAGGGTCTGGTTTCCCGTAGCAGTAAGGGATTGTTATTTATATGTAAATGTTTTGAGGTTTGTAGTAGGAAACAGATGAGTTTTTAGTTCGGTCCTAAGCTAATTTTACCTGTCTGTTGAACGAGTGCTTAGTATTCATCCCCTCCTCAGATAACAGGGTCTGGAGGTCCTGGGGGGGGGGCTTTGATCACTGGCTTTAGTTTATGTTTCTCCCCCCTAGTTTGGGCCTGATGTTTTCCTGGGAAAAAAGTTTCCTGTTTCCTTACACAGCTCAAGAAACCAGCAAGGTGGCTGATCTGTGCAGCTCTGCTTTACTGCATGACTGCTGTACTCCTGATATAAGCTTCAGCTTTAGTTCTGGGGGCTTTTGGTGGGGTGGGAAGGGGGGAGAGAAACTCACGCTGTAAATAACTCATCGAGGCTAAGGGGATTTCCTCCTTGGGTCCCAAGAGCCCCTCTCTTCACGGTTGGCATCTCGGCTTCTGGATGCCAACGGCTTTGTGCCAGGTGAGTGAAAGCTCTCCTCGGGGTGCCTCTTTTTTGGACCCTTTTTCTCTTGGCAGTTTTCTGGATCTGTGGGGCATGGTGGGTTCTTGTGACTTGGACCAGGTTAGTCCCAGGGGGCTGTGGGGCAACAGGGAGATCCAAAGGGCTCCTGGTTCTTAAAATCGCCACCAAAGATACTGGAACTTTTGAGCCATTGACAGGAGCAGAACGGAAAGAGCTGATAGCCAGTAAAAAAGACAAAATACTTAGTAAAGTATTTTCTTCTTCTTCTTTTCCTTTTGTTGCTTTCTTTTGGCCCCTGGTTCTGTGCTTTCACTTTAAATCATTCACAGTTAACGAACAGGCAGCAAATGTACCTAGTGTGCAGAGTAGCAAGACAAACCAAGTTTCTTTGGAAGGAGGACCTTTCCTGGTCTGGCTTGTTTTGCCTTTGCTTCAAGGTGTGGCCGGGAAAGGTGTGTGTGTGTGTGGGGGGGAAAGCTGGAGGGGCAGAGAACCGCCGTTGTCTCTGGGAAGGAGCCTTGAGGAGCAGAGGGTTGGGCCCAGCAGCAGCCTTTGAGCCCATCAGAGACAGGAGCTTTCAAGGGAGGTTTTATGATGGTGGGGGGAGTCCCCTTCCACCAAAGCAGGTCACTTTGGAGATCACATGAGGGGGGCTTGGACATCAGCAGAGCAGAGAGGTGTGCCTGCAGTGCAATCTTCAAACTGGGGGGGGGGGGTGTTCAGAGAATGAGCAAGCCCAGGTTTTGCCGCCCTTTGGAAAACGCTGTAAATACCATTGCTGTGCTTTTTATTTTTGTGCCTGTTTAAAGAGCTGGGTATTGTGTTGGCTTGACTTACTTTCCAGTGTTTTCTTGTGCCGGGGGGGGGGGGGTAGAAATGGGGAGGGAGACTCGAGAGGCTTTGTGGGAAACAGCAGTCTCTGCATTGTACATGAATACATTTAATAAAATGACTAGTTTGAAGGTTTTGATATTCTTCTTGTAAGTAAGCCTTCCCACAGGTCTCCAGTAGGTGCACAAGGCTCCCCCCCCCATGGCTGGAGAGCGGACCCTCCCCTCCCTCGCTTTGCAGAGGAGAATCCAAGCCGAAGGTTCCCCCGCCCGCCCGCTCGGAGCAGAGCCGCAGAGGCGCGAAGTGGCTGCGAGGCAGAGTGGGGGGAGCAGAGAGCCACTACCCCTGAAGGAAGACGCCTGGTTGGCCCACCACCACAAGGTCCACAGACACGTCTCCCAGGAAGCTTAGACTCTTCTGATTTGTGCACATGGTCCATAGTTTGGAAGGAGGCTTAGGAACGAAGCGAGGCGTATCCAAGGAGCCCTGATCGCCTCTGCCTTCCCTTATTTTTTTACTGTATACTAATAAAGTGTTCTTGACCTGGTGTGGCCTCCGTTCATAGAGCCTAAGGGACAGTATTCCTGTTGCCTGTGGTTCCCGAGGTCGGTTATAAGGCTGTCCAGGAACCGATCCTGCCTGTGCAGGTCAATTGCAGCTGTGCTTTGTGTTTGGATGTTGAAATAACCTGAACCATTTTTTTCCCCAGCCGGGCAGCCTCAAAGACTTACGAATCTATGTCCAAAATGCAGGCCAGCTCGCTCGCCTCTTGTTCTCACCTTCCTTAGCCTTTTCTGTTTCAACTATGTTGCTGTTATTTATTACTTTTTAATTTATTTACTAAAAACTGTCACTTTATCCTTAAGAACAAAAACATGATGGGCTAGAAGGGCCCACTGCTCGGCTCTTGGGTGGAGGGAAAGCAAAACCCAGCCAAAAAAGCCCCCCCCCACCTGCCTACATTGAGTGAGTGAGGAAATAGGTGGGTTGCAAGCTGTGACCACATCCATCTGCTCCCAAGTGCCAGGAGCGAGCTGGGGGCGTGGAAGGTGTTGTGTACGCTGGGTTGCAATTGTGTGTAACATCTGGCTTGTTATGGTTTGTATATTTGGGCCTTCATGGAGGGGTCGTTCTGGTGCCGAGTCTGCCACCCTTTTAAGGGAAACTCAAATTCAGACAGACAAACAGGCACTTGGTTTAAAATAATTGGGGCTGTGGCAGGAAGGTGAATCACTTACCTGAATCTGGATTTGCAACACAACAGCCCCATGTTTCCAGTTCAAGGCCGAAAAATGCCTCGAGATAGTTGTGTGTCGGTGCCTTTTCATCAGTCCTTTTCTGTGTTGAGAGCTGTTTTCGAGATTGTGCTCTGAGGCTGCAGATTCCATCCGAACATGTAGCCCTGCACCCTTGGCTGCCATCCTTGGATGGTTTTGGGGGGACCCAGGAATTCCTCTTAAGAGGATGGGAGTGCTGGATTCCTTTCCCTTGCTCCTCCTCCCCCCCGGACCCCATTTCAGGCACTCAAATACGAACAGCCAGAGAGACGGTACCTGGAGTATGGAAGCCGCCCATAGAATTCTCAAAAGTGTAGCTCAAGTTACTTGTGGAAAACACTGCCAAAAGTACAAAGGACAGGTGAGGAAGCAGCACAATCTCCACTGCATTTCCTTGAGTGGGTACTTTTTCTGCAGCCAAGATGCAGAACCGAGTGGCGAAAGAGCCGTTGAAGGCTTTTAATTTTGGGCATGGAATTGACTTAAGAATGGAAATTGGGTACCAGGGCTGGTGATCTGGGTAAGCTGCAAGCAGGATGCCTGTGGTGGTTCTCAATCATCCAGGCCACGGTTGTCCCAAAGGTGCTTTTCAAAAGCACCTTTGGGATAGGATCCAGGATAAGCTCTTAGAGGAGGCCTGCTTTGTTGCTTGGCCTCTGTTTTCCACCTCGGAGTGGGCAAAGCCAGGAGGCTGATGGCTGTGAATGCTTGTTTTGGCCCTGCCCTCGGCTTCCTTGAAGACAGGCTCTGGAAAACTGGCCAGGACTTGAAAGTGCCATCTGACTTGTAAACTGGCTGAGCACATTTAACTTTGAGCACCCCGTGTGCAAGCTACGTTCAGCTCTATTGCTGGGGCTGCTTCCATTTTGATTGGCCAAAGACAAGATTCCCTGGAGGAGCTCAAAATAATTCTGCTACTTCCAGAAAGTTGCTATAACATGCAAAAGTTCCAGTGAGCGAGTTGATGCCATTGGCTGACCTGGGTTAGTTTTAAGGGACTGGATGTTTTCCTGGCTTAATGTGTTGTGGGAACACAGCCTGTGTTCACATTAGCTGAAAGGGGAGCCTGTTGTATGAAGCCAGGAACTGCAGTGCAGGAGAAAATGATGGGGTGGAAGAAATTGTTGCTGAAGGCCATGAAAGCTATGGTTTTGAGCACAATTGTTTGGTAGTATTTTCTACTGATCTGCCAAGGTAACAAAAAGTGCAAATGGAAACCTTTGGAGGAGAACTAAGGAAAAAGCCCTCTGGAAGTTGGGAAAAATCCCAGGGCAAGGTTAGGCTTACTTGGAGGGAGCAGGCTGTGGCACCTCATTCCCATAGACTGTAGTTGGGCGTGAATGCATGGCAAAGCCCTGAGCTGCCCTCTCTCCCCTCTGCAGGGTTGTGGGTTGTGAGAGAAGAAGCAAAGGGCTCCTTTTTAAAGATGGATTACAGATGGGATTCAAGGCAAGGATTGTAACTGGGTGTAGGGGGAAGTCATTGAGGTGCTTCCTTTTCTCTATGTTGTCAGGAGGGGGGGAACGGAAGGCCTTGTGGCAGTGCCTTGAGATGCTGAGTTGGGATTTGTGATGGAGGCGCTTTGGAAATTGCTTGGCTGTGACTTGGCGTGGCAGAGTTTTTGTGGTGGCTGCCAATCCAGGGTGTGTGCACGCAGCACCCAGGGCTGCAATGTAATTAGCTTGATTTTGTGTAAATTGTGTAATTTCTGGCACAAATATGTGATAATTGTGTGATTAGGAAGATGTAACAGCCTCCACATCTACCTTGGCTTGCCTTTTTTCTCTTCCACTATCTCCTTTGATTGTGTGAATGGATTTGTAATGCCAACAGGATCTCTGCTTCATATCAAGTCTGTCATTCCTGGGTCTGCTTGTGCAAGTTACCTCTGTGTTCTTTTCCTTTTTTTTTTTTTTAGTTTATTGATTGGTCTCCCTACCTCATATTAAAGGCATCTGATTATTACTCTGTTTTTTTATGTCTGTTTGCCCTTGCCAGTTTGCAGTGAATAAGGGAAAGAAGACGCTGTTGTGGTTTCTAGTTGAGTCTTGTCTCCAAAGGCCCACTGAAGGAACTCTGTTCTTTGTGATAAACTGGGAGTAAACTGGTGGCTCAGTGGATGGACTGGTTCACCTCACGGATTCCATTTTCTCTTATTTATCTGTTTATTTAGAAAAGCCTTCGGGCACCTAAGGCCTAGCTCCCAAGAAAGCAATTGCATCGCCCCATTCTGCAGGGAGGGCCCTGTTGAGCTGAGATCTGCCCCAGGGGCAGATGTGGGATCGGGGACGGTGGCATTCAGGGATCTTTGGAACAAGCCTGAAAGGGGCCACTCTTTTTTTCATGGGCTTTAATATAATAAAAGGAGAAAGCAGGACAATAAGAAGCCAGCATTGATAGGAAGTCCGGGCTGAATCCTGATGATTGCAACTGGTGGAGGTCAAGAGAGGGAGGGGAGTTGTGCCTTGACTTTAATCCCCCCCCCTCAAAAGGGGAAGAGTCCAAAGGGCGCACAGGCTTCAGTTTAGCCTTTTGCAGCAAGATCCCTTTTCTCCCAGTGGAAGACTCTTTAGCCTAAATAAGTTAAAGCACTTTCGGGGCGGCGTTGAGGGTGTCATAAATTGCCTAAAAATATCTTTTGGGGGGGCGGGAGGCGGCAGCCAGAGCGAGCCTTTGGTATTGCTTCAAATGAAGCCGGAACTTTTGTTTCCTCGGGTTTTTGTTGCAGGAGGGGGAAGAAAACAAGAGCGTCCTTTCTTCCGGAGCTGGCGCGCGTGAGAGCCTATTGGCCGGCCGCGCGACCAATCCGCGTTCTCTTCCTCTTTGCACAGGGTGGGCCACGCCCACTCGCTGCCTGGCTTGCCGTCGCGTGTCCTGGTCGCCCCGGGAAGGACCCGCCGCTGCTTCTTTTTTTGCACGTGGGAACGCGGGACTTGAAACGGGTTTCCCGAGAGATGCGGCTCCTTCGCGTCTGGGAGAAGATCTGGGCGAGGAGGGGCGGCCTCCGCAGGGAATACACGGTCTGCTGCCTTTCTTGGTGGTTGCGCTTTACCCATCACTTTGTTTCGGGGTGCAGAGCAGTGTTGCTCTCCGTGCAATTTCTGTGCTTTAGATTCTCTAGTGTGTCTCTCGGGTCGCTGTTTATTTTGCGGAGCCCCCACCGCCCCCCACCTGTTTTTTTTTTTTTTTTAAGGAGGTGACAGGCAGGCATTCAACCGGGAAAGCTGGACCTGTAGGCTGTCTGGGTTTTTAAGGGTCGCTTTTAGCCTGGGCGTGCAGGGCTCCCCCACAAGGTGTATTCTTGGAGATGGGGATGGCAGGTGGCAGTTCCACTCTTTATTCTAATGTGTGCCTGATCTTCCTCTTCGTATTGTGGGTCTCACCGTGCGCCCCTCTGCTCTCTCTTTCCCTCCTTAGACAGCAGTTCTACCTTCCCATGTTGCGGAGCGTCTGGCGTTTTACCAGAGGCTGAAAGCTGCGGCAGACGAGCGCCAGGCTGAGCAAACCCTCCGGGAGAAAAGGCCAATCCTGGTTTCCTTGCCTGGCGGCCGAAGCATCCAGTGCGAATCATGGACTACCACCCCTTACCAGCTGGCCTTGCAGATCAGGTGACTCTGAAACAAGGAAGCAGGTCTTTGCAAAATGTTTCCTAAAAATAGATCCCCCAAATACTTTTCCTCATGGAGTGGCATTTATTTATTCCGGGCAAATGTTTTTTTTTAATCATTCATGGATCAAAATGAATCTAAACTCTCTCTTGTCCCCCAGCCAGAGTCTGGCCAAGGCCGTAGTGGCGGCACGGGTGAACGGAAGCCTTTACGACTTGGACCGTCCTCTGGAGAGTGACGCCACGTTGGAATTTGTGGATTTTGATTCTCAGGCCGGACAAGAGGTGAGGAGCAAGGGGGGAGCAGATTTCTTTGGGAAAGAGAAAAGGGGGTGCGGGTTGTGGGCTCAGTCTTCAGTTGGCAACGCTTCAGTCTGTCAAGAGCTTCTTTCCCCCCCCCCCCCAGGGGCGGGAAAAGGGTCCTTTTCCAGCTGAGCTCAGAAGGGCCACTTCCAAGAAAGCGGCATGTCTCTGTGGATGGAGGTGGCCCAGTGTTGCCCTGATGTGATCCTGCTAGTTCTGTCTGGGCAAAGGGTAACTCAGCAGGCCGACTCTGATCAGCACCCCAACCCTCTCCCTTTCTTCCTGAATTTCTTCCCAGCTCTTCTGGCATTCCAGCGCCCACCTCCTGGGCGAGGCTGCCGAGCACTTCTATGGTGCCCTGTTGTGCCATGGGCCCAGCACCGAGCAGGGCTTCTTCTATGACCTGTATTTGGATGAGGAACGGTAGGTGGGAACCTGGGGGGGGGGATTGGCGGGACTTTACTGGCCCCGAGAAGAGGTGGGGTCGCTTTGCTCACTGCGTTGGAGGAGTTGCTTTTGCTGTGTGTTCTGCACTGAGCAGGGGTTGGTCTAGATGGCCTCAGGGGTCATTTCTGGCTGCAGGATTTTGTAAATAAAAGGAATGGAAATTGTGTCATCCTTGCTCCTCAGCACATCTTGCCAGTCTTTTCTTAAGGTCTACCCTTCTCTTCAGGATGAAGTTGGCATGACAAAGTGGGCCAGGGCTTTCTGCCCTGTCAGTGCCCCCCACTGAGCTGACTCTGGCTCTTGGACCCCTCCTCTGCCCCTGTGCCCCACAGCAGCCCCTCTGGTGCCATTCACATCATTGAGGGAGCCTGTCATGCTTTTAATGCCCACTAGGTGTCCTTGCAGACTGTGCTGTGAGGTGGGAGTGGTTTCTCACTGCTTCTTGATTGGTTGGTGATTGGGTGGAAGAGTCCAGCAGGTGGCAGCATTGGCTGACTTGGATGGGGGACCACCAGGAGATCCCCAAGAAGGCACCCAAAGACCCTGGCAAAGAGGAGGAGGAACTGCTTCCCTATTGCGGTCGAGAAAAGTCTTCCTTTGATGGCTCAATTTCCCCCCCAGTTTTATTACAATCCCCCCCCCCAATCTTCCCATCCCAGCAATGTGTCCAGTAAAGACCTCCCGGCCCTGGAAGAGCTCTGCAAAGCCACCATCGCGGCCCAGGTGCCCTTTGAGCGGCTGGAGGTTTCCCGGGAGGATCTGCTGGAGCTCTTTAAGGTAGGATCCCATCAAGCCGGGGTTCCTGATGGGAGTTGTAGTCCATCCTCCTCAGAGGCTAAAGGTGGGAGAACGAAAGACAGCCTCAGGTTTGGGCCGGCATTAGCAGAGGTCAATTTTTGCATTCACTGTTGTTTTTTTGAGCCAAGAATGAAGGTTTTTAAATTGGGGGCAACTGCCAGGCGAAGCAATTCTGCCCATTTGGGCTTCCTGCCCTCCCACATTGAGGCTCTTCTCTGCTTTAATGGATGGATTTCAAAGCCTTTGACGGTGCCACCGCCAACGGCTGCTGCTTTCCCGCTGGAGTTTCCCTGCCCAAATTTTAATCCCGTAAATTAACATGTTTGGGGAGAGGAACAGGTTGCTCAAGATTTTCATTGACACATTTTTTGAAACGGGAACAAAGCTGCTTGGCCGCTACAGGATGTGAGGAGAGCTTGATGTCTGGAAGAGTAGCTTCCTCAAGCAGTTCTTAGTCACGGTATCCCCAGTAGAGCCTCTGTGGTCAGGAGCAGTATACCTCAAATACCGGTTGCTGCAGAGCTGGCTGGCTGTTTGGGGAAACAGGAAGTTGAGCGAAAGAGGCCGATGATCTGAACCAGCAGGATTGTTTACCACCAAAACAGCTTTGCTGCCAAGGGTGACTTACCCACAGTCTGCGGATGAGCCAGCATTTTTCAGAGGTTGAGTCAGAGAATTGCTTTGCCGTTTTATTTATTGTTTTTTTACAAATCATCCCTGGCGCCTCCGTCCACAACGCTGCTTACGATGACCGGCAGTAATAAAAATAACTGCTGAATTATCACAGAGTGAAGGTAAACCTGTAATTAAGGCACAATCAAAAAAAAAAACAATGCAGCGGTTAATTGTAACCTACTTTGGCAGGCCAAATGGCCTAATTTTAGACCTTTGTCTGTATCATAATGTCTTTCTCGCACAAGAGTGATGGAGAAGGATCGCACCTCACCTCTAGTGGCAGAAAGTTCCAAAGCCCCTGGAAACCTTTGGCAAGAGGTTGCTGACTGTGATTTATTTCAGTGCCTGTGGCTTTTCCAAAGTGGTGGCTCCCTTAAAAAACAGCAGGTTCCAGGGCGTCTTTCAGGCTGTTCTGATCATTTTTAGACAACTTAGAAGCCAGATTTGCTCCGAAGCGAGTCGTCCTTCTTTAAAATTGGGGAGGGTTTGATATTATTTACCCTGGAGCAGAGAGGATTTCTGTTCAACCTTTTATAAAATGAATGAGTGGGGAGGAGTCATAAATGTTCCCCCCAGATGTGGATCGGTTTCTCTTCCTGCCTTCCAGCACAACCGATTCAAATTGGATATCATTGGGCGGAGGGTGAAGTCTCCGACTGCCACGGTGTACAGGTGAGCCAGGCCTGCCTGAAGCTGTGGCAGGTGGGGAGGGGTGGGTGTGGCTGCCCAGTGGCCCCTCCCTAGATCTGCCGCTCCAGAGGCTTTCCCGGGCCTCTCTGGCCTCTGTTGGGCTTCCTCTCTGGATTGGCTCGCTTGCTGGGGTTACCGACAGGCCTGTGGCTTTGCAGTTGTGCCCTTCTTAGGGATATCTTCAGAAAATTGTGGATGGAGCCTGGGGAAGGCTGATGGGCATCGGTGTTTCCTCCACCTTGCAACCTTGCCCTGGATATCTAGAAGCACCCTGGCATATACTTTAGCAAATTCTGCCAGGGTATCAGCGTGTTTCTTCATGTGCTCATGAGGGCTAGAAACCCATGCAGTGTTTGGATGACTTATTTTTCAATGACAGCTGTTTTGCAATGGTGGCAACAGAGGCAGTTGTGCGTATTGCAGCAAACCGTCGAGGAACTCGACTGCCTTCCACGTGGCCTGATCCTGCTTCCTCTTTTCTGTGCGTAGGTGCGGGACGTTGGTCGACCTCTGCCAGGGGCCCCATCTTCGGCACAGTGGGGAGGTCCGAGCCCTGAAACTCCTCAAGGTTTGCACTCCCTCCGGGACGAAAGTAGTCGAGTGGTTTGCCATCACGTGCCGGGCGGATGGTTGAAATGTTCCAGGCCCTTCCTAGCTGCAAAGGGAATTTAGTTTAAAAGTATAGGAAAAAGTCACCTGTTTTTGTAAACAGCCCAGAGAGCTTCAGCTGTCAGGCCGTTTAAAACGCTCAATAAATAAGAATGCATTTAGTGTCCTAGTCCAGGGCTCTCCAAACTTGGCCAATTTAAGACTTGTGGACTTCAACTCCCAGAATTCCTCAACCAGTTCTATGGCTGGCTGCAGAATTCTGGGAGTTGAAGTCCACAAGTCTTAAAAGTGACCAATTCTGAGACCTTGGCATAAACCCTTCCAACATCCCTGAGACCAGTTTACGTAAGAGCAACTCCTGGGGCTTGTAAAGAGGCAGGACTTTCTTCCTTGCCCTCTGCAGTCTGCGTAGCCTCTAGTGACTTTCCTCATGCTGAAGCACAACGATGGGAACCGTAGTCCCTCCAATTGAGACTGGGCCTTTCCCCATCCTTCCTGGAGAATGCATTTGGGGGACCATGCTGTGGGTAAATCTGGGGCTGGCTGTGCAGCTGATGAAGCCAAGAGGGCAGGCCGGCCCCTGGCCAAGCTGGGACAGCCCCCGGGAGCCCCCTCAAAGCTGCCACCTGTCTTCCTCTGCAGAACGCTGCCACCTCCTGGCAAGGCAGACCCTCCGGAGAGCCTCTGCAGCGCATCTACGGCATCTCCTTCCCAAGCGCCCAGCAGTTGGCCGCTTGGGAGCGCGCCCAGGAAGAGGCTGCCCAGCGCGACCACCGGCGCATCGGGAAGGTGGGTGCCCATGGCGCAGACCTCACCCCTCTCCCTCCCTTCCCCCCAGCCTCTGGCCGTGCCCCAGGTGGCCTCCACGGGGAATGCCCCCCTGGGCCACGGAGAAACTCTGGGGGTGCCCAAGAACCTCTTTGCAAACCTCAGTGCTTCGTGGACCCTCCGGGGTGGTTTTGCACAGGATCACAATTCCCCAGCCGAAGTCTTGAAGAATAGCCATTTCCTGAGCTCTCTCTAGAACATAAGGACTAGAAACTTGGGGTGGTGTCTTCAAGCAAAAAAGGGGAGTTTTCATAAGATTCCTCGATTTCAGGAAGTGGCTTTTCCCAGTCCGGATTGAATTTAGGGTTGACGTTGAGCCGGGGGCGGGGATCTATTCTTGCCTGCTTTCTCAGTGGTGAATTTTGGAGATGAAACCCTTGCGGGGGCTCAGCTGCTTCGTCTTCCCGATTTCTCCCCAGGATCAGGAGCTTTTCTTCTTCCATCCGCTGAGTCCTGGGAGCTGCTTCTTCCTCCCCAAAGGGACTCATATCTACACCACCCTCATGGACTTCATCAAGGTGTGTGTCTGTGTGTGTCTGTGCGTCGTGTTGGATGGGACAAAATGCAGCAGAATCCCCCTAGGTGGGTGGGAGCATTGGAGGGGGACAATAAAATAACGCCCAGCCTGGTGGAGGGAAAAGGGGCCTGCTTGGCTGGTGCCTCCCCTCATCATCACCATTCGATTAAAAAGAAAGAAAGAAGTTGGCGTCTAATTGACGTCACTCAAGCGAGCGCATTTGTTTCCAGAGCGAGTACCTCAAGCGGGGCTTTTCCGAAGTGATCACCCCCAACATCTTCAACGCGAAGCTGTGGGAAGTCTCCGGTCACTGGGAGCACTACGGGGAGAACATGTTCTCCTTCCCCGTGGAAGACCAGATGTTCGCCCTCAAGCCCATGAATTGTCCCGGCCACTGGTGAGGTTCTTTTGGGGGGGGGGAGGGAGATTTAAGATCCAGGCACAAATCCAGGCCCCTGATAGGACCTGGAGATCCCACTGGCTTCTGGAATCGGGGAACGATGAGGCGGTTCCTTTTCTGGGGGCTGAGATCGTCCCTCTTTTGACAGCCTCATGTTCAGCCACCGGCCCCGATCCTGGCGGGAGCTGCCCCTGCGGCTGGCTGACTTCGGGGTGCTCCACCGCAACGAGGCCTCGGGGGCCCTGACGGGGCTGACGCGGGTCCGGCGCTTCCAGCAGGATGATGCCCACATCTTCTGTTCCATGGATCAGGTGGGGAAGCTGGTCGGGATGCCAGCGTGGCTGAACCGAGAGGTTTACTTCGCCCTGCTGAGCAATGCAGGGCTGGCACACCTAGTGCCCACTTGGGAGGGAATTACCCAGGCAAGCCCTTGAGAGTCCCCTCCCCCCCCTCTTCCCAATGCAGCTGGAGGGCGAGATCAGTGGCTGCCTGGATTTCCTGCAGGCCATCTACTCTGTCTTCGGATTCACTTTCCGCTTCTTCCTCTCCACGCGCCCCGAGCACTTTCTCGGGGACCCCCCTCTCTGGGACCAAGCCGAGCAGGTGAGCGTCCCCCCCTTTGGGGGCGAGGGGCCCAGGGGCCTCCCTCCAGCCCAGCTGCCGGGACAGAGAGCCAGTGTGCCGAGAGTGGGCTTGGGGGGGGAGCTTCGGTCCCCGCTTCCCGTGAAGGTGCCCTCTCTGAGGCTGGCACAGCCACCCTGCAGGTGGGTCTGTTTCCTTTTAAGGTGGGTCCTTTGGCTCAGCAAGGATCTGGGAAGTTCTGGGCTTCCCCACTGGCCCATGCCAGGGATGGGCCTTTCGCGTCTCCCCGCACTTGGCACCCGGGACGGTTCAGGACAGCCTCCCTCCCTGCCTGCTGCCTTCAGGAGGCTCCTAACGGCTCCCTCTTTCTCCCAGCTGCTGGAAAAGAGCCTCCGGGATTTTGGCTGGCCGTGGGAGCTCAACCCTGGGGACGGCGCCTTCTATGGGCCCAAGGTCAGTCGGGGTGGTCGGACAGCAGCCCTGCCCGAAGGGCTTAGGGCCAGCTAGAATCGGAAAATGGAGGTCATTTTGCCTGGGGGGGCTATTTTAACAGGTGACTCCCAGACGAGGGCTCCTCCTCCCCCACCCTCCCCCCCAGGGGAAGGGTGGAGAAGGGCGGCCAAAATGGCCCCTGCTCTGGGGGTTGCGAAGGGGAAATCGCCTTCGCCTTTTTCGCCGCTGCCTCGCCCTGCTGGCCCCTTTCGGACAGGCCCAGACAGGATTCAGAGAAAGCCGCTTCAGGCATGAATCACCGCGTGGGGACATCACCACCGAACTGTTTATGCTCTGGGCGTGGTCCCCCCAGGCCTGCTCTGCCCCCCCTGCAGGTTTACGGGTTACTCTGAGAGATCTCAGCCTCGTAAATCCCTGAGTGGTGACTTTGCCGGCTGGAAGGGCAGCAAGGGGCCAGCTGACTCCTTGACCCGGGTCCCACGCTCGGCATTCCTTTCCGCTGAATGGGTCTCCTCTAGCGCAGGAACCCCCTGGTGCTCCTCGGAGCCCCTTGATGCCAACCCCACGCAGGGCACAGGGGAGAGGCTTTATCTCTGGCCACGGAATTGGGTGGCTGTAGAGCCATATGCTGAATGAAGGCAAGTGGGCCAGGTTTCTAGTTCTCATGAATCCCAGTTTTACAGACCCCTCCCCTCCGAATTGCGTGACCTCCACGCAAAGCTTCTCGCGCCAAATCAATTCCCTGCCCAGGGAGGCAGAAACTGGGGAGCTGCTTCCTTTAAAAGGAGCAGTAGGTGTGAATTGCACAACTGGATTTCGACACCTGGATTCCGGAGCCCCCAGACGCTCAGGGCCTCTGTGCCGGGTAGCAAGCGAAGGGCGGCCCTGATTCTCCACCCAGTTCAACTTCTGTTATTTCAGTAGCCGTGGGGGAAGATGCTTCTTCAGGGCTGGGCTATCCTCCGATGCGGATGCCGCCTCCCGTCTCGTCCGGCTTAGCGGCAGCGGCAGAGTTTAGAAGCCAGAGGGCCCAATCCTCGGGGGGGGGGAATGCGGGACTAAATCTTTCTGTGGGTTTTTTCCCCACCTCGAGATTCCCGTGTCTTCTTAGCTGCCGGTCTGTCTCCTCGCAGCCCAACCGGTGGAGCTTCTATGAGCAGAGCAAAGCCAGTGGGCTTACTCAGTGGTGCTTCCTCTGGCTCTGCAGGTGGACATTCAGATCCAGGACGCTTTGGGCCGATACCACCAGTGTGCCACCATTCAGCTGGACTTCCAGATGCCACTTCGCTTTGACCTCTCCTTCAAAGGGTGAGGGCCCCTCCCAACAGCAGAGCTGGCCGGGCCCCCTCCCTCCCTCGCAAGGCCCAGGCTGGGAAAGTGTGGGGACCCCTCCCGGCGCAGGGGCTCTCTCCTTTGCAGAGCGGCCCCTCCCTTCATCCCCAAATCCTGTCTTTTTTCTCACTCCCCTATTTTTGGCTACCCCTCCAAAAACAAAGAACAGACATTGAGTTGTGCAGACTCCTAACTTCAGGGCTCGGGGCAAACGGCATGACGGGTACCCAGGCTGGCATCCAGCCTTGGAAGAAAGTGACCTTTTTCGTCAAATCTGTGGGTTCTTCTCCTTTTTTAAAAAAAGAAAGAAAGATGATCTAAATGTCAGCTCCAGCAGGCAGTCGGCCGTGACCGCAGAAGCTCTGCGTGACGCCTGCAGGGCCTCAGCGACGCAGGAGAGGCTGGCGCTTCCGTCAGACGGGGCCACGGAGCCCCAGTTCCCCTTTCCCCTTCCCTCCCTCGGCTGATGCCTCTGTGCCCCCTGACCACCCAGGGGAAGAGGAAGCGCCAAACAGGAATCCCGGGGAGGGAAAGGCAGAGGCCAGGGGGTGGCACCAGCCACGCCAGTCAGGCAAGCCAGAAGCCCCCCAGTGGGGCACCTCAAGGCCCAGCGTTGCCCTTCCGAAGGGCTGCAGTGGCTCGTTTTACAAACATTCACATTTGGGCCGAATTGCAGGGCGGCCCTTTGAGCCAAAGACCGTCTCAGCCCTCCAATGCAGGACGAGGTTTCTGCCCTCCCCCCCCCCGCCCCAGTCCTTTCAGCACGAGGGGCGAGCTGAGAGGGCCAGAACTGAGTTCAATGCGGCCGGTCTGCATGCCCATCTCGGCTCACGCTGGTCTTCATGAATAGAAACAGGACCTTCGCATTTTGCTCTCCCAACTTCCTAGTCCTTATGAAGGCAAAAGGGTGCTTCAGAGCACGATTCCCTTGAAGCCTGCCTGATGAGATTAACCCCTCTCTTCCCTGCAGCAGAGACGGTGGGGCCCCCGAGAGGCCGGTCCTGATCCACCGGGCGGTGCTCGGCTCCGTGGAGAGGATGCTGGCCATCCTGGCCGAGAACTACGGGGGCAAGTGGTGAGTGAGTCAGCCCCCCCCTGCTCTCTCCCTCTTGCCTGCGTTTCCCTACTTCCACTGAGCAAGGGGGGGGGCCTCTCAAGAGCCATAAAACGGGGTCTCCCCCAAGGGGGCAGGAATTAAACTCTGCTTCCAGTTGGGAGGAGGAGAAGGGCCCACCAAGCTTCTTGCTGGCTGCAGAGGTCTGGGGGAGCAGTGGGCTGGGGGGGGCTGCTGGGGTGGGAATGGCTGGAGGGGGTGTCCGGGCCAAGCCGTGTGCTCTGCTTCTCCCCCCCCCCACCAGGCCCTTCTGGCTGTCCCCCTCCCAAATCATGGTGATCCCGGTGGGCCCAGACGCAGAGGAGTATGCTGGCGAGGTGAGAGCCGAGTCCCCTCCCCAGTGGCTGAGCCAGGGAATTGGGGGGTGGGGTAGAAATCCCCAGGGTGTGTGTGTGTGTGTGTGTGTGTGTCTGAACTGGCTTTGCTGCACTCTCCTTCGGGCAGGTCCACCGGCTCTTCCACCAGCTGGGGTTCCAGACCAACCTGGATACCGACTCAGGAACGACCCTCAACCGCAAAATCCGGAGAGCCCAGCTGGCCCAGTACAACTTCCAGTTTGGTACATTGGCATCGCCTGGGGTGGGGGTGGGGGGGCTCTGCTCTGGGAGGGGGTGAGGGATAATGGCTAAACTGGGGCGGTTGGTGAAACGTGGCTGAGCTCAAAGGAGCCAGGAGGAGCTGGGCCAGCAGAACTCTGGAGATGACCAGGGGACCCATGGGGCTGGGCCAAAGGACCCCGGGCTCCCCCGAGCTCTCCGTGAGGGAGGTTTCCCCTTCTTGGGGAAATTCCAATTGCTCCTGCTTGGCTGGACGGGGATGTAAAGATTTGGCGATCTAGCAGGGAGAAATATAGACGTGGACTTGTCAAGTTTCTGGCCCTCGGGATTTTGTGAGCAGGCCTGCAGGTGCCGTAGTGATGGGTGCAGGGGGCTTATATGCTGTTTGGGCACTTCTGGCCAGGCGCTGATGGCTCCTTCTCCCCCCCCCCCCGCAGTGGTCGGCCAGAAGGAGATGACCCACCGCACCGTGAACATCCGCAGCCGTGACAACCACCGTCACGGCGAGAGGGATTTGCACGAGGTGCAGCACCGGCTGCGGGAGCTCCAGGAGACCCGGGTCAGAAACGCGGAGGAGCTCTTTTGAGCCAAAGGCAGCTCTCCTGCAGGGTCGGCGTGGCTGGTGTGCCCAAGGGGGGCCTCTGAGGCTTCCGTGCAGTGTTTTAAGGACCTAGTCTTCACCGAGGAGCATCAAGGCTGAGAAGCAGCCGCCCGAGGCTCAGGATCGACCACCATCAGGCACCTGACCTCCCTCCTTGCTGGCTGCTGTGGAGGTGCCCCCTCCCTCGGAGGGCAGCACAGCTTCCTGGAGCACCTGGTGCCACCTGGGCTGGGTCACCTGACAAGGCCGAGCTCAGCCGCCCTCTGGAGGTTCTCAGGAGCTCTGGGCCCGGCCCTCCCCACCTGCCCACCCGGTTCAATGCCGGAGGCATGTGTGGGTGTCCTGGGGGGAGGGGGCGAAAAAGCCTTTCTTGACCAGCAAAGGTCAAGTTACAGGTTAGCTCTGGAACCCCCCCTGCTCCCCTCTCCTGGGGATTCTTTGATGCACCTGCTGATAAGGGCTGAGCCCCGGATGTCCAAGAAGTGACGCAGGGGAAACTGGGGGGGGGGTGTCCTTCCCCCACCTGACTCACAAGCTCTCTCCCCCCCCCCTCGTTTAAGAGCTGGAAACTCTGCCATAATGCAGAGCCTGGGGAGGGGCCAGGTGGTGCAATTTGAGCGTCCTTCTGGAAAATGCATGGCATACGTGGGTGAAACTGAGCCTCTAAGTTGTGAGGCAGTTTACCTCCGTGTGCGGGGAACGCTTCCTGGAACAGGATGTGCTGGCCCGTCCGGAGGGGGACGTGGTGGCTTCTCCAGGCTCCAGTTGGGCCATCAGAGGGGACTCTGTTGGCCAGGGCTCAAAGCCCGGCGGGGGGGGCCTTTCATTTGTTTCGGAGGCTCAAAACAGCCCCCCAGGCCTGAGCAGAGACCGGCAGTCCCTGCACTGAGGCTCCCTAGCTCTCAGTGGGGCAAAGCACCTTCACTTGCAGTCTGGAAAAAGCTCCCCAAAGTCTCGTTCTCGTGTAGGCGAATGAAATAAACTCTCTTCAGTCTCTGCCGGTTTAATTCGCTTCCTTAATGGGGGGGACCCGCTGCTAGTCCTTTCGACATGGAGGGCTGAAACCCAGCACTCTGCCCACGCTCAGGAGGCTGCGGAATTTGGAGCCCCCTGCCTGCTGAATAGCCAATGGTGTGACTGTCCATCCCCAGCATGCCCAGTGTGCAGGCGGCTGGCTCTTTGCCCACTGAGCCGGGCAGAGGCCGTTCGCCTGGCAGTGGGTTCTCCCTTGAGGATCTTGTGCAGGGAAGCTAGACCCCCCCCTGTGACCCCTCCTTGGAAGAAGGGCTGCCCCAACTGTCCAAGGCCGAGCGGAGAGGTGGGGGCCCCGGGGCCAGGCCCCCACCTGGTGCCCAGCGCGTCTCCGTTCCACGTTTTCCCCCCCACTCACTGGCAGGAAGGGAGGTGCCACCTTTGCCCGTCTCTCTTGGGGAGGGGGCCATTCAGGATGGGGGGGTGGGCTTTCCATGACTAGCCACTTGTTTCTCAAGGAGCTGATGTGGCTGCGCAATATTTGTCTTTCATAACTGCTTCCCCCACCGCCTGGCTGCTCTCCAGGGAGGCAGGAGACTCATGTGAACGAAAAGTGACTGGGAGGCCTGTTGCAACCGGGCCCTCCCCTGACTGGTGGGGGGGCTCGGGTGGGGCTCCCTTGTGCAAGCGGCCCTGACACCCACGCACTCACCTGCCCCCCTGCGAGTGGCTTCCTTCAAAACAACAATGAGGACCAGGCTCTTGTCTGAGAAAGCCTTCCAACTTTCTCTCTCTCTCTCTCTCTTTCTCCCTCCCTCCCCTTTCAAAGCAGGCCTTCCCCCTCATGGCTGGCCCTTCTTCCCCCAGGGCTTCCCTGGCTGAATTTTAAGTGGCAGGACTGGGGGGGCAGGGGGGGCATGGACCTTTCCTTGCCAGGCTTGGCCTGTGCTGCACGTCCCAAACCCACCGAGGGACAATGACGGCTTTGTTCCTTCCTGCGCTGCTGGGTTACTCATCCTGGCACGGAGGTGCTGAGCTATCTTGAGACTCTGTGGCTCATTACGACACCCGCTTCTTGGAACATGAGGTGGGGCTGCTACTTCAGGCCCCGCAGCGTTCCTTTGACACCGACGATGAGAGGCAGGTGGCCTTGATTTCCCCAAGACACTCTGGACAGCCGAAAGGCTGGTATTTGCACTGGCAGAAGCGTCTGGTGGCCTGGGGACGCTCCTGGTAGACTGTTCTCCAGCCCAGGGTCAGGTGGGGTCACTTGACCCAGAAGGGTGCCAGGATAGCCAGCTTCAGGGACGCTGGAGAAAGCCATTCCGCCCCACAGCCCGGGTGTCCAGAGAAGGGGGAGGCCTGCTGGGGTCAGCGGGCAGATGGCATCAAGGCCCTGGCCCCACAGAGCCCCCCCCCTTGAGCCACCTAGGACACGGGGAGATTCCAGGCTGGGCTTGAATGAGCCAAGCGGGTCTGCTGAGATGGCAGCCTTGACCTGGGAAAAGGTGACCCCCAAACTGCCCTCTCCACTCAACAGCCGCTGCCGCTTGAGTGGTGGTGTGCCCAGGGCCAACAGTCTAAACAATACACAAAGTGAACAATTATTTTCCTGAAATGCTGATTTTAATCTCCCTTTTGTAATCAGCATCAGCAGAAGAAGAAAAAAAAGGGGGCTGCTGATTGCTCCAGGCCACTTTTCCACCAAGAGTTTTTTTATTATTATTTTTGACTAGTTTTTGGAGGTCCAGAGACGGGTATCTGTCTCCTGCCGGGGTCTTCAGTGAAAGGGGTTCCATTCACCCCCAAACTGTGCCTCCATCTTCTATAAAACCAAATCATAAGGGCAGTGAGAAATCCATGCTCATCAATCCAGTCTTAAGACTCTAATTAAATACAGTGAGACCGTTGCAACACTGGATGGGTAAAATTACCTCTTTGTTTCCTTACTTATGTCTCACGGTGACTTCCAGGTACTTCTCCAACCCTTCCCAAATTTTCACCCTCTTAAATTCAGAGAGAAAGTCAAGAGCTGGATACTTTCCCACAGTTACAGTTGATGTTTGTTTGCTTTTAACCCCGTCAGTTACTACAAATCACAAAAATATGTGACTACAAGTTGCCAAAACACGTCACCCTGTTTTGCTGTCACTCTAATCCCTGTTGAAACCATTTTGGTCTCTAAAGTTGGCTGTGAAGTTTCGGGGGCTGGTTGAGCTGGCCAGAGGGCCCCTCCCTGTCTCTAACGGGGGTGTAGGAGCCTTCAGCATTTGGGGTCCCCAAGGGGGTGGGCAGTTTCCCCAGAAGTGGCTTTGGATCTGGTGAGTCCGGCCCTTCTGACTTTGCGGTCACACGTCTCCCGTTGCCCACGCATGTCGCACATGCTCTCCGGCAAAGGCCCACCAGTTGGGGGGGGGGTGGGTTCGGGGGGGGGGGAGGACAAAACCCACCTGGTTGAGCAAGTGTCTGCGGTTTCAGCTGACACCATTTCAAAACTAAAACATCTGGAGAGGCCCATGATCCCACTTTTTTTTCCCCTAGAATTTTTCAGCCTGGTGCCAATTCTAAAAATGTTGCCAAGGAAACAGTAAGACTTTGTTCCAGGGCATCCAGGAGTAAAACACTGACTGAGCCCCCAAAATGATGCCTGGGGGGGGGGCTGGCACTCAAAAGGAGCAATTTTGTTACTCAGCATCTACCTTGTAAGGGATTTGTACTGGTCTATTATTATAGAAAACATAGCCTGGAGCAGGTAGCCCATTAGATTCTGCACCCTTAGCCAGGGGGAGAGGAAGCACCTGCAGCCCAGCAAACTGTGGGTTACTGTTAATCTTTTGAAAACAGGTCTTGGTAATCCAATAGATCCCGAGAGGCCACCGCAGTGGGAGGGAGAAACAGATCTCGTCCACACCTGACAATTTAGGGGTTGCCCCCTCAGAGGGAGCCTGGGCCAGGGGCAGCTCTTTCAGCCAAAGACCCCTTCCCCACCCGCCACCTTGTCCAGGAGCCTGGCGTCTTCGCTGGCTACACTTCTGCCTGGGGCGATCACTGCGCACGCTGGCAACCTGGCACCGCATCGCGCTTTCCAACGGCCAGGAGGGGCTTCCAGAGCCACGGGGCTTGGGGCGGCAGGGAGGGCAAGGGGCTTCGAGGGGCTCCCAAGAGCTACCCCCCCCCGAAGCAAGAGGGCGAGATAAAGGGCGGGGGGGGCTCTCGATCCATTAGCTGGAGCCGGCCTTGCTCGTGAACCTGCTGCCTCCCCCCCCCCCCGCGCCCCGTCCCGGGTTAGGCAATCGCCCGCTGCGATGTGGCAACCAAGGCGGGGGGGGGGTTCTCTTTTCTTGCCCTGTAAGTGGATTCGGGGGTGCCCAGGAGGGGAGGGGAGAAGGGAGGGAGGGGCGCACCCCCCCCAACGACAATGCTCCGGGCCCGCCCCGTCCGGCGGGAGGCGGGGAGGCTGCCGGGGCGGGTCCTGCGCTCCGGAGAGGCGGTGACTCGGCCTAGGCCCCGGTATAAAAGGGCCGGAGTCCGCGGCGAAGGCAGAGACCCAACCCCGAGCGAACAAGAATCCCCGGAGCGATGCGCAGGATGGCCCCCCTCTGGCTCGCCCTCTGCTGCCTGGCCGCCTGGCCCGCCGGGGGACGCTCGGACAGCGAGGCACCGCCGACCGGTAGGTCCCGCCCCGGGGAACGGGAGAGGGGTGGCCGGGAGGGGGTCGGGGCCCGGGACTCGCCTCCGGAGGACCAGGGGCGCAACTCGGCTCGCGCTTCCTTGCGGCTCCCCTTGCGCAGCCTGGGCAGGGGGCTTCGGGGCCGGCAGGCCACGCCGCCCCCTCCCCGTCCCTCCTTTCCTCCCCCACCCACCCACCCACCCACCCAAAGGGCAGCCCACTCTCTGCCTGCGGGGGCTGCGGGCGAAAGGCGTCCCTGGCTGGTTCCGGGGCGCAACGCCGCCTCCCCGCCCCGGTTCTCTCGGCCCATTTGGGGGTAAAGAAAGCAGCTGGTTCCGCTCTGGGCGGCTGTCGGGCCTTCGGGCCGCTGTTGCTGGTGCTGCGCAGCTTCCCCATTGTGCACTTTGCTTATTTGGAAAAATGGGCCGGTCCTGTCCTCCCCCTCCTCCGTTTTCCCCACTTGTTGGCTCTCGCCTGGCGCCCGGCGGGCGAAAAGAGAGGAAAATCCCTTTTTGTGCTGGTTGTTGAAGCCAAACTGTTGGGCAAAGAGGGCTTGAGAGTCCCTTACGCATCTCTCCGCCAGGCGTAGAACAGAGGCAGCCCCGAAGGAGGCAGGGCAGCTGCAGCGACCCTCTCCCGGGGCTCAAGGGACAGAGGGGCCCCCCAGTTGGCCAGGGGCGGCTCAGGGGCCCCTCCAGCCCCGTCCTCCAGAGAGGGAGCAACGGGGGGGGGGAGGTTCACTGGCTGGGGCACATTTCAGAAGAGGCTGGTGGGTCTGGCCTTGGGCTAAGGAGTGAAGGCTGGAAAGGGCGACTGGGAAGGATGGAGGAGAGCAAGGCCCCGAGCATTCAAGGGACCCCCCCATGGCAGCCAGTGCCAGCCCTGCCAGGCATGGAGACCCCACAGAGGGAGGAACTGAGCACCTCGGGCACCTTCCTCCCAGTGCCGATTGCCTCCCGCCCAGTGAGGGAGAAAGGAGAAAGTCCAGGAGAAGGAGAGCCAGGAACGAGGTTCCCCCTTGGGCTGCTAGACAACCCCCCCCCCCCAAAAAAAGCAGGGTCAGCTCTGCCAAGAGGCCAGGCTGGGAACGGGGTGAGCTCTTGCGATTGTGATGATTTGGGCTGAGAGTCTGTGTCAGTCCTTGGAAACCTCCTCATGAGTAATCCTTCAAATCAAGTTTTGTAGCAAAGCCAGTTTACTTCCGGCTGAATATCTTTGCATTTGGGGAGGGGGGGAATTGGGGGCTGAATGGGCAGAGGGGAGACGGTGGGTGCAGGTCAGGACAAGGAGCTGCATTGCTTTCCTGTCTCCCCGACCTGCTCTCCACACATCCCATCGTCCATGACTCAGCACTGGGGGGGGATGCTTCTGTTCTCCTGGTGGGGGCCTTCCGTTGGTCCAGCCTGAAAGCCCTACTCCCACGAATCTTTGGAAAAGTGTATGGAATGAGCTACAACCAAACCAGGTCATACGTTTGCTTGGACCACAATGAGGTTGATCTCCTTCTCGCTCAGCATGTTGTTCAGCCGGTCGTGAGTTAACTGGGAAACCAAAGTTAAACAAACCATGGCTTATCACAAGAGGTGTGTTTCTGGGCCCAATCCATGGCTGACCTCCTCTTCCTCCTCCTCCTCCTTTTCCAGCCAATGGAAGTGACCAGCCCCCACTAGCACAGTTCCCGGGTGAGTTGTCCCAACACGACGTTATTCCGGATGTGATTTCTCGGGAGTTCCTGCTCCAGAAGATTCAGGAAAAGCTGGGAGAAGGTGAGGCTGAGAAGGGGGGGCGGCGCTTTGGGATGTAGATGACAGACAGACCCAAACCCCGAGGGAGAACCCTCACGCTCGGTCAGACACGGACCCCTTTTGTGGGTCCAGCTAAGCCCAGCATCCTCCAGGCACCCTCATTCTGGAGGGGAGGGGAGCTTGGTGCCCCCCAGGAGGGGCTGAAAGATCTGTGGGGAAAAGCGAAGGGCAGCCCTTGATATCCCCCCACCCTGCAAAGAAAACAACTGAAGAGCAGAAAAGGCAAAGAAGGAGAATTCGATCCAGGAACGAGAGGAGCCTTCTGGGCGCAAACATGGCTGCAGCCAGTAAGTGGCTTGTTCGGAGTTCTCTTGGTTGTCTGAACGCAGCCAATTCTGGCTTAGATGGCAGGATCTGTAGCTCCGGGTCTGGCGGGAATAAGAAATAATAATAAACCCTTTATTATCAAAGTATAACACGTATACAGTGAAATTGGGGCACCCCCTTTATAACCGCTTTCCCCCCTTCCTCCTCGTTTAGACCTCCCCATACTGGTCCATGGGGAGCCCCAACCGGTCCCCCTGCACCCCAGAGGGCGAAGACCCCCTTGCAGGGGGGTGGGCTGCACCCGCAAGCTCCCCCTCTACAAGCTGGAAGAATTCCCACCAGGCCGCCCCTCCCTCGGCAACCTGCAGGCCCTCTGCTCCGTGGGGCGGAAGAAGCCCAGCTACGGGCCCTGGAACCTGCCCCAGACCAGCTTCAGCCACCTGTCGCGCCAGGGGGAGACCCTGAACCAGCTGGAGGCCCAGTTCACCCGCTGCTGTCAGCTGGGCCAGGATCAGAAGCTCTCCTGTGCCTCCAACGAGGTGCGTGTCCCCCCTGCGCCTCTGTGTGTCTGTGCGTTTGTGTCCCTTCCGCAACACTCTGCGAGGGCCTCCTTTCCACCAGGCCCCCATCAAGCCCTCCCGGATGCTCCTGACCAGGCGTTTAAGCACCTGGAACTTTGCTCTTGGCCTTAAAAAAAAGCGACTGAGCTATTCGGGATCTGCGCCTCCTGCTCCCTCTCCCCTCTCGGAGGAAGGGCCAGATCCCTCCAGAGGTCTCACCTGGGGGGCAGAACTGGGGGCCACAGCAGATGTTGGTGAGCTTGAGTGTTGCAACCCGGCTAGGCTGGGTCTGTGGTGCCGAGTTTACACACGCCCGTATCTTTCTGAAGAACGTCTAATTAAAAAAACCACAAAGTGTTTACGAGATTGTGTTTTCCTGGGCTGTGAAGCCAGCTCGGATTTGGTTCGTGCCCGGAACCTTTTAGCCAGGGGTGGGTAACTATCTCTCCCTTAAGAACAGTGGACTTTAACTCCCAGAATTCCTGAGCCAGCTGGCTCGGGAATTCTGGGAGTTGAAATCCACCGTTTACAAGGGAGACATAGTTGCCCGCTCCTGTTTTTGTCTTCCCAGAAGCCACCTTTTAATGCAGATCCTTCCTGGTCCTTCACAGGGGGGGGAGGGCGAGTCTCCCCCCCCTTGCCTGGTGGCTAATCTCTTCCTTGTCCCCCCCCCTCCTTCTCCAGTGGGAAAAAGGCCTGACCCGGTTTTGCAAGCAGGAGTTCTCCATCAAGACACGCCCCTTCCACTGTTGTCGTGTGGGTGCCCGCGAGGGCCGGTTTGCCTGCTTCGCCAGCCAAGCCCCCTTCCCCAACTACGAGGGCGAAGGGGCATCGCTGGACCTGGCCAATCTCACCACCCCCATCCTGGACTCCATCTGCAGCCAAGTGTCCGGCCAGGCCAAGCAGTGAGTAGCTACGTCCCACATCCTCAAGTTCAAAAGATGTCCCAGCTGGGTTGGGGAAGCCAGGAAGAGGTTTTCTCTCCCCCCCTTGGGAGTCTGAGCGCTTAGGAGGCCCTTCTCTGAAGCTCCTCCTCCTCCTCAGGTGGGCTGGACTCTTCTGGCAGGGAGCGATGGGGGTGGTAGTCCAAGCCATCTGGAAGGCAACCTGGAGAGTGAGGGTGCTGGGCTCCGGTGCCATTTATACCATCCGCTTAGGATACAAATAGAAGTTTGTCCATCTGGCAGACCTTCCAGAGCCCCCCAAAGAGCCTTTCAAACAGGCTAATTTATGTGACCTGTTTATATAAATTACTCAGGACAGCAATTAAAGGATTAAATGCAAGAAGTCAGATTTCTTGGCCTGATGCGCCCTCTTGTGGCTCCAATATGAAATGCACCTATGCCCCTTGGCACCAAGCCAGAGAGTTTAGTCTCCAACATTGGGGGCTTGAGAGATTCCAGGGGCTCAAAGACCTCCCCCCCTGCCTCCCCTTCCCTCCTTGCTTTTCAAAACCCTGAGTGGGGGATTTGTGCTGCTCTCCAGGAGGCCCAACCCGGCTTTAGTCCAGAACATCACAGACGCTTGTTGCAAACTGCCCAAGAGTGAACGGACCCTTTGTGCCGAAGAAGTGGTGAGTGACCCATCTGGGCGGCAGGGGGGCAGGTCTTCTCTCCTCAGGGAGGGGGGGCTCCCAAGAGCTTGTTTTCGACCCCAGGCGGGTTGGCCTGGAGCCCTTCAGTGTATCGGAAGCGATGAAGTGAAGCAGCTGCTTTCAAAGGACTGCGTGTGAAGGACCCCCCCAATCCCTACTTCTCCCCCAGAAATCGCAGTTCATCACTGCTTTCTGCGGCTCCCAGAGGCGTGCCTGGAAGGACCCCCAGAACTGCTGTGCCCAGACAGAGGAGGCTGCCCGCAACGACTGCTTCGACCGCAGCTACCTGGGACACGTCTCCCTTCTCCGCCGCCAGCAGGAGGAGGAGGAGGAGGCAGACGTGCTTCCCACCCTGACCATCACCTGAACCCTCCTGGGGCCTGATCCTGCCCTGCTCAAAGCCCCCCCCCCAACCTGTCCCTGCCTCTCCTTCCCTCTGGCTGGTTCCCTCCCCAAATCTGGGGTGGAACCAGGAACCTTCTTGCTCCACTGACTTTATAATCAAAGAGGGCCCGTGGAGACCCTCCCTCCAATGCACTTTATCTCCTTGATAGAAGCCGCAGGCCGGTCACAGCCAGCTGAGCGGGGGAGGGGATTCTGCAGCTCCTTCTGGGCTTTGCTGCTGGAGAGCAGTTGGTGGCCTTTGTAGGAATCTGGGAGGACAGAAACGGGGTCCTGCGTGTGCCCCACAGACCTCCCCTGGCTTGGCCAGCCAGCCCAGGGGACGTCGCTGCCTCCCAATGGGGCTGCTCCAGATCCTTCTCACCTCTCTAGTCCATAGTGGATCCCTGCAGAAGGATCAGCCGTGGCTCGTCTGCTCCATCTAAAGGGATCGACTGGATCTTTAAGATCCAGACTGGGGCAGCTTTGTTTTTTAAAGAGAGGGACAGGAACAGAAGCCCCAAGAACTGGAGGAAGGAACTGATTTATGCCGAGCTTCCAAGCTGCAGCCCCCTCCCCACCGTGCCCGCAGGTCTCCCAAACGAAGAAGGGAAGAAGGGCGCAGCAGTAACCAAGATGGCCCTTGCCAGCCCCAAAGGCGGGCGGTGGTGGCCGGCTGGCGTCTTGCATTCCTGACTGGTGATCGATCCTAAACTCTTCGCTTGTAACAAATGCCTGACTCCTATTGCGAGGAAGGGATGACGTGGTCCCATGCCAGAGGCAGAGGGCTCAATAAATAAACCACTTTTTGAAAAAAAGAACACAACTTTTGTCTGTCCTTTAGTTCCCATTCGCTCCAAAGAAGGAGAACCAGAAATTGGGTAAGGGGGAGGCCGGCTTGGCTGATGGGTGACCCGACAGGTCAGGGAGCAGGTGGCGTCTGCGGACAGAGCCCCTCTGCAGCATCAGGATCCATATTTGGGGGGAGGGGGAATTCCAGGGGATTTCTGTGAGCAGGAAGAGAGGAAATTTCTCTTGAGGATATCACAAGATCCAGTGTTGCTGAGCTCACACTCGGCCTGTTGTTGTTCTCCGGGGGAGGGTTGGGCTTCGGCCAATGGCCGGCGGAGTTTGGACCAGGAATGGTGGGACAGTGAGAGGGATGCAGGCACACCGTCTGGGGTGGGGGAGAAGCTGGCAGCCCCCTCCTTAAAGCACACAGCCCTGCGGTTGGGCCTTGGCAAGCAAAACCCCAAACAGGCAGCGGAATCGGGGGCCCTTTTAACCCTCTACCCTCGGCTGGTTTGGCTGCAAGGAAAGGGGCTTTGGGGTCCAAGGGCCAGGGAAAGGGAGGCCCTTGTGAGGAGTGCGTGTGTCTGATCTTGCTCGAAAGAGAGGAAGCGTTCTGAACAGAGCCCATTTTTTAAAAAGATGCTTTTGGGCGACACTGCTCTCCCCACGGTGCTTTGACCACCACGAAGAGCAAAAATGGGCCATGGAGGTTCCTTTACCTGCTCTGGTGCCCCTTGAGTAGCTCCACCCACTCTTGCCTGGATTTGAGGGTCTCGTAGCCACCAGTCTTCTCCACAATGTATTTAGCAGCAGCATCTTCTCCGGCATCCCCTCCATGGGCTCTTGGCCGTGTCTGTGGCCAGTTAGGGGGCAACTTGGCACCTGCCCCCTACCCTTCTCCCTTTGGGGTAAGGAGGTGGGCTGGAGATGGAGTGGGGGCGAGCTGAGTATTTGGTGGTGGTGGTGGGAACACTGTCTTTTGGTTTCACCCTTCCTGGCTCCGGGCGCTACAAATTTCTGCCTATAGATTGGAGAGTGTAATGGAGGTCTCCTCTGTTGAATTTGTGCTGGGAAGGCATTGCCCCAAACAGTGGGCACGCACAGCCTCCCATGGGGACACCCCCCCCCCATGAAATCTGGCTCTTGAACACGTTGCTGAGTGAGGAGTCCAAAGGCTGAGGTCTTGGCTGCTTCTCCCTCTGGGTTGCTTGGCCTCCCTTTCCAGGAGACGGGGCTTGGAAGCAGCTCAAATGGAGCTCTAATTTTTATGTGTTTTTCCAGGAAGGATCCTGTGAACTGGGAGGGAGGCTGGGAGAGCCCCCTCCTCACAGCAGCTCTGGCTGGCCGGCGCCTCCCTCTGGGGGTCATCGGCCACCAACTGTTGGAGGCAGGGAGGGTCCCCATTGGGTCCCAAGACCCTGAAAGGGGGGACTTTAAACCCCTGGACGTGTGTGTGGGGAACAATATCCTGGCCCCAGAGCATGGAAAATCAGAGTGATCTGCAGGCTAAGCCAACTCTGTGTGGACTGAAGATACTGGCAGAAAAATACATGATCCCATGTCGTTCTTGGTTTTCCCTGTGTTTTCCAGCCTTCTGTCACCTGAATAGAGGCGCTACATGGAAAAAAAAATGCCTCTGACCATATACAGAGTGCTGTGCTTTCCCAGATGCAAACTGCTTCTATTCGGAAAGCCAGCTAATGTCTGGATTAGAGGCTTTTGGAACTGGGCTTTGCCAGAATAATTCCTAGACAGCGGGCAAAAGAGACAGCGAAATCTTCCTTTTGTTCCATAGACTCCAGGGCTGTTTGCAGCAGCAGCCACAGCGAAATACCGTCTCTGTCCCCTCCCCCCGTTTGCAAAAATTTCCCTGATTCTCAGTTTCGGAGCAGAGGCAGTAATTTTTCTTAAATCAAGTCCTCTTGCTTGGTTTCAATTAAACTTATCCTGGATCCTCTGGTCCTGCTTGTTCGGGCTTTCTGGGAGCCTTGTGTTAACCCATAGCTGCTTTCAGGACTTTTACGCAGCAGCAAATTTTGAAATTTCACGCAGAAATATCCCTAGCCAGGAACAGATACTTATTGGCTACAGAATAGAAGCATTTTGTGGCAAGCAATTGATAACCTTTGAGATAATCTCAGGAAGATTTAAACATTTCTCCTAGTGGTATTATAAATCAAGCAGCATTGGGTAACAAGATGAGACGTTATGAAATAGATTAATTGATGTTGTGATAGGCTATTTTAAGGAGCCAGACTCAGGCAGTTAAAAATAGTAGATTAATCCCCCCCCCATTTGTTCTGATAGATGGCAAACTGACAATGGTGTTGTTTTTTTTTAAAGGGCTTCTGAGCAGACACAGAGAGAGACGAGTTTAATTTGTCATTTTGATTTAGCTGGGAAACTTAATTTTCGCATCGCAGATAAAAGAGATGAAACAGAGCTTTGAAATGAGGCGGGTGGGATTTTAAAAATACAGTTGAAGGGGGGGGGCAAATCTCCCTTGGTTTAAAATAACCCTGTGGGGGTATGCATGAAACTGAAAACTAGGCCTGTTCATTGTTGGCGGGTGGGTGAGAAAATCTGGTTTATTTAAGGGGATCTTTTTCATCTTATTGTAAGTTGAAGTGTTATTATAAGATGAAACTGTTAGGAAGATCACAGTTGTTTTAAGCTTGTGCGTGTGAACCTGCAGACTGAATCTGGTTTCCATCCTGTGATTTAAAACGGGATTTTAAAAATCTTTTCTGGGCTGTTTGTGAGCTGCTCCTTAGCTGAGCCATGTGGTGCAGTCAGGGCACCAGCGATGTGGTGAAGGATAGCGGAAGAGGAGACAAAGCTATTTTTGCTTGGTCCCCCTCCCCTTCCTTGCACCCGGATTTGGAGAGTAACCCCCCCATCCCCCCTTGTTTACACGGACCATCCACCCCACCCTCTCCCCCCTTAACAAAGCAGTGCCTGGAACTGCGTCTCTGCTGGGCTTGGCTTCAGAAGTGCAACATTCACTCTTTGCACAAAGTTTTTCCATTTTAGGCTGGCCTCACCACAGTCTCTGCCAGGTCACGATGGATGGAAAGGTGGAGGGGGGGTGGGGGTGGGCTTTTTTCCCAAGCAAGCTGCTAATCTCCCCACCCCACCTCAGTCCTAGCTGCCAAAGGAAGAGAGGCCCTGCAAAGTTCGCTTCGTGCATGTTGTCCCTCTGTGTGTGTTGCTGTTGGTGACTTTCAAAGTGGCCCTTTGACCTGCAAGGAGCCCTCCGTGTCCGTGCGTGGCCAAGCCAGATTATCTAGTCCCCGTCGGCACTTGGAGAAACACTTAACTGCGTGGGTTGATCTAATTTGCTCCAGTTCTGGAGAGGCAATGGCTTGTTTAAACCCAGGAAAGAGAAAATGGCCTGTTTGGCAGCTGGAATTTGGCTGGCCATCCAGGAAAAATGATCAGGAACAGAAAAGTGTTTAAATTAATACGCCCGGGAAATATTTACAGTCACAAACATTTACAGAATAAAACACACCATATACAATTATAAAATCCTAAACTATAAAGCTAGGAATGCTGCTGGTTTTATTTGGCTGTTAAGATGTATTTTGATTTACTTTTTGTTCAGGTTGCTAAACCTCAAGGTTTAGGGTTGAATGCTCTAAAGAAGGATGCAGGGCATAGACAAAAGTGTGCTTGTGGATTCAATTATGTTGTTGGTCAGGTTGTGGGCTGTGTTGTTTCTCTGAGGTTGCTTTTAACAGCCAGCATATTTGAGAGGATAAAAATTCCAAAAAGAGGCTAAACCAGTAACTGACATAATTTAAACCAGCCAGAAAGAGGTAATTTGCAATTTAATAAACGTTCTGGAAAAACAGAGCCTCAGGCCCACAGTTGCTCTGTTAAATCAAAGGTTGCATTTCTACTAAATGTAAATATTAGATCTAATAAATCTCTAGCTGTCTGCGGAAAGAAGCAGGATAAAACAGATGTTTAATTTCATCTGGAAATCAGGAATGTACTTCTCATTTCTTTTTTAATTTTTATTTTCTGGACTTGCTAACCAAAGTGATTTAGCCACCATAGAAAATTAAAATGAAGCTCTTAGGAGGTGTCTGTTCTTTTTTTTTTTTTTTTAATCCCACTCTCTTTAATTTCCTCTTATTGGAGAATAATTGTCCTAGCCATGAAAATTAGGGAGAAAGGGCTGTTTTGTTGTCCTTAGGGGGAAAGAAAAACCCAACAGTGTAGCAATGTTGAAAATTATACATTTTATTATTGTTCCTTTTTAAGAGGATGTTTTCAATAAACTGCTTTGCCTTGAAAGTAAACAGCGAAAGAGGTAACCAAAAACCAGGCCTGAAAAATTCAAAGAAATTCAAGGAAAAGAGGGAAAAAGAAGAAACGAGAGAAGAAAGAAAAAATGGATTTGAGCTGCATCTCATTTACTGCAGACCAAGGGGACATGATTCAATAGGAAATTGGTTTCTTTTACTCTTTGTAGCGCCCAATATTTTCCCAAACAGGCTTCTGGCTTGGTGCCAAAGGGAGTCTGCACATGCTTACAGGGCAGATTGCCTAAATATTATTCCCCAGGGAACATTTTCCTCTCAATAAAAGGGTTGAGTCTGCCTTTCTAAAAAATGAATGGAATTGCCCATTTCTTTGGAAGCCTTTAGGCCCAGGAGTGCAAAAATGCTCCGTGCACATCCACAGGGACTGCGTCAAAATGTTTATGCCTGTGAATGGGTGGCTACCTTAAATATTTTATGTAGGCTTCAAGCTCCTGGTCCCTGGTGTTCTGAGAACGGGCAGACTGGGAAATCTTGAGAGTCCCATCCTGCACTTTGTGCCTGGTGGGGATCAAGCCGCCCCCTCTGAGGGTGCTGACCGCAGGCAGAAAAGTCCGGTTGTCTGAATGGCAAGGAGTGTTTGATTTCTGATCATTCTCACTTTGCCGGAAGGCAAAGCGGCTTTTCTGCTTTGAGAAGAGGCCCCAACCAGGTTGTCAATTGTTGTCCTTCCAAGTTCCCCCAAGTTTTCTGTCTGGATAAAGTAGCTTTGATGTTTATCTTCTCCTCCTCGTTCCTTTAGAAGTGCTGCATAGGAAATGCAAAGTTTAAAGAGGTTTCTGGGGGAATTTGATGCTAAAATAGCCCAGTGAAAAACTCAAGATTGTTATCTGCTCTCCTGCAACCGAGGAGAATGTCTCCCCCCTCCTTGATCCGCACCTACTTTTAGAACAGAGTTCAACTTTTCCCTGGAAATGTGATCTCTTTTCTGCGCTTGAATTCGGGATCTTTTGGGACCCAAGTTCAGGGATCCAGCAAGCAAGCCAATTGGAAGCTGGACCCTGCATACCCTCCCCTGGCTCACACCTGATGCCCCACCACCCACCACAGCAAAGGGAATAAAAATAGAGCCTTCTACGAGAAAAGGCAGGGCTTTCCGTTTTTTTAGCCAAGGAACAAAGCAGACCAAAATAAACTATCTAAGCAACCAGCTCAAATCAGTTGCAAAAACATTTACAAGTCAGCTCTGGGTCTGGTCTCAAAATAAGAGGTGGCAGGGAGCCAGCCAGATGGAGCCCAGGGCATCTGCGCTGGCAGAGCGAGGGATCGGGGCCAAGCACCTGTTTGGCAGGCCGCTGGGTGTGGATCGGTCCCTGACACCCCCATGCAACCCAGGCCACAAAGGGCTGGAGGACGATCGGCCTCTTGCAAGGTCCTGGGCGTCCCATACTCTGAACTAGAGCATGTGCAAAGGGCTCTTCCTTTTCCCCAGAACCGGTTCAGAAGCTGCTGCAGGCTGCCGAAGGGGGCAGCCAGCTGTCAGATAAAGGGGTGCCTTTGTTTGGCGCGAATGCCACCCACGGATACTCTTGGCACCCGGAGCCTAAGCGTAGCCCACTTCTGGCTTCCCATCCGAAGGAAATAGAGATGGGGTGAGTCACCATCCCAGAGGGAATTTGCTAGGCTTTGCCGGCGCCGGACTTTTTTCATGCCAGATCTTGAAGCGGGAGGGAAGGACTAGTGGGTGGGTGCAGATGACCTCTCGGTCCCCTCTGCCCGGAGGCCGAAGCATCGCGATCTGGACTTCTGGCAGGAACGGCCTTTGAGACAACAGGACAGCGGTCAGGAATTTCTTTGGCCACTTCTTGCCTTGAGGCTATTAGAATGGCCATCAAAACCTGGCAAGATTCTGGGGCCCACTGAACCCCTCAGGATGTGTGGTCAGTTTAGGCGGATCACATCATAATTTGGGGTAAAATGAGAGGCTGTGGTGAGCCTCCATCTGTTCCCTCGGCCTCTCTTGTTGAACCTCTGCTCCTATCCAGGTGTTTCTGTCCTTTTGAATTGGATCGCCAGGTATTCCTAAATATTATTATTCAACTTCCGGAAGAGAGCAGATGTGTTTTGATCAGCCTGCCCCCCTCCTTCTCAGCCACCTGTTCCTTTGGGCCCCGACTTCTCCCACAGGCCACTGAGGCTCTGGGGTTTTTTCAACCTTGCAATTATGCGGCAGTGTGTGGGTCACAAGCCACCTCAAAGCTTTTCCAGTTCTCGTCCCTCCCTGCCCACAAGTACGGGTCTGCGTTGCCAAAACTCAGCTGGGCTCCTGCAACAAGGGATTGTGGTGCAGAATCTGGGTGAAGGAGGCTGGGGCAAGGATCGGCTTTATGGCCGGCATAAAACCGGGGAACTTTCACACACCTCAGGGTGTCCCCTTAAAATATTTATCCTTCCGGTAATCAGATGCCCTCCAGAGAGGAAGCTACTCTGAACACGGTTTCAGATGTCCACTTATGGGATCTTTGTTGCCCTCCTGCACTTGGGGGCCTGCAGTTCAGAGGGGAAACAGGGCTGGGAATATTTGAAATTTTGAAAAGGGGGGGGTTGCCCAATTTTTCAGGAGCATCGTGAATGCTGCTTCTGAGCACTGGGCTCCCCCCCCAGGGTGCTGCAGAAGGCAGAGTGGTACAGCTGCTGACTTTCCTCACCCCTATTCCCAAGCCTGAAAGTGGGGGGGGGCTCCTTCTACCTGGCTTCCCTTGCAGACTGGTCCCTTGGCCAGTGAGGGAGCCCCATCCTTTCCCGCCCTGTTTTCCTCCTGGGGAGAATGTGGGGAACATGCCAAGCTCCTCGTTGTGGGGGGGGGGAGCGAAGAAACCACAGCCTGCAGATCTCCAGGGCGCTGAGGGTTTAAGGCAGTCGCTTCTCCACCCTCTGGACAGGGACAAGGACCCCTCGATCCGAAGGTCGCCTGGGGGAGACCTGGAGAACATTGGAGCCTGGCCTGATGAATGGCTGGTTGTCAAAAGGGAAGAGATTCCGATCCCCCCCCCCCAGCCTCCTGGCCTCCTCTCGGGAATGCGCGGGGGGAGAGCGATCCACGTGGAGGGGGGGTCGAGGGAGGGGGAAGGGTCTCCGTTCTCTCTCTCTCTTCCCCCCCCCGCGCCTGATGGGCGCTTTAAGGGGCGGGACAGGAGAAGCCAGAGGAGGAGGAGCCGGGGGGGGGAGCCAAGCCGAGGCCGCCGGGAGGGAAGCGCAGTAGCGCGCCCAGCCCGGGAGAACTTCGGCTCCGGCGGGAAGGACTTTCGCCCCTCCGGACACCTGAGATGGCAGGTACGGGGCTCGGGCGGGGAGGGGGCTTCCTCTCCCGCTTCGCCTTTGGACTGCCGAACCCCCCAGCAGGAGCTCCCCGAGGAGTGCCGGAGGGGTCCCCTGCGCGCCCGCTTCCCCTTTGCGCGGCTGCTCCGCTCTCCGCCCGCGCGCCTCTCTCTCCGCCGCTGGAGACTCGCCTGGGATCCGGGTGTCCCCTTCTGCCCTCCCCGCCCGCCCCCCCCCCAGCATCCCCCAAGCTGGGTGAGGCTGAGTGCAGGCCCCCGGCAGGCTCGGAATTCGGCGGCGGGCAAAGCCAGAGACAAGCCGACACGGGTCGTCTGAACCCCGCCGGGTCCGAGTTTTCTGGAATTCTTTATAAATCGTTTTCCCTTGTCTCTCCAGACGGATGAGCAGCCTGTCTCCTGCTGGTCGCCCCCCGCAACGAGGCTGGGCAGCGCAAAGGAATTATAAGAACAGGTGAGCGAGATTTGACCAGCTCCTTTCAGGCGCTGAAGAACACCCCCCTCGGTCGCCTTTATCCTCAGCCCAAAGAGAAAGGAGCAGGGGAGCACTCTGTAGATGCTCAGGGGCAGCGCCTTAGGCGGCTTTAATCCAGACTCTGCCCTGGTTAGTTTCATGGCTTCTCCTCTTTGCGCTGAAGTTTTTCAGAGCAGAATAATGTTAAGCCCCCCCATCACGATTCTGATGCCCCCAGAGAAAACCTTTCATCCTGCCAGCCTCCCCCCCCCGCCCTGTTACGGAAATTTCCACCGACCCCGGCTTCCACCTGGCGCCTCTCTGCCTGCCTTACTTTTGTCGGTTCTTGCAAAAAGGAGCAAAAAAACGGTGGCTAAAAAGAAGGGTGGCCTTTGGGGGGGGTCGGGGGGAGTTGAAGGAGCAGGGCAAACATCCTGACGTTCCGCAAGACACCCCCCCCCCGGCTCCGGCGGTGGGGGGGGGGGCGGTTCGCGGAGCCCGTGCTTTGGACGACCATCAATGGGGCATTCTTTCGCCCGGGCTTTGAAGGCGCCTGGCCGCGGACCACCCGCGAGAGGAAGGACTTTGATAATTTCGGGGGTTTTGCTGGGCTGGGGAGCAGGGAGCAGGGATTCACCCCCCCCCCTTTCTAAACCCGGCTGCCTCCTTGAAGGCCCCTCTCCTCGGTGTGTGTGTGTGTGTTAAGGTGCGTGTTGGTCTTTGTGACTCCTTTTCAGAGCTGTAATGTGATAAGAAGGGGGGGGGGAGATGCTCCAGAGTTTGGAAAATGTCAACACTGTTGGATTAATGGGGGGGGGAGGGCTCTCTTCCTTTCTCCAGCCTTCAAAAGGGTTTTATTATTCCTCTCCCACCCCCACCCCCCCAAAAAAAACAGAGGAGTGTCAAAGTACATTGCATGTTCGTTTTCAGATAGACTGCCTCTGACAAGGGAGCTTTGCTGTTCTCTTTCACTGGAAAAGATTTGTTGGTGCTGAATGGGGGCAGGAGGGATAAAGCCTTAATGTGAACTCCAACTTTTTTCTACCCTTTAAAGTGCTTTAAGAGTGCTCAGAAGTCCTGGATGGAAGAACTGGGTGAAAAGCTATAAGCCAGTGATGGTGAACCTTTTAAAGATCAAGTGCCCAAACTGCAACCCAAAACCCACTTCTTCATCGCAAAGTGCCAGGGCTGCATCAGCACTGTGGTGCCCTCAGGGGGGACGTGGGGGCGTGGCCCACTGGGGGGGCATGGCTGCAGTGGTCACAGCAGACTGGGTGAGCGTGGCCAGGGCCAGTCCGTTGGCATCTCAAGGGCATTCCTGGGAGCCCACCGCCGCTTCCTTGCTCACTTCCTACCCTGAACTTCCAAACGCCATGCCCGCTACTCTGGTGAACTCTGCTATGCTCACAGAGAGGGCTCTCAGTGCCGCCTCTGGCACGTGTGCCATACGTTCGCCACCACAGCCCTAGCCCTGTGGAATTTTCCTCCTATGGGATTTTCCCATGTATTTTACCAGGAAACATAGATAGGGCAGGCTAGAAAAGTCTGTGCCCTCCTAACCATACCCAAGCACTCCGAGTTTCTTGGTGATGTCCATTTTCCTCTCCAAATTCATGGTGACCTAACCCTAACCCTAAGTGGAATTTTCCTCCTATGGGATTTTCCCATGTATTTTACCAGGAAACATAGATAGGGCAGGCTAGAAAAGTCTGTGCCCTCCTAACCATACCCAAGCACTCCGAGTTTCTTGGTGATGTCCATTTTCCTCTCCAAATTCATGGTGACCTAACCCTAACCCTAAGTGGAATTTTCCTCCTATGGGATTTTCCCATGTATTTTATCAAGAAACATAGATAGGGCAGGCTACAAAAGTCAGTGCCCTCCTAACCATACCCAAGCACTCCGAGTTTGTTGGTGATGTCCATTTTCCTCTCCAAGTTCACGGTGACCTAACCCTAACCCTAAGTGGAATTTTCCTCCTAATGGGATTTTCCCATGTATTTTACCAGGAAACATAGATAGGGCAGGCTAGAAAAGTCTGTGCCCTCCTAACCATACCCAATCACTCCGAGTTTGTTGGCGACGTCCATTTTGCTCTATGAGTTCAAGGTGACCTAACCCTAACCCTAAGTGGAATTTTCCTCCTATGGGATTTTCCCATGTATTTTATCAAGAAACATAGATAGGGCAGGCTACAAAAGTCAGTGCCCTCCTAACCATACCCAAGCACTCCGAGTTTCTTGGTGATGTCCATTTTCCTCTCCAAGTTCACGGTGACCTAACCCTAACCCTAAGTGGAATTTTCCTCCAATGGGATTTTCCCATGTATTTTACCAGGAAACATAGATAGGGCAGGCTAGAAAAGTCTGTGCCCTCCTAACCATACCCAAGCACTCCAAGTTTGTTGGCGACGTCCATTTTGCTCTATGAGTTCAAGGTGACCTAACCCTAACCCTAAGTGGAATTTTCCTCCTATGGGATTTTCCCATGTATTTTATCAAGAAACATAGATAGGGCAGGCTACAAAAGTCAGTGCCCTCCTAACCATACCCAAGCACTCCGAGTTTGTTGGTGATGTCCATTTTCCTCTCCAAGTTCACGGTGACCTAACCCTAACCCTAAGTGGAATTTTCCTCCTATGGGATTTTCCCATGTATTTTACCAGGAAACATAGATAGGGCAGGCTAGAAAAGTCTGTGCCCTCCTAACCATACCCAATCACTCCGAGTTTGTTGGCGACGTCCATTTTGCTCTATGAGTTCAAGGTGACCTAACCCTAACCCTAAGTGGAATTTTCCTCCTATGGGATTTTCCCATGTATTTTACCAGGAAACATAGATAGGGCAGGCTAGAAAAGTCAGTACCCTCCTAACCATACCCAAGCACTCCGAGTTTGTTGGCGACGTCCATTTTGCTCTAGGAGTTAATGGTGACTTAACCCAACTTACACTGTTACTGTTGCCTTCTCCCCAAAGATTTCCTCAAGTTTAAAGTCATGGGAAGAGTGCTCCTGCTTATCAGTGCTGTTTCCAAAGAGTTTAGGCTTGGGGGGGGGGGTTTGTCCCACCCTGAATCTATTTTAACCTCTGCTACTTTCGAGTTCCCATTTTTTCTGTGTGTGTGTGTTCAGTTTTGTTGTGGAGATCCGTGCAAGGACTCGCCCGCAGCGCAGCCATGGCAAATGCACAAATAGCCAAAAACAACAGTAGCTGTGCGAAAAAAGTGTTTCCATTAAACTAAGGAAGTTCCTCTTGGTGTCCAAAATAACTTTGACCACATTACAAAGCTGACCCTGGAATCAAAATTCTTTGTTTTATAGAAGGTGTCAACCCTTCCCTCCCTCCCTCCCTCCTTCTCTCTTATGTGTAGCTCTCTGCACCAGCTTTGCCAGTCTGGCAGCCTAAAAGTGCCTGGGAGTTCAGCTCCCGTCATACTCAGCCAGTGGTAATTTTTATTTGCTGCGATTTCCAGGTTATTCTTTGATTGATGCTGGTCAGAGGGGAACATTTTAGGGTTCTCTGACAGCCAGAGGAATTCAGGCGCTCCAATTCCCTATTAATGTCTCTGCTTGGGGCTTTGCTTGCATGGGGGGGAGCTTAATTTATAAATGAGTGGGGAGGGGGTGTTAATATATGGACTTGCCACTATCCCACAGTTCCTGCACCAGGGAGTTCATTTTTTCCACGGGATCCTGAGAGCTGGGGGCCAAAAGCCTCTTCCCTTCCCTGCATGCAGCCACAGGTGCTTGGGAAGAATCCTTTGATTTAGAAGTGGGAGTCCAGATTGGAAGGGGCCAGTTTGAAATGAGGGGGGGGCAAGCTTGCTACTCTTCACCTGCCTCCCCTCCAAAAGGAGACAGGGAGGAAGTTCCTGTGGGGTCACCTAGAGGCCTGTCCCAGTCTCCCTGGGCCACCAGGACACAGGCTGCTCCCGTTCCCACGCTTGTCTCCGGGCTGAAATCCTGCAGCTGCGGGCCGGCTCACCAAATGGGCGATTCTGACCCAAATTTTGTTGCTGTGTTTATGCGGGACAATCAATTACTCATCTTTTGGCTGCCTTTCCTAGCGTTGTTTTGATCTCCATGTGCGCCAGAAAAAAAGGCTCCCCTCCTGCAGCTGTTAGAGTAAGTTTTGCCTCTGGGTTGCCCCCCCCACTTTTCAGGGGGTGGGGGCTTCCCTGCAGAGAGGCTGAGGGATCTCCCTTGTTGGGGGCGGCGGCTGCAGGGTGTCTTTGCTGGGCCCTCCCCATTCCATTTGGCTCTGGGGAGACGAGGCTGTTTCACGCACTGCTCCCAAATTGCTTCACTGCTGAGCAATGTGCTGGTGGGGGGGGGCTCCTCCCATCAGCCCCAGCATGGGAAACATGGAGACCCGCCCCATCCAGTGGACTTTGGGGGTGAATGGGCTCTGGGTCTCCTGAGGGGGGGCTGGGGGAAAGGGGAGGGGCCAGGTGGCATCCGGGGAGGAGTGAGATATCTCAAGGGCAAATGGGGGCAACGAAGAAAATGAAATCTCTTTTCTGTGGGAGCGAGGGAAAAGGCACTCTGTGCATGTTCAGAGGTGGAGGAATCGAGTGTGAAAATGGACACGTGTCTTCCTTTGGCCAATGCATTCCTTGTGAAAGGTTTTCTTCAGCAAAGGGGCTGGTCTCTGGGGGTTAAAGGCCCGCATCTCTCTCAGGAGCTTTCCAGCTCCGGTGGGGGTGGGAGGGTCAGTGTGCCCCCCCCAGTGGGAATCACTGCTTTTCGGGTGTTATCTGAGAAGCTGAGGAATCTCCCGGGATTGTCCAGGCAACAGTTTTAAAGCCAACCTTCCCCTTGGCATCCTTCTCATGCGCTGGGCTGCCATCTTGGTGATGCTGCTGGGGATGATGGGAGCTGCCATCCCAGGGAGCTGGAAGGCGGGGGGGGGGGGAGAGAATGGACCACAGTCCCCCCCTCTGCAGAGGGGAGGGTCACATTCCTGAAGGTGACCCTGCCCCTTCCCCTCCTCTCCCTGGGGGCGGTGGGCTTTCCTGGCCAGCCCTCCTCCCAGGGAGGGCTGATGTTCTGCCAGCTCTCGCCGGCCTCGCAGGGCTTCCCTGGACAAGCGAGAAGCACGACGCAGGGCCGGCGGCTGGCCAGAGCCGATGCAGCGAGGGATGCAGAGCGAGCCGCCCGGCCTTCCAAATCCCTCCGATCGCAGCTGCAGAGGCTGGGCCATGTTAAGCCTGTGAGGCTGGGGCTCTTTTCCAGTCCTGGGGAGGGCTGTCCTGGGGGGGTCACCAAGACACACACCCCTTCTTCCCACTGGACAAAGCTGGAGAAGTTGCAAACAGCCTTGCTGGAAAATGGCCGGGAACCTCCAAAAATTCTGGTTCCTTTAAAAATGAGTCTGAAATTTGGGGGTGGGGAAAATTTTTTAATGCTCAACACACAGGTTCTTACATGTAGTCTACAAACCCCCCCCCCCCTTAGCTACATACAAGGCTTCCGTGTCATGTCTTCCAAAGCTTCGGGGCTTTGCCGAAACCTCTGCTGGAGGAGGGGGTTGTTCTTTTTCTTCCTTCCTTGTGCAAAGAAGCTGTAAAACTGGAGGGGCACAGTTTTAAAAGGGGGTGGGTGGGCGGGAGTGCAGAGCAGAGATTGGGTGGGGGCCAGATGTTCCAGATGCAATGCAGCCCCCAAATCTGCAGATTATCTTTTTCCTGTTGCAATGTCAGCCTCTCTCCAAGCTAAGTGGAGAAGGGGCTGTGGGGGGCAGGAGGAAAGGACGGAGGAGAAGGAGGAAGAGGAGGAGAAGAAAGAGAGGGGCAGAAGGAGGAGGAGGAGGAGGAGGAAGAGGAAGGCTGCCCCGCTCTTGGTGATCACGAACCCACAACTGGAATCTGTATTTTATTTTCTCCACTTGGGGACCACTGCTGAGGTTCAGGCTGTGTTTGATCCCTGGCCTCGGGGAAGGCCCCTCCCCAAATCCTGGAAAGCCACAGCTGGTCAGGATGGAGGAGACCGGTCTGGATCCAGCAACTGCTGAACTTGGCAGAGGGTCATAAATGGACTTCCAGAAACTTTCCAGGATGCTGGAGTTGGCCCAGCGGCCAGCGAAAGTCCTGCAGGCTTCCCCTGTCTTTGTCCGGCTTTGGGTGGACAGCCCAGGAGAGGCTCCGTCCTTCCTTCCCCACCAGTTATGGGGCACAACCAGGGCTGCATTCGCACGGATTATCCAGGCCGGCACATTCCGCTGGCCAAAGCTAGATTTCTCGGGATGCTTTCCGATTTCTGCCCCAGCCTGTCGCCAGGAGTAAATGGCTAACTTGCAAGCCATGTGGACTAGAATTTTGTTTTTCCTTCTACAAAGTGCGCTAAAACGGTGTTTTTCTTTCTTTTACGTTCTTCAGACTGCTTACCCCTCCCCAAGGCTTTAGCAGCACATCCAGCCAGCAACTGATCCCCTGTAAAACCGAGTTTGTTGTAACTTGATTTCACGCAGCCACATTCTTTTCCCATTTTGTTACTCCGCTTAGTTTGATGAGTTTCTAAAAGAGGCTTTCAGGATAAATCAGCCTTGCTGCACTGGCAAACTTAGACTGGGCTCCTTTCAACCGTAGCCCTCCATTATTTCAGTGGGCATCAGTTTATTTTAGTTGTTTTCTCCTGAGTTCTGGTGGAGTCTTTAGAGACTTAAGTGGTGAGTTTTGCAGATGGCTGAGCTGTTATTTTTATTCATTTAGCGTATTGAATCTATGGAGGCTGTGCAATCACTACTGTTCAAATATAAATTTAAATGTGTCAGCAATATGTATATGTATATATGTATGTATGTAGATAGGTATATGTAGATAGGGAGATATGTGGACAATACAATATACGAGATAAAATATTAACAGAATAACAGGGTCAGAAGGGACCCTCAGAGGTCTTCTAGTCCAACCCCCTGCTCAAGTAAGAAACCCTATCCCGTTTCAGACAAATGGTTTTCCAATTTTTTTCCTTGAAAAACTTCAGTGTTGGAGCACCCACAACTACTGGTTTATTGTTCTCACTGTCAGGAAAATTAAATTAAAGATAAAACCGTAATGAAGTTACCATTATATGGCGCCATAAGGGTTGCAAGGGGATAGAGGTTTAGTTGTTCAACAGGGGCTGTTGGGAAGTGAACTACAAGTGTTTAAACTGATGTTTCTCAACCTTGGCAGGGTTAAGACGGGTGGGCTTCAACTCCCAGAATCCCCCAGCCAGCAACGCCGTCTCTTATTTCATTGCATTATTCCTCAGCCCTCAGTGCTGGCTGGGGAATTCTGGGAGTTGAAGTCCACCCGTCTTAACCCTGCCCAGGTTGAGAAACACCGGTTTAAAGGACGGAAGGCTATCCGGAAGATTCCTCTGCCTGCTTTGGAGGCAGATTCGAATCCTGACAGCCTTCTCTTGGCAGCTTTCAGGAACGCTCGGAGGGGCCGCAGGAAAAGCTGGCATCTCCTGCCTGGCCTCGCGGTGACTTTCTCCGGGACGTGCTCGGCTTTCCCTCCGTCTTCCAAGACCTTCCGTGACTTCTGCACATTTCCTGCCAGTTCCCCCCCCCCCCCGCCCGCCCGCCCTCCCCAAGTCCCCGACAGACCCGGCCCCGCTCGGCTTCCCCAGGTTGGCCAAGAGGCCCCGACGGGCGGGGAGCCTCCCCAGGTCAGGCGTCCTCCCGGGCCGCCGCGTGCGAGGAAGGGGAGCCCGCACCTCGGCCTGGAGACGCGCCCTGGCCCAGGAGCGGAGGGTGGCGCTGGTTCAGGCGAGGCGGCTTGGCTCGCTGGCCGGGCAGGAGAGGGAACCGCGCCGGCCGAGAGCGCAACCTTGGCGGCCGCCGCTTCCTTTGGTCTCCGGCTGCTTTCCCAGCGAGCGCGTCCTTTTCTTTCGGACTTTCCAAAAGGCCAGCCAAGCGGAGGGCGGCTGTCATTTTTATCCGCCTCCCTCCCCGCCTCCCCCTCTGGCTAATCATGAAGTAAGAGGAGGGGAATGTTAATGTTACTGTAATTGTCGGAGCCAAGACGGGAGGGAGGGAGGGAGCTGCTCACTCGACCCGAAAACTCCGGGCAGGAGTTGTGTTTGCAACCCGCTGGTTGTTTGTTTTGACTTTTAGCAGCAAAGAGAAGCCTCCCCCCCCCCCGCGCTCCCATCTTCTTCCCGGCGTTTCTTCCCTACGGCTGCCCTGGAGAGGCGCTCTGCGCGTTCTCAGAAGCTGCCCTCTCCTTTTGCGGTTGCTACCGCTTCGACAGGGATCCCAACCGCAGCAGGCAGAATCTGAGTTGTGTTGTGGCTTGGAAATACACGTGGATGCCAAAAGCTGGTCAAACCGTTGGCGTGCTGGGTCGCCCGGTTGGAGAGGCAACCTTTGCCTCCTGCTTTGGTCCAGGGGTCAGTTGGTCACTCTGCCCTGAATCGTGGGTTTCCCCCCCCAACTCCCTGCCCCAGCTGTTCCCAGATGCTCAAGAGCCTCCCTGATTTGTGCTATCCCTGCCTGGGTGGTCCATGGGCTGCCTTGTAAGAGCCAATCTTGATAACAGAAAAAAACCATCTGGGCATTTCTTTAGCTGACCAGACAGAGGCAAACTTGGTCCTGCGAATTCGGGCTGGCTGCCTCTTGAAGATGGGCAAAGATGGGGCACCAGGGAGATTGCAGAGAAGGGGCTGGGGCTGAGGGTCATCTCGGGACCCCCTGGCAGCCCCCTTTCCCACACACCTCCAAGCAAGGGTGCTCTTTGGAAGGCCACCTCCCACTCTGGACTGGACCGACGTGGAAAGATAAACCAGGAATGTGGCTGGTATATTTGGCCTGGACATCCGATCCTGGGCAACGTAAGAAAACTCTGCATGGTTCCCAGCGGGATAAAAATACCACCGGACAGATTAGAAAGCGGGCTGGACAAACAAAGGCCTGGGAGGCCGAGCTTGGCAGCTAGGCAGCCATGGCAACGCTGGCGAGGTCTCCGGACCGCTCCCTTCGGCTGCGGCCATTGCAGACCCTCCGAATTGGGATATGTTATGGCTGGGGGGGGGGAACAAAAGGAAGAGAGTGGAGAATTGAAACAAAAACTAGAAACTGGTTGGTATGTGGTACTGATTTTTTTTAAAAAAAAAAAAAAGGGGTGGAAAGAAACTTCACCTTCCTGCATCTGAAGGATCCCTTGGTGCCCGTTTATAAAGCCATCCATGAACCTGGCTCGTACAAACAAATTATGGCAGGTTTAATTCCCTGGCCTGAGGGATGGGCAGTCTCGAAGTTAGCACAAAGGGCAGCCAGGTGGGAACCAAGCCGAAGCTGCCAGAGGTGGCCCAGGGGTTTATGGACCCATCTCAAGGAAAAGAGACTTTCTGGAGGCTGAGAGAGGAACAGCAACTTTCTGCAGGAGGGCATTCTATGGGGGGGGGGAGTGTTTCACATGAAGGAGGGGCCCAGATTGGGGTCTCGGGTTGGTGCCCCCAGGCAGTTCTGGGTTTCCTTCCGTGTCTTCGAGAAGTTTCTTAATTTCCTCTTTGCTTCCTCCCATCTCCGGCCGTGGGTGAGTCACGATTCTCCCTTTCGGAAGGTCAGCGCAAGGTTGAAAGTTGAAGAAAAGTTCAAAACCTTTAAGAGAAAGACCCCCCCCCCCATCCACTGGCCAAATTAACCACCCCCCTGCCCCAGCCCCCCTTCCCTTTTGCAGCTTTTGCAGAATCTGTAAGTCAATATTTAAAGCATTTTACAGGTTCCGGATATTGACTTTAGCTCTCCTGACTCCTTTTTACTCCTTCAACTTTATTGCACTTTTAGGGGATTGAAAGGTTCCTGAAAGGGAGGGGGCCCCCTCCCCACCCCTAAAAGGGATGGGCAGGCAGAGCAAACCTTAACGCAACAAGGAGGCTTGAGACACATCCAGAGAGGCGATGGGAGCAGCGGGCCAAAGCCGGATTGAGAGGTAAGGCTGGGGAGATTATGTGGGGTGCCCAGGGTGGGTTTGGGGGAGTCTGTGTGGCTCTCAAAACTGTTGAGCCTCTTATTCTTCACATGTAAACTAATTGCCATGATGAGGACTAGAAGCTTGCTTTGTAGCCGTTTATTTTCCCCGGTTGAGAGATTTTGCAACTCAGGGGATATTAAGGGGGACAAAAACATAAATTGGCTTTGATGGATGCACTAAAAGACGGTCAGGGTCTTTGCACAACTTTTCCATGACCAAAAACCGAGATGGATGTAGCTGGGATGTTCTCAGTTTTCTCTGTCTGGAAAGTCCAGGTGACGACAGAGATTCCACAGCTTGGAGGTGTCTTTGTGGAAAGCACAACCTTTCCCGGGAAGGGCTTACTTAGTGCTGGAAGTCCCGGAATCGCTCCCCATCCCCCTGGGAAGGAAACGAAGGGAGGGGGGTCTGCAGAAATATTCTGCTCCCAGTTTAATTCCAGTTCCGACCGGGTGGTCTTGGGATGACCTGCCCCCTTTGATGGTGATTTTGACACTCCAGTGGCACATTCTGCAGCAGGTTTTGTTGGCGTTGATATGTTTGTGGTGCTTACTGTGGCTTTGAGCAGACACCTGCTCACTTGTCCAAACCCTCAAAAGCAGGGGTCTTCAAACCTGGCCACTTTAAGTCTGGTGGACTTCAGTTCCCAGCATCCCCCAGCCAGGCATGCTGGGAGTTGAAGTCCCCAAGCCTTAAAGTTGCCGCCTTCGGAGTCCCCTGCTCAGGATGAACGGAAGCCCAGAGAGAGCCTGTTTTCGAGAAGCACATGCTGGGAAAAAGGAGCCTTGGCAGAGATATTCCCATCATGCCTTGCTCCGGGAGCATCCCGCGGGCCAAGGGAGGCGGCCATGGTGCTTACAGTTTGGCCACGAGCTTCCTAGCCTGGCAGGGCTTCCTTTTTTTTTTTTTTTCCAAAATGCAAAGTTGCTTCCAGCCACGGCAGCCTTGATGGACACAATCCTGGCCCTGTTTTTCTTTCCAGGTTTTGCTTGGCCGGCTTCTCGCTGACGTTTTCCCTGGTGGCGCTGAGCCTGGCCTCCGAGAAGGTGAGTCACTGTTGGTCAAGAGGCTTACTCACCTGCTGGCAGAGAAGCCAGAAGGAACCCTGGGTGGTGTGTTTTCCCAGGGAGGAAGCACTGCCTTCCACCTGCGGACCAGGCGGCCGAGGGCCGGCAGCCTCCCCTCATGAGGGTTCCTGAGGGCCATCAACAACCTTGATTTCATAAGTTGAAACTCCTTTGTAAAGGAGGACATCTGTTTCTCGCCCCCAAATGCTGGAACCTCCGGTCGTTCCTATGTCTAATACTCTATCCTTGAGGACTGGATACTTAAGGAAATCAAGTTTGCGGTCAATAACTTAAAAATCCCACCCTCTTCAAAGTGCTGTCCCCACCATTGAAGGCTTGCAATGAAGAACTATCCAAGAGGAGGATGCAAAACATGGGACAGGCCTTCCTCGTATAGGGACCACAATGGGGATCGGCAACTCCATTGTTAAGCAGAACAGTCACTAAGCGAAAGCGCGACTGCGCTTATGATCGTACTCTGGTTTCCTTTCCTTGACAGACCTGGGAAGGCTGCAAAAAGTGAGGACTGACTGGAAACCATCGTAACTGCGAACGGTCGCAAACCGAAGCAGTTGCTAAACGGGGGACCATTTGCATTCGCTCCCTAATGTATTTGGTGAAAATAAACATTGGGGGTTTGATTGGCGATGGCTTTAGGAAATAAAAGGAGGGGAGTTAGAGTATGGAAAAGGTCCTGAGGTTTATTTAAAAGTTTCCCCCTTCAGTTGTACTTCTCTGCATACCTTTTTATGCCTCATAGTTTATTTGAGTGAGAAGATGACAAGTTTTGGCAGCCACCAATGAGTTTGCAATTTGGGCTTTATCCTGTGGATTAACTGTATCTTCTAAAAGGCCAAGAAATATTCTTCTTCTTTTTTTTCTAGGTGCATGGGATATTCTAAATAGCCTATAATTCTGACTCTGACCCCTCCTCTTGTAAAGAGGTTTTTCTTTAAAAACATACCAGTTGTATCGTGCAACTAAACTGTAAATCTCCCTTGCCTGCATACGAGCAAGCATGATCTTACCCAGTTACACGATTAAACCCAATAAGAATTCATTGGGGGAAGGTGGAACTTCCTGCCTTGGAGGCGAGGAATGAAAAGATTTACTGCCTTTTTTACAGGAAGCAGCTCCCCTAAAATCCTCACCGGGAGAAAGTCTCTAGAGCCCCTCCCGGGGTCTGCACTCCTCCTGCTGCAGAAATCTGACTTTTGATCAGGGGGGGGGTCCATCCCTGGCAAATTTAAGCCCGGTGGGCTTCCACTCCTAGAATTCCCCAGCCAGCATGGAAAGAAAGAGAAGGGAGGGAGGGAGGGACGGGGGGGAGAGAGAGAGAGAGAGAGAGAGAGAAAGAAAGAGAAAAGAAGGAAGGAAGGAAGGAAAAAAGAAAGGAAGGGAGAGAGAGAGAGGGAGAGAGAAAAAAGAAAGAAAGAAAAAAGAAAAGGAGGTAGGAAGGAAGGAAGGAAGGAAGGAAGGAAGGAAGGAAGGAAAAGAAAGAACAGAAGAATTTTCTGGCACCCCCATGAACGAGAGGCACCTTGTGTATTTACTCTCCCTCCAAAACTCTTCCTGGCTGGACTGTTTAGCAAAACCGTCTTCATTTTATTAATTTTCCTTTTATGGCTGAAAAATGTGCCCCTTTTTGTTCCTCCCCCCTTCTTGGTGCGCCTCTGACATCACCAGCTCTCAACCCACTGCTGACCCAAACGCCACCAGCTGGGAACCATCCTGGACACCTCGGTGGGGAGAAGGGGGGTGAAGGAGAATGGAAGAGGGACAAGGTAGACAGGCCCCCTTGCCTGGAAGGGAGAGAGGAAAAACTGCTGAAAATGCAGATAGAGTGACTGCAAAGTTTTGACGCCCTTGGGTTTGAAAAGTCCTAGATTTCTAGCCCTCAAGATTCAAGAAGGGGAACGCTGCACCTGGCGAAAGGCGAGCTGAGCAGAAACGCTATTCTTTAGCAAAAACCTGCAATGCAAAACCCCATGGATGGAATCCTGTGGCTTTTTGGGGTACATGGTTAAGAAGAAACTTAGGAGCACCAGAGCAAGAAGACAGTCCTGCCACAAAGTGTGTGTGTGTGTGGGGGGGTATATTGCCCCTAAATCTGGAAGTTCCATTATTGACTTCCAGGTCTCTGGATAGGAGCTGCTCTGTGCATAGGCCGTAACGGGGCAAATTTCATGTTCTGTAAACGGATAAAAAGAGGATGAAGGAGCAAAGTGGGGAAGTTGCTGACTTGTGCAGTGTTTTTGTGCAGGGAGGTGTGAGGCTGAACCTGGATTGCCAAATTCCTCTGGATCTGTTTTCCCCACAGGTTGCCCCAAGGACACCTCGGCAGAGTTCTGGGGAAGAGGCGGCGGGAAGCAGAGCGCCCGGCGTTTGGGGCAGCTGGGGAGTGTGGTCCGCTTGCTCGCAGCCCTGCGGCCTGGGGGTCCTGGAACGGACCCGGAGCTGCCAGTCTCCCTATCAGCGGGACCCCTGGGCTGGGAGGGCGGAGGGGGTCCCACGGCCACCAGTCTCGCAGCAGCAGCAGCAGCAGCAGAGGCCCCGCTTCAGGGACCGGCCACCTCCCCCATCCGGACACTGGCCAGCTCACCCTCTGCGCTCGGGCAGGAACTCTTGGTCAGCCTCGTCCGTCTACAGGGGAAACCCTCATGGCTCAGTCAACCGCCATGTCCGCCAGGAGGCCAGGGCAGCTGCGGATGGAGCCCTGCCCCCCTCCCACTCTGAGCCTCCGAGGGACCCCAGCCCCTTCTTCCAGGCTACACGATCTTGGGGAAGCCCCCTTGGCTACCAGGGGTTCCCCAGCCAGCCCCGGCCTCAAAGGCCACCTACCGCTGGGGGCTCCAGGACCCCTGCCCAGAAAGTAGTCCCATTGTACAAGCCAGCGAGGCAGGGGGGCCGTGAGGGGGGCTCGAACCAGGAAGAGGACCCTCCCGGAAGCTGGCCTGATGACAATCCGCTCAGTTGGGCAGCGTCTCCGAGGCCGGACTCCTCCCAGGCGGCCTGGAGGTGAGTGTCAGGGCCAATTGGGGGGGGGTCAACAGTGAGGGAGGAGTGTCCCCCCCCCGCCTTCTGCTCCAACATTGTCATCGTGCCCAACCTTGTGCCTTCCAGGTCCCGAGTTCGAGAGACCATCAAGCCTGGCAAATACGGCTATGGCAGGGTGCCCTTTGCTTTGCCCCTCCACAAAGAGCCAGCCGAAGGGGGCACCCCCCGTTTTAAGCGGCACCCCGGAGAGAAGACCGGGGAGCCCCCAGCCTCCTCCACCCCCTCACCTCGCCTTCCTGCAGCCGAAAAGGAGCAGCCCAAATCGGCCCCGCCCTCTGGCGAAACGCCTTGGACCCCGGGCAGGACTCAGGCTGGACCGGAAGGAACGGGGCTGAAGAGGGGGCATTTTGGGGAAGGGGACTCAGCAGCCCCCAGCAGCCCTCCCCAGCAGGGTCCCCCCTCCGTCCCTGCAGAGGAGGAGCCCCGAGACAGCATCCCGGGGGGGCTCCCAGGACCCCAAGAAGGCTCTGCCTCCGTCTCTCATGCCGGTGGGAGCAGCGTGGCAAAGGAGGGGGCTTTGGCTCCCTCCCGGGGCTCCTCTTCTCAAAGGCCCCCTCCCCCTGGCAGCCCCCCTCCACATGCTCAAGAGGACCTGCGCCAAGTCCCAAAGAACCCCATCTCTGCTTCCCAAGACAAAGGGCCCGGAAGGGGGCCGAACCCACGGGCCACCCCAGGGCGTCCTCCCCGACAGCCCCCCAGACTCAGCCTGGACCCCCACCCGCCCCCCAGCCGGGCCCATTCTCGGAACCAGAGGCAGCACCAGCCTCGGGGGGGCGGCCGTGGCCCCCAACCACAACACCTCTTTGTGGACCAGCCTGGGCTTCGTGGCCCCGCCGAGCCGGACATCTGGCTGCTACACCAGGGTAGCCCTGTTCCCTTGAACCCGGGGGGGCAACGGCCCCAGGTGGAGCCCCCCCAGTGGAACCTGTACGCCCCCGGCACTGAGACCTTCCACTGCCAGGGGGAGAGCAGGCAGTTCAGAGCGTGCAGGCAAGAGGTGAGCCCCCAGTGCCCATGGTGCACAGGTGTCGTCCTGGCAACGGATGTGCAGGTTGGGCCAAGCGATTGTTTCAGGAACAAAATACGGGCAGTCCTCACCTTACCGCCATCCATTTAGCGACCGTCTGAAGGTGCAACGGCACTTGCAGGAGGAGACTCAGCCAGTTGGGGTTGGGGGGGAGATTCCTTTGCTTGGTGAACTGTAAAATGGAAGCAGAAAAGTGTACATTTTTTTAGTGTACACTTTTGTGCACGTCCTGGGAAGCTTCTGCTCTTCCGGGCTTCTCTTGGCCAGAGTTTTGGTGTTGCAGGAGGGGTGAAAGGTCGCTGGGCCTTTGGAGTGGACAGCTGACCTGTCCTTGACTGAACTTCCCTGCTCCTGAGTGTCCGGTGTTCTGAACAACAACAGGCTTTCCGTGTTTACACAACAGACCCACAATGCCAAATTCCAAACGCTGGGGACGGAGAGCCGGGAAAGGGTTTGGTCCCGATTCCTGGCAATGCCTTCGCCAAACACACAAAAATCTTTTCTAAATTGGCGCTGGCCGGGTCCCCTCCCCAGCCAGCACCTCCTTACCCCGAGAGGGCTGTTGGGGCGATGGGTGGGGGTCCCGCCTCAGGGGTGGGTGGGACACGTGCCGCCACGCCCAGAGGGGGAATTGCAGGCTGAGTGTGGCAGGAGAGGAGGCAATGTGTGCAAACTTCAACCTGCGGTCGGCTTCCTTCCTCTTCCGCAGCCGTGTCCTCCGGACCGCCCTGACCCCCGAGCTGTCCAGTGCGCTGCCTACAACAGCCAGGAGTTCATGGGCCGCTTCTACCAGTGGGAGCCCTTCATGGAAGGTGAGTAGCTTCTCCACCCTGTCTCTGACCAGGGGGTCTTCCCCTCCCCTCTGTTGCTGATTCTGGTGGCGGTGAGTTCCACAAGATCCCCTCTGTACTGTTTTGGCGCTTTAGTTCAGGCGCTGCATCCCAGGAGGAGACAGGGATGGTCTGGTTTTTCTCCATCTCCCCCCCCCCCAGGGGAGGGGGTAAGAGACAGAATCTTACACAGGAGCTTAAGCTTAGGCAGGACCCCCCACTCCTGTCGCTTATCGTGGGGGGGCGGGGAACCATGGTCCTTTTATGACTTGTGGACTTCCAACTCCCAGAACTTTTGGCTGAGGAATTCTGGGAGTTGAAGTCCACAAGGCATAAAGGGGGCATAGCCCCCACCCTGCCTTATAGGGACCCCCTTCCTTGTCCAGATCTGCAGATCTCAGAGCAATGTTGCTGTGTGGTGCTGGCGCCCTCTGCTGGCAAGTACTGGGATTGCCCGTGATTGTGATTCAATATTTTCCAATCAAGGGATTGAGAGAGAGAGAAAGAGAGAAAGAGAAAAAGAAAGAGAGAGAGAGAGAGACTTGGGGGGGGGAGAGTATGTGCAATTGGCAGAGGATCCTGATTCCCATCTTCCTGGGCGTTTCCTAGTATGGGGCTCCCAGCGCTGTGAGCTGAACTGCCGCCCTCTGGGTTACCGCTTTTACGTCCGCCACACGGAGAAAGTGCAGGACGGCACCCCCTGCGAGGCTTCGTCCCAGGACATCTGCGTGGCCGGGCAGTGCCTCGTGAGTAGCTCGGCTTCTGGGGGACGGAGAAGGGGTCCCCCTTGCAAGGCAAGGCCAGCTGGGCACTGTTTGGAAGGGCACTTTGGGGAGGGGGGTGATCCACTTCAGAGACCCTCGGAGGTTTATTTCTGGCCCCACCCCATTCCTCCTTTCTCGTTGGACCTGCAGACCCCCGGCTGTGATGGGATCCTGGGTTCGAATCGCACCCTGGACAAGTGTGGGGTGTGCGGTGGAGACCACACCACCTGCAAACTGGTGGCGGGCAACTACAGCGAGACCAGCGTCCCCATCGGTTACCACCGCATCTTGCAGATCCCAGTGGGAGCCACCCAGATCCAGGTCCGGGAAATGGCCCGCAGTCCCAACTATTTGGGTATGTCCAAGAGGGAGGATCCTTTCCAGTTACACCGAATTATTCCCAGACATTTGCTCCCTGCTCTCTTGAGGCCAGATCCAGATGGTCTCTGGGGTGGGGGCTCCTGGCATTGCCCTGGGGCTGGGCGTGGGATGACACGAGCCCCCTTCCTCCCCCAGCCCTTCGTACCCAGAGTGGCAAGTCGATCATCAACGGAAACTGGGCGGTGAACCCTCCGGGGCGCTACGAGGCGGCGGGCACGGTCTTCATCTACCGTGACCAGGAGGAGGGCGAGCTCCTGACGGCCGACGGACCTACCACCAAGGCCGTAGAACTGTATGTGAGTAGGGAGGGGTGCTCCCGATGGCCTGACCGCTTGAGATTTCGGGGTTCGTGTGGCACGAGGTCTTCCTGGGCGGAAAGGTGGAAAAGAAGCAAGGACGGGGTCAGTAGGTGCCACTTTCCTTGCCCCCCCCCCTGCAGATGATCTTCCAGCAAGACAACCCCGGGGTGTCGTACCAGTTCTTCCTGGCTCAGCCGGGGGACCCCCACCGCCCCCCTCGTCGGCCTCAGGAGGAGTTGGGTGAGCAGCTTCTCCCACTTCAGGTCTGAGTTCAAGTCTGCCCACACCTGTACCTCTCCAGCTCTGCAATTCTTTCAGGAGAGGGTTGGGTGCTGGGACTGATGCGGAGCTAAATCCTGAGCTCTTAAGTGTAGTCCTAAAGTTCGTTTAGTGACTGTTTGAAGTTACAGCAGCACTGAAAAAAAAGGACCGTTCTTCACACACGGTATTAGCAGTAATTTGCTTAACAGCTGTGGCAAGGAAGGTCATAAAATGGGACAAAATTAGTTGTCCTGCTTAGCAACAGAAAGGTTGGCCTCGATTGTGGACGTAACTCAAGGACTACCTGAGCTTCTAACGAAATCTCCTCCCTCTTTCCAGGCGCTTCAACCGTGGTGGAGCCTCTCGCAGGCCAGGCAGGTCGGCTGCCTTCGGCTCCCAGACGAAGACCGGTTTCCGCCCAGCAGCCCCCTCCCTCCAGCCCCTGGGGTAGCCCCCGTGACGTGCCTACCCCTCCTGCCTTGGCCAGCCAATCCCGGAGGAGCCTGGAGACTCTGCAGCGCAGCGCCCGGGTCCCACCCCTGCCGCCTCCCCCACCCCCCGTCCGGCACCCCTCCGAATCCGGCCAGGACTTTCACTGGAGGCGCTTCGGCAACACGGAGTGCTCCGCCTCCTGTGGGAAGGGTAAGTTGAGACGGGTGGAGAGGCCACTGCCCTTTCTGACAATTCCTAGGCAGGTAGACTGCTGCTGAGCAGGGAGCTTTACTTTTTGCTCCAAGCTGCCTAACCCATCTCTTTTGGAGGAGGAGGAGGATGATTTAAGATTAGCCTGTCCGAAACTCAGGGCAAAAATGGAACCTGCTGTGCTTGTTGCATCAACCGTGTGGAGAGATAAGGGGCTGCAGAGCCCCCCCCAAAGTTTTGCTTTGAGTGTTTTTTGAGGCCCCTGACCAACCCTCCACCCCATCCCCTCCACGTGACGGTTTGCAGCCCTCCTCTTTTGTTTCCAGGGTTCTGGCAGTCCGTCTACCGCTGCGTCTCTCGCCTTTCCCAGGACGAAGTTGGGGAAGAAAAATGCCACCTGCTCCCCAAACCGTTTGCCCAGGACGAGGTCTGCAACACAGAGCCCTGCCCAGCCTTGTAAGCCCTAACCCCTTCTCTCTGGGGGGCTTTGAGGAGGGCTCAGCCCACTTCGCCTTCTCCCTCGGTTGGGTTCGGGTTCAGCTCCGGAGTGCCGAGTGGTGTCTTCCTCACCCTCCAGTTGGTCCAGTGGCCAGAGGGTCTGTGGCCGAGAGATCTGCCAAGGGTTTTGGATGGGGGACAATTTGAGTAAGGGTCTTTTGAGCACACCAGTGGGATCTCACTTTGCAGCCACCCTGCGAGGCTGGATCAGCCTCTGGTGGTCTGGAAACGTTTGCCCGTCCCTGGGGAGATTTTATCCTTTTGCACCAAGCTGGAATTGGTGAGCCACGAAATCTGTTCCTGGGCGGGGGAAGCATTTTGCCCTGAATTGTGTTCCCTGCTGGTTAGCACGCGCTGGGTGCCAGGGGGCCCAAGGAAACCGGATTACTAAGTTGTTTTCAAAACGTGTGATTGCTCTTCTTAGCAAGCCCCCATTTTTGCTCCTCGCTCACCGCTCCTTATCTGTTCCAGCTGGGATGCGGGCGAGTGGTCGGCCTGCAGCAGATCCTGCGGGCTGGGAACCCAGCACCGCCAGGTCCTTTGCCGGCAGATCTATGCCAACCGCACCACCATGGTGCACCCCCAGCGCTGCAGCCAGCTGGAGAAGCCGAGGGCCACCCAGGACTGCCAAGTGCACGTCTGCAGCCACTGGGAGATCCAGACCAACTGGAGCTCGGTGAGGCAGAGGGAGCGGGGAGATGAGGGTGCCGGGGGGGGGGGCATTGCTGCCCAGCCTCGGCCCTGGACATTGGCGAGCAGGGCACAGATTTTTTCGTGGGGAATTGGGGTTGTGCCCCTTAATGCCGTGGCTTTCGGCCTCTGTGCTCCTTTTCTCCCCCCTGCTCCAGTGCTCCGTCCTTTGTGGCACAGGCCACCGGACCCGCCACGTGCGCTGTGTCAGTAACCACGGAGAGCTCTTGAGGGACAGTGACTGTCCAGACAACCCCCGGCCCCAGGCCAGTGAGGCTTGCAACATGGGTCCTTGTGTGCGGAGCTGGTTTTACAGTGACTGGAGCAACACAGTAAGAATACATTTGGGGCAGCCCTGACCCCTTTCTCCGTCCCCCCAGTTTTCAGACCTTTCTGAAGATAGTCTATATCCTTCTTCCATATCTTGCTGCAGCTCTGTTTGTCTTTCCCGCCGCTTGACTCTGGAAAAATTGGAAAATAACCAACAGAAAGGGATGCATGAAATTCCTACTGTTCTCTTTCAGTGCTCGGCTGACTGTGGCACCGGCATCCAGCGCCGTTTGGTTGTCTGTCTCTCCAGCAACGCTGACGGACAGGCGGATGAAGACTGTGCCAGTCCCAAACCAGCCGACATGAGGGCTTGTGACGGTGGGCCGTGCCAGCGGGTGGCTCGCTGGTACAACGGCCCCTGGAGCTCGGTAAGGGCTGGTTGAGTTTTCCTGGGCTTCGACCTTCTGTCCAGCTTCTCTTGGTACTCACACTGGCGGGGCTTCTTGCTGCCCCCAGAGACCCCTACTCTTTTCTCTCCCTGGGTGACCCCTGCCCTCCCTCCCCAGTGCTCGGTCGAGTGCGGCTACGGCACCCAGAGGCGCGACGTCATCTGTGTGGGCAAACAGGGGACGCAGTTCAACGTGACGGGGGCCTCCGAGTGCGCCCACTTGGAGAAGCCGCCTTCTCTCCAGCCATGTGTCGGGACGGACTGCGAGGCCCGTTGGTTTTCCACCTCCTGGAGCACAGTGAGTGGGGGGACAGACTTTTTTTGGGGGGGGGGGAAACGGAACCTCTTGCATGCCAAGATACGGAACCCATCTCCATCTAGACAGGTTTCCCAGCTCAGGAAAAGCTCCACACAGCCCCAAGCTTTGATTCACATTGGGACCGATCCTCAAATAATCCATGAAGGATGCAGAACCAGGGAGGGAGAGGAGTTTGACCCCCCCAATGTTTTCTTTTGCCCCCGCAGTGCTCCAGATCCTGCATGGGGGGCATCCAGGCGAGAGAAGTCCAGTGTCTGACGCAGAATAAGACCCTGAGCGCTCTCTGTCCCCTCCACATCAAACCGGCCACCAGGCGCCCTTGCAGCAGCCAGCCCTGTATTCCTTCACTTGGTAAGCATGCCGCAGGGCCCCCCCCCCAAGGAAAGTGGGGTGAGAAGGAGGGCAGAGCAAAGGCGGCCCGTCTCTGCTGGGGTGGGGAGTGCTCTTTATAGCCAGTTCGGTATTCGGGAAAGGGAGAAAGACCCCTACCCCATTTATCTTCCTCCAAAGGGTCAGTATTTGTTGGAACTGCTCTCCTGCCACTGGGGGGGGGTCAGCCTCAAGGCTCTCCCCCAGCTCTTCTTCTGCCTTTTCCCTCCAGCAGATGTGACCTGCCGGGACAAGTATCCCAACTGTGCAGTCATTGTGCAAGCCCGTCTGTGTGTCTACTCATACTACAAAGCTGCTTGTTGCGCCTCCTGCTCACATGCTCTGGAGAGGCGCCAGGCGGACCCAAGCCGGTAGCATCGGCAGACTCAGGCACAGGGTCTGCCTCCTGCCCCCTGCTCGAATGGGAGAGAGGACGGAGAGGGGGGCTGGGAGGGGAGCACCAAGCCTGGGAAAGTGTTGCCCACCAGCATTTGCATCTCGTAAGGAAGCCACAATCTTTTGCGGAGGCAGAACCACAATCCCACAGAAGCAGCCATGCACAGCCAAGCCTTTGCACCGGTTCCTCTCCAGCAGTGGGGATGAGTGGGGCACGGACTAGCCCATGGACCCTGGAGTTCTCCCTGGTTGTGGCGTATGGAGCTTCAGAGGATCTGGGGGCTTCGGGACCCTTCTCCAACCCTTCCTTCTCCCTATAAAAGGTGTGCCGTCTTGCGCCCTGGTCCCTCACCCACAGGGGCACCCCACGAGGCCAACGCCAGGCGCCGATTGGATCATTGCTACTGGTTTTATCTCCTGGACACACCAAAGGCCTTTTTAACAAAGATTCAGGAAAAAAAAGGAGAACAGGACTGAGGGTCTGTCCCGGGAACCGTTTCCTGAACTGTACGAAACTTAATCTCTGGGAAGAAACATCTGCAGCTCTCCGGATGCAGAAACTCGGCAGGAGGTTCGCCACAGCCTCCCCTTCCCACAGCAGCGTAAAAAAGATAGGGGGAAAAAAAAGAGGGTGGGTGGGTTTTGAAACGATTCAGAGGGTCTTTTCATGCTGCCTTGAAGAGGAGGGGAAGTGCTGTGCTTTCTTTTCTAAACCAGGGGTCTCCGAACTTGGCCACGTGAAGACTTGTGGACTTCAACTCCCAGAATTCCCCAACCAGGAATTCTGGGAGTTGAAGTCCACAAGTCTTCAAATGGTCAAGTTTGGAGACCCCCGCTCTAAGCCAAAAAAGGACATAAATGGTAGTATTTATCAAAGGAAAAGTCAAGGTCACAAAGAGGGGCTATGTTGTGTTACCTTTGCACCATCCACAATGGATATTCCTCCTTTTTAGAAAAGAAGCGGAATGTTTTTCTCTGCAGCCTCACTGAGTCCAGTGGCTGAAGCCCTTTTTTCAGTCCAATGTGCTGCAACGTAAAGATGCAGCAGCTGGACCGAAAATCTGCCCATCCCACCCGGAAAATGAGAGGCTAAAGGGAGGGGGGAATCTTTGTACCTTCCTGGACCTATAAAGCGGTTCCTCCCCCTCCCCAATGGCTTTTAAAATCTAAGTAGGAAGATCAAAGTCCCCACAGAGTGTTCAGATTTTATATATAACAAATATATCTATAAATATATATTTTATATAGAGAGAAATGTCTACGATAAAACTGAATGTATGCCAATTAGTTTTGTCCATCTGCTTTGTCCCCCTTTTTTTGTCCAAATCTAATTTATTTTTTATTAAAGATTATTTGATTTTGACCAAGGCTGCTCGTGTCTTCACTTCACCCGCTTTGAGGAATTCGGCTGAATTTGCAGGGAGGAGAAGCGGCTGGTTTTTCGCCTTTGATAAAACGGGGCATCTCATCTGCTGCAGGGACAATGGAGCTGCCCCAGCCAGGAGCACTCTACCTCGGCTCTCTGCGGCAAGCAGCCACCCCCGCCCTCGCGGTGCTCCCCCCCCGACCCAATTCGGAGGATGCTCCACATGCGTGGAAGCGCAACGGCTCTTCTCGGCGCGCAAACTGCGCCCCTGTTTTAGCTGCATCTCCCAACTTTTTTGGGGGGGTGAAATTAATTCTGGAACTACTACACTTTGAAGCGCATCTTGCATGGAGTTTCCCAGGGTGACGTGGGAGCGGGGAGCGCATCCCACCCGAAACACGCGTTTCCCCGCGGCGAAGAGCCGACCATTTCGCGCGCGCGTGCGCACAAGCGCCGCTCCGCCGCTCCCGGGAGGGGGAGAAGCGCCGCCGTCGCGCATGCGAGCCTCTCGGCCCTTCGGCTCAGGCACCGCCGTGGCCACCCCTCCTCCGCCTCGTCGCGCGGGGCTTCGCAGGATCCGGGGGCGCGACGAGCGGGACCCCCGCGGGGAACGGCGACTCCCCCTCCCGGCCCCCACCCCCGCTTTGCCCCGCCCCGGCCTCTCCCCGCGAGGACCCTCAGGCGGCGCGCGGGCAGCCCCGGCTGGGCCCGGCAGAGGCGGCGGCGGCGGCGGCGCGGTGAGTGCGGCGGGGGGCGATGGGCTCTGGAGTCCGCCCGCCGGGGCGCCTGGTCCTCCGGCTGGGGGCGAGGGAGGTGGCATCGCCCCCCCGGAGTCTTGGCGGGGGCGAGGCGCCTTCCCGCAGGGTGGGGGTGGTGGTGCGTGGGGCAGGGGATGATGGGGGGTGTAGTCCACCAGCTGGAGAGCGCCTGCCTTTCTCTGCCGGGAAGTGGCTCTTTGGCCCCCTCCGGCCCTTCTCTGCCCCCTGGGGACCCCGGAAGGCGGGGGGGGCATCTGGAGCGGATACCCCTCCCCGGCCCCCCCAGCGGCCCCCCTTCTGCAAAGACCCCCCTTCGCCCCTTTCCCTCCCCCCCGGCAGACCCTCCTTTGGCTTGGAAACCTTTGCCCCCCCGATCCCCCCCAAGGCCGCCCCCCTCCCCCAAGGTCTCTCCCGGAGTCGCCCCCTCCCCTCCGACCCCTTCGGGCGCTGCCCCCCCTCGATCCCCCCCCGGGGCTCCAGGGCTGCAGGCGGGGAGGGGAGTTGCAAAAGTCGCGGCTCCTGCGGGGTCTGTTGCAAAATCGCTGCCCGCGGAAGAGGCGCCGCTTCCTTCCCGGGCAAGAGGCGGCGGGCCCCGTTGCCCGGCCACCCGCAAGTCTATCGGCCACTTCCTGGCTCCCTCGGGCTCCCGGAGGGATGCGCAGGAGGCCAGTTGGTGGACGCTGGGCAAGAGGACCCTTTTGGCAGGCCGGGAGACGGTCCGGACCGACGTTGCTCAACTTGGCAGCTTTAAGCCGCCTGGACTTCGACTTCCAGAAGCCCCCAGCAGCAAAGCGATGGGCTCTGGAGTCCGCCCCGCCGGCGCGCCTGGTGCCCCGGCTTTGGGGAGAGGGGGATGGGCGGTGGAGTCACCCCCTGGAGCCTTGGAGGGGGAGGCCCCTCCCTGCAGGTGGGGGTGCGTGGGGCAGGGCTGGGGAATTCTGGGAATTGAAGTCCACGCATCTTAAAGCAGGAAGCAGCAGTGTGGAGGGTGAATGAAAAACCCCTCTTTTGAGGGGCTGCTCTGTGGAGCCCATGGCGGGCGTTGCCATTCCCATTGTTGTCGTTTCTGCCAATATTTTGCATTAATGCCAGGACGTCCTCTGAAATTTTGTGGCATCTGAACTGCCACAAAGCAAGTTTGGGAGTGTGTTTAAAGCAGCCTTAATTATAATCTTGGCTTTATAAAGAGGCAAATTTGCTTCTGGGGTTGGGACAGTCTGCCTGATGCTGTCCAGCCAAACAGGTGCAGGGAGCCAGTTTGCGAGGGAAGCGAAGGGCTGGATCCAGAAGGGATCCCCCACTCAAAGAGAGCTTGCGTCACCTCAAGCGTGTCCGCTGCTTGCCCTGTGAAAAGTGTCCCCCCCCCGGGGGGTTTTCATCTTAAAGCGTGGAATCGGGTTGTGCGAATGGGACTGGCTGCTTTGCCAAAGGGAAGCGATTCCTTCCACAACAGAAAGGAGGGCCCCCTGCAAGTTGCATACGACAAATGTCCTTCCAGGATTTTTGCTTTTCAAGAGGGATCTTGAGTTACAGGGCTCCTGCCAAAAGTTGAGGGGGGGGGGGATGAGGCTGGAGGGAGGCTGGACAGCTGAGACCCCGTTTTCTCCTGACGAGTCTCTCTTTTTCTCCTCTCCTCAGCAGCTCTGAAGAGTCATCCTGCCGGATCCCTTTGCGAGTCCTCTCAAAAAAATGGCTGACCCAACCGGTGCCATGGACGCGCGTCTGAACCAGGCAGCGGGGCCGAGAAGATAGAAATGAAACAGGCAAGTGACAGGTTTACAGCCTCCCGTGGATGCGGAGAGTTCCTAACTCTTGAGCCCTGGTCTTTCAGAAAAGGGGATCCTCCTTAAATTGGTTAACTAAGTTTAAAGTTGGCGGCCTCCCCTTGTGCCTCAATCTCCACTTTGGCCTGGATCGGGCATCACCCTTGCACCGGGTTTTTCAGCAAGTCAGCTGAGTTTGTGGCCATGAATTGTGGTTTGCAAGCCACAGAGACAGGGCTGAGTGTGTGGAGGAGCCCAGCTCTTGCTATCCACCTCTGAGGGACCCGTGTTGCCTGCTGTCTCAGACAGGTGAGGTTCAAAGAAGAGTGCCCCTGCCTGTGGTGTGCCCAGCCAAGTGCTTTTCCCACACACGTTTGTGGGTGATGCAGGGGCTGGCAGGGGCCATGGGAGAACCCAGGCCGGTGTGAGTCAGCATGGCAGATCCTGTTCGGACTCGCCTCTCTCTGCCTGGGAAACGCAGCAAGTCTCATTTGTTTTTAAGCGGCCGTTTGTTCTTAAAAGATAAAATGTGTTTGTTGTGTTATGTTCCACTAAGTGCATTGTTAATCCGGGCTACAGCCCTGATCCTCTCCCCCCCCCCCGCCATCCCTAACCAGCTCTTGAAATGAGGGGTTTGACCCGGAGCAAGGAATCCTTTCCCCCACGGTGCACGGTGCAACTTGATGACTGCTGCACGTTGGGTCTTTGGGGGGAAAAGGGGCGTAAGTGAAATCTGTGAAGTGCTGAGTACAGGGAAAAGGCAGGCCCTGTAATGGGAACCAGATGTCTGCAGATGTCTGAGTGAGGGGGCGCTTGCGTAGGCCGGCGGTCTTCTGCAACGTGTAATGAACTTGGGAGCGCTCCCAAACAGCCTCACTCTAAAACTCAGCAAGGCTTGTGAGTTCAAAATGGCTTAAAAAAAAATAAAAGACTGGAGGTACATGAAACTTTTTATTGATCGTGTAGTGTGGTGGAACCTCCCTGTTTGGGAGCACTGTACCTGTCAGGAGGGTGGAGAGAGCGTCCAACGGACACCCTTGCAGGACTGTGCTTTGCCTGGAACATGGAGCTGCTGAGTTCAGCTTCTTTGGGCCATTTATCTGTTTGTAAAATTTATTGGCTGCCCATCTTCCCACAGGGCCACTCTTTGGGGGGAAGGCACCCTGGGTGGGAAGGGGGGGACATAGGGGTCCCTGCCCCTGACTTACATCCCAGCCCTTTGGAAAAGAGGCGCCTGCATTTGGGGCTTTGGGGAAAACCCCAACAGGTGGATTGGTCTCGGCACCTTCAAAACCTGGAAAAAGTCCCCTGGTGGATTAAATAGATTTTCCTGTTTGTAAGCAAACACCCCATTTTATTTCTTTGATTCGGTGTGTCTGTCAGGAGGCAACTTTGCCCTCCAATTAGCGGGCAGGCCTTTCCTTTCCCACCGACCTTTCCGGCCGGCCCCTTTCAGGAAAGAGCGGATTAAACGTGGGGCTGAGTTTAATCCCGAGACAGGGGCCACCCCGCTCCTCACTCTCAAAGCCACACGGGGGTCTCAGGGGGACTAACCCAGGCTGGGCCTCGCTCGATCCCAGCACGCTTCGTTTTGCTTCCCCCCATCTGTCACCTGGGCCTTGGCAGGGGCTCAGGGCCGGCCTCCTCGGATGCGCTTAAGAGGATGATATTTTAATCACTTTAAATAGAGCATCTATTTTAACTGATGAGCTTTGCTCCGTTGAAGTGCAGCTCTGCCTTGTCTTTTAAATACAGGAGGAAAAAAACCCTCCTCTTGGAGGGTCTGGAAGAAGACCCAGCTGGGGTGGAGGTCCCTGTTTTGGCAGAGTCCTGGGCAGTTAAGGCCTTCCCCCTCCTTCTCCCACCTATTAGGGACCATGGAGACGCCTCTCTCTCTTTTTGAAGTCCTCCTCCTCCTCCTCCTCCCTCAGATGTTGGCAGCCAAGAGTGATGCTTCTCAGCCTCTGGATTCTTATAGACAATTGTGTAGCCTTGGGGGAAAAGGTGCATTCCAAAAGTTTTCTGGCTTCTAATTTTGAGCCAGTTGGGAGGAAAAGGAAATGATGGGGGGGATCCCGGACCTTGGGTCCCTTTCAGGATCCTCAGGAGTTGATGAGTGTCCACATCCATGCCCAGAGGTCGTGCGTGGCATCTGCAGGATGCCAAGATAGGGGGTTTCGTGTGGGAACAAACTGTTCCCTCTTGGGCGGAGGGGGGCTCTCCGGATGACACCCTTCAGCTCTCGCCCGTGGATCCGCCCTCTGGTGCTCTCGGGCCCCATTAAGGCACGGCAGAGTTGAGTCTGTCCCACAGCCTGCTTCTTTCCAAGACTGAGGAATTCTGGGAGTTGAAGTCCACAAGTCTTACAGTTTGGAGACCCCTCCTTTAGGGCAGTCTTGTGATAGACACACCGGTCAGCAAGAGGAAGTTAAAATTTTGGTGTTTTGCCATTCTTCCTTCCCAGTTGTTGTTGTTGTTGTTGTTGTTATTATTATTATATTATTTTTATTAAAAGATGATCAGTTTGAAGTTACAGAGTCGGCCCCCGAAGGCAGCGGCTGATCCTCCGTCTGGGTGTCCTGAGAAATCACGAACGAGGGCAGCCACGCCTGACTCTGGGTGGCCAGAGTGGGGTTTGGTCTCGGTTTCGGGCCCTTAAAAGAGTCCACCTTCCCTTGTTTTCCAGCTGTGAAAGAGGACAGGCCCACCGTGGACATGAGTCGCTCGGCTGCAGACACCCCCCCGCCAGAGGAGACGCCAGCGGAGGCCTCGGCCACCGTGCCCCCCCAGGGAGAGGGCGGGACGGCCCTGGGGGTCATCACGGAAGGGGTGGGCGAGCTGGCTGTCATCGACCCCGAGGTGGCCCAGAAGGCCTGTGAGGAGGTTCTGGAGAAGGTCAAGTCCCTGCACTGCGTCTCCCCAGACGGTTCCATCCGCCCCAAGGACAGGAAGGCCGGCGGCCGCTGGCCGGGCCTGAACGGCGAGTGCTGCGAGATCAAGTGTCTGGACGACCCGCCCGACAAGATCTGGGAGGAGGACGAGCACCCCCCAAACTCGGTGAAGGGGGTCCGCCGGCGCCAGAAGAACAACTCCGCCAAGCAGTCCTGGCTGCTGCGCCTCTTTGAGTCCAAGCTCTTCGACATCTCCATGGCCATCTCCTACCTCTACAACTCCAAGGAGCCCGGCGTGCAGGCCTACATCGGCAACCGCCTCTTCTGCTTCCGCAACGAGGACGTGGACTTCTACCTGCCCCAGCTGCTCAACATGTACATCCACATGGACGAGGACGTGGGCGACGCCATCAAGCCCTACATCGTGCACCGCTGCCGGCAGAGCATCAACTTCTCGCTGCAGTGCGCCCTCCTGCTGGGCGCCTACTCCTCCGACATGCACATCTCCACCCAGCGCCACTCGCGCGGCACCAAGCTGCGCAAGCTGATCCTCTCCGACGAGCTCAAGCCGGCCCCCCGCAGGAGGGAGCTGCCCCCCCTGGTCCCGGCCCCCGAGGCCGGGCTGTCCCCCACCAAGCGGACTCACCAGCGCTCCAAGTCGGACGCCACCGTCAGCATCAGCCTGGGCAGCAACCTGAAGCGCACGGCCAGCAACCCCAAGGTGGAAAACGAGGACGAGGTGAGGCCCCCCTTCTCTGCCCTCCCCTCCCAGGCCAGGCTGGGCTTCCTTCGCAGGCGGGGTGGGGGGAGGACCCCTCCTGGGGTGGCCAGGGAGGTGGGGGGGGATTTCCTTCTCTGCCGAGGAAGAATCGGTCACGGAGGCTGTGTGTCGCTTTACTGGGCTGCTGTTGATGGGACAGGCCCAACGGGTGCATTGATGTGTGTGTGTGAACTCCCTTTTCTGGTCTTTCCTGCTTCGGAAGGGACCGGCTCATCCTGTGGCCGGAGAGTGTTGTGTGTGTTGTGGGTGGGCTCAGGCGTTGTGGAGAGGGTGTGCTTGCGCCACTCCAAAGGGAGGCTGTGAGTCCTCTGACTTCCTTTGTGTCTGAAGTCCACATTAAGTTGGGCGCTGTGACGTTGTTTTCTTGCCACTGTTGCAGTCTGGAAGGACTTGGTCACTTCCTTGTGGTTCTTAGCAGAAAGCACAGTCACCTTAATTTCACACATAAAGAAAAACAATAAGGTAACATTTGTCAGAAGGGAAAAGCCGGGGGTGCGCTGGGCATTTTCCTGGTTCCTGGAGCGCCCACCTGGCCTCGCCCCCCCGCACAGGAGCTGACCTGCTTTCTGGGTCCCCTGAGAGAGCCGGAGAAACGGCCCGGAGTGGAATAGAATTCCAGACGGAAGGGCTCCGTCCTCTGATGCGCGTGGCAGGCTTCAGCTGAGTCTCCTTGGGGCCTCCGCACCCTCCCTGTTGAACTCCCGGCCAGTTCATTGTTGGCCGGGCACAATGGGCCGATAGAGAACCGGATGCCGGGAGGCTGCTGGGTGCCAACTGGGAGCTGGCGCGCCTGTTCATGATGGACACCGAGCTCCATTCAGCCCAGGCGGTCTTGGCACCCCGTCCGGGGCCTGGCCCCTGTGCCCGCCTGCGGCTGCCGCTCTCCAGCCACCCAGGGGATCCGAAAGGCTGGCCAAAATTGGTTGTAGCCTTTCGGCTTTCTTGAGGCCGTCCCGGGACCGTCTCCGTAGCCGAGAAGGGAAAGGATGAAAAGCCAGGTTGGAAAGCAAAAAAAACTTCTTTAAAAATGTTGGTTCTCTCTCTCTCTCCTCTTCTGATAACCAGCCAGCCTGTTGCTCAGAACAGCCCTGTAAGGTAGGCCAGGCTGAGAGACAAATGCTTGTGAAATTTGAACCGTGTCTCAAAATCTGATCCAAGGTTGCTTTGGTCCTTCGTGGTCCTCTTTGGGGGAGGGCCTGCAGGCACCCCTTGAAAGCAGAGCACCAGGAGGGAGATGGGGGGGGGCCCTCATCAAACCCAGCTCCTTTCCCATCCTGGGAAAAATGGTGCCCCTCCCCTCCCCGTCACACCCAGAGGTGCCCTTTGGCAGCGAAGCGCTGAGGAAGGCTGAGTCAGAGGGAGCCCTGGGGGGGAGAGGGCGTCTGCCACACCCCAGCCATTTCCTGCTTGCTTGGAGGGCAGCGGCGTCTGTCCCCAAGGGATGGGTGAGAGGGCAGCCTGGGCATCGTGCTGAGCCAGCTGGGGATGATGGGGTTTGGAATCCTGCCCATCTGGCAGCTGCCTGGAGGGTTAGGTGGTTTTCATGAGAATTGGTCTATAAATAATAAAAAAAGTAAAAGAGAAAATAGATTTGGTGAATCTCCTTTCCTTCCTTCCTTCCTTCCTTCCTTCCTTCCTTCCTTCCTTCCTTCCTTCCTTCCTTCCTTCCTTCCTTCCTTTCTTCCTTGCATCCATCTTCCTCCCTCCCTTTTTTTAAGGTATTCTTCCTTTTGATCCTTGCCCCCTTTCCTGCATCTCTGGCGTCTCACTCTGACCCCCTGGGTTGGGGTCAGGGCTGCGTCAGGAGAGGAGAAGCCCCCACCTCCTCTGGGGGGGCAGCCCCAGGTGGGGGGGGGCGTCTGGGGAGGAACCCCAGGCCGGGCAGAGTCCACAGGGCTGCTTTCCTCACCTGTCAGGTTGTGGCTCAACTGAAAACGTGACACTTTGGAGGAAGTGTTGCAACTGCTTTCCGCAAGGATGGGGGGGGGGTGAGAATGCAGAAACCAGCAGGGGGGGAGGGGGGAGGCAGGTCCGTTCCAGGGGAGACCAGTCTGTGATGTTCCTTCCTGGGACTTTGTCGGCCTACGTTGCAGTGGGGTGTGTGTGTCTGTGTTTGTTTGGATGCTGCTTCACAAAGGCCAGTGGGTGCTGCTCTGTTATTTCCACTCTTCCCTGCCCCCCCGTGGATCTCCTGGTGGTCTCCCATTTAAAGCTTACTTTGTTTGAGACCAGCCAAGGCCACCCACAGGCAGTCCTCCCTCCTCCTGGCCGTGGTTTGGCATCTCTCTCCCCCTTGAAGCAGGGACCCCGTTGGGCCCCACCCCTGCCCCACGGCTCCCAGGCCTCCTGCTTCTCCCTGCCTCCCGAACGGAGAGCCGAGAAGGTTGGGGAAGGGCCCCTAATTCAAGATCTCCTTTCTTGGCCCTCCGTCAGGCTCCGAGAGCTGGTGGAGCTTCCCCGTCCAGGGGCAGTCTAGCTTTTTAAGGCCCCAGAGAGGCTGCCCCTCCCCGGCAGGCCCCACACCCCAAAGGCAGGGTCCCCGTTTCTTTGGGCGGGTGCAGTTGGGGGGGGAGCAGGACGGCGGGGGGGGGGCTGCGTACGAAGAGCTGATTTTAAACTCTCGCCTTTTCTCTCCTCAACTTTCCCCCCTCCCCGCTCCCCCCTTGGACATCCATCCGCCCCCCCCCACCCCCCCATTCATTTCCCAGGAAGTGTCATCGAGCTCCGAAAGTCTCGATAGATCCTTTTGTTCCGTAAGTGCCCCCCCTCCCCACTCAACCCGGCTGCCTGCCTCTTTCCTTTCTGCCCCTCCCTCCCTCCCCCTTGTGACCTCCCCCTCCCCACAGCAGCATTTCCTCTCTCGTGACCCTCCTCATCAGCCTGGCATCACCCCCCCCACCCCGCCAGCAAGGCAGATCACCCCCGCCTCCTCCTCCCCCCCCCTTTGCAAGCCAGATCCTGCACTGCTGGGGGCTGGGCCTCTCTCGTCTTCTAGCCCCCCCCCCCCAAAAGAAAAAGCCCCATGCCACTATCATGTGCTTGCCCAGCTCTGAGGAATTCTGCATGGCCCAGCACAGTGCCTGCTTTCTCCCACAGTTTCTCCCACAGCCCAGCCCCCCCCCAACTTATTTAGGGGTGGAGGGATTTCCCCCCCCCCAGCACTTCATTATGACCGATCTTCAGATTCACAGCCCGTCCTCGCAGGGTCCCTGTGAGTCCCCCTGTGTGATCTGAGTTCTAAAAGTGTGCAAAGTTTTCTGTTTTAGCCGTTCCCACGAGTGACCTGCAGAAACCCAGCCGGTCACTTGTCCGAAAAAAAAGAGGAAATGCTGTTTTTGGGGACCCGAGATTCGTTTTTTGATTTAGCATGTCCTGGGTGCCGTACGGATTTTTCAGCTCTTCCTTTGCTGCCTCAAATTAAGAATCGGGGTTTTTTTTTCCCCCACTTCTGCTGAAATTTTTGCTCGCGCCAATCAATTTTTGTTTTTCTTTCTGCAAACCTCTACTTCCCCCCCCCCCCGCCGCCGTGAGATGGGACGCAGGGAGAGGGACTGGCAAACGGGGAGAAAATCATGGGGGGCTTGGCAAGGGGTTTCAACCCCAATGTTTCCTCTCCTCCCCCCTCCGCAAATCAGCATCCTCTCCTTCTGCGTAAAATTGATTCTTGGTCCGGATTCATCCCTCTTTCCAGGGTGTGGGCATGAGGTCGATGCTAACAGAAATAAATGTTAATAAACGTATTGGGTGGAGTGGAGGCTTTATGAGGATGGGAGAGCTGCCCCTGATTTTCGACGGAGGGGGGTATTGAATGGCTCTCCTTGGTTCCCTAGTTTTCTATCACTCCCCACCTGCTGGGGGCCTCCTCTGGCCTCATCCTCGCCCTGAGCTTCTGGTGGTCAGGAGGGACGAAGGTGGCAGCCGTGCCAGGGCCTTCTCCCCCTGGCCTCAGCTCTGCCAGCAGCCCCAGGCAGCCCCTGGGACCTGGGCAGGGGCTCTTGGGGGGGGGGACCAAGCCGGGCACCAAAGGGGTGAAGCCAGGTTACTCTCCTGGTCCCTGAGGGGCTTTTCCGCGCTCAGTGCTGCCCCCAGCTGGCCAAAGCTCCAAAGCGGAGCCCCACCCTTGCTTTCCTGGGTCAGGAGGGTCCTCCGCTCGTTCGTTGGGGCCCAAATCGGCAAAAGGAGCCAAGGAAGGCGCCTCCCTTTCGGGGCTGGGCAGCTGCCCACCGGGGAGACTGGCGTACGGTGTGGTTGGCTGCCTGGAGGAAGGATGCGGATAGAGCGTGCCTGGCTGGTCTCCACCCCACATCTTGGTGGGGGACCAAATGGAGGCTCCTGCGAAAAAAAAAAGGCATGAGTGGAGGGTGCGAGTCCTGCCCAGAGCTGGGCGTGGGCCTCCTCTTTCCATCCCGCAGGCGCGTGTTAAGAGCCCAGGACATCCGGAGTGCAAGGGTCAGCCTAGTCTTTGGCAGGGCTAAAGAGAACGTCCGGTTCCTTTCGCCTCCTTTCTCCTCCTGTCGCTCTACAAGCCCCCCACCCTCAAGTCTGGGGTTCGGTTCAGAGTTCAGAGTTCATTGCAAAGGCTTTGCTTCCCCCTCCAGGGTGGGGAACGAGGCCACACACCTCCCCTTTGGCTGAGCTTGCCGTCTCCTGCAGCACATCTGGCGCAATTAGAGGGAGGGGATTCACCAGAAGACACTCCCCCCTCGCAAAATAAGTCCAGCTGAAAGGTCTGAGATCCGAGAAGGGTGGTGGGCTTCACCGTCCCTCTTTTCTTCCTCTCGCCCCCTCCTCCAACGCAGCCCGTCCGGTTGGCCCCCGAGCGAGAGTTCATCAAGTCGCTGATGGCCATCGGGAAGCGGCTGACCACGCTGCCCACCAAGGAGCAGAAGACGCAGCGGCTGATCTCCGAGCTCTCCCTGCTCAACCACAAGCTGCCCGCCCGGGTCTGGCTGCCTTCCGCCGGCTTCGAGCACCACGTGGTGCGGGTGCCCCACACCCAGGCGGTGGTCCTTAACTCCAAGGACAAGGTGAGGGGGCGGCAGGCGGGGGCCTCACCCCCTCCCCTGGAAGAGCAGCGCGCAGGGTGTCCTCAACTTACGACCGCAGCGGAGCCCAGAATTTATGTTGTTAAGTGAGCTTTGCCCCATTTTACGACTCTTCCCCATTGACTTCGCTTGTCAGAAAGTTGCAAAAAGGGTCACGTGACCCTGGGTCACACTGCGACTGTGCAAGTACATGCCAGTTGCTAAGCCTCAATTTCGATCACCTGACTGTAGGGATGCTGTAATGGGCCTAAGTCCCTTTTTTAACTTTAGTGCCATTGAACGGTCACTAAGGGAACCGCTGTATGTTGAGGACTACCTGCATTCATCCAGAGAAGGACCTCCCCACATCTCCTTCTCCCCCCCTCCCCCAGGCTCCCTACCTGATCTACGTGGAGGTGCTTGAATGCGAGAACTTCGACACCACGAACGTCCCGGCCCGGATCCCCGAGAACAGGATCCGCAGCACCCGCTCGGTGGAGAACCTGCCCGGCTGCGGCATCACCTACGAGCAGCGCGCCAGCAGCTTCACCACGGTGCCCAACTACGACAACGACGACGAGGCCTGGTCTGTGGACGACATTGGGGAGCTGCAGGTGGAGGTGAGCAGGCGTGGCGGGGAGGGGGAGGCAGCTGGGAGGGGGCAGGTGGTTCGCAGGCCCCTCCCGTCCCCCCTCGGGCACTCACAGCGGCCTGCCTCTTCCGCCCTCCAGCTGCCCGAGATACACACCAGCAGTTGTGACAACATCTCGCAGTTCTCCGTGGACAGCATCACCAGCCAGGAGAGCAAGGAGCCGGTGTTCATCGCTGCGGGGGACATCAGGTGAGCAGAGCCCCCCTCACTGGTTTTAGAGGAGGGGGTTCCAAAACACAGCTGAACGGCCCCCGTTCTGCTCGGAAGCCACCTCTGTCTGTCTGTCTGTCCGGCTGGGCAGCAGCAGCCAGGGTTAGAAAGTGGGCACCGGAAGGGGGTTGGCAGTTCAGCCGGCAGAAGCATCTGAACTCTCTTCCTTCCGCAGGCGGCGTCTCTCCGAGCAGCTGGCCCACACCCCCACCTCCTTCAAGAGGGACCCCGAGGACCCCTCAGCCGTTGCCCTGAAGGAGCCCTGGCAGGAGAAAGTGAGGTGAGGACGGGGCCAGGGCCAGGGGGGGGGGGTGGAGGGCAGGGCCAGGAAAAGCCCAGCTGGCCTCTTGGGGGTGAACGAGGCCCTTCCTTAGGATAGGACAGGTGGACTTCAACTCCCAGAGTTCCCCAGCCAGCACAGAGTCCTGGGAGTTGAAATCCTCCTAACTTAAAGTTGCCAAGGTTGAAAAGTGCTGCATTAAACGAGACTGTGCAGAGAGAAAAGGACCAATCACAGAAAGGAGAGGCAGGGCCGGCCTCGGTTTCTCTTTGGTAATGAACAGGAGACGGGCAGCTGCCACATCCGGTCGGCCTCCTGGGCTGGTCAGAGAGGCTGACGGGCGGGCGGGCGGCGGAGGCTTCCTGCAGGAGGGCCAGTCCAAGGCTCAACCTCTCCCTTTTACCCCCAGGAGGATCCGAGAGGGCTCCCCTTATGGACACCTGCCCAACTGGCGGCTCCTCTCCATGATCGTCAAGTGTGGGGACGACCTCCGGCAGGAGCTGCTGGCCTTCCAGGTGCTCAAGCAGCTGCAGGTAAGGAAGGGAGGGAGGGAGGGAAAGGAAAGGAAAGAAGGGAAGGAAGGAAGAGAGGGAGGGAGGGAGGGGGGAAGGAAGGAAGGAAGGAAGGAAGGAAGGAAGGAAGGAAGGAAGGAAGGAAGGAAGGAAGGAAGGAAGGAAGCGAGCAGAGGGGGCTGGAGGGGGGCTTTTCTCCACCACAGATGTGATGGGTCAGGGGGCTTCAGATCTCCTCTACCTGCCTTTAGAATTAAGACCAGGTGTGTGTGTGGGGGGCGGAAATCACGTCATTGTTTGTGCCGCCCCCCCCCGGGCTCCGTCCATCCGCCCAGCCCTCCCGTCTTCCCTTGCAGGCCATCTGGGAGCAGGAGCGGGTCCCCCTGTGGATCAAGCCCTACAAAATCCTGGTCATCTCGGCTGACAGCGGCATGATCGAGCCGGTGGTCAACGCCGTCTCCATCCACCAGGTGAAGAAGCAGTCTCTGCTCTCCCTGCTGGATTTCTTCCTGCAGGAGCACGGCCAGTACACCTCCGAGGGCTTCCTCACCGCCCAGCGCAACTTCGTGCAGAGCTGCGCCGGCTACTGCCTGGTCTGCTACCTGCTGCAGGTGAAGGACAGGTGAGACTTTACGGGGCCAGGAGGGCGGGGCGAGTCTGCAGGTGCTCTGCCTCCTGGGCACGGACCGAGTGCCTTTACGAAGGCGGCAGTTTTGCCCTTAAAATCTCCTGACCGAGCTACATTTCATTCTAAGAAATTAAAACAAACTCACACGAGGGGGAGGGACGGGGCTTCCGTTGCAAAAACCAAAATGCCTGATAGCTTTTTCTTCCCCCCCCCCCCCCGTCTCCTCCCCCAGGCACAATGGCAACATCCTGCTGGACGCCTACGGCCACATCATCCACATCGACTTTGGCTTTATCCTGTCCAGCTCCCCCCGGAATCTGGGTTTCGAAACCTCGGCCTTCAAACTGACCGCCGAGTTTGTGGACGTAAGTGGTGCAGCTGAGCAGGGGAGGGAGGGCCAGGAGAGAAACGCTGAGGAAACTGTCCTACAATGGCGCTGGGAAAAGTGAATTATGACCGTTCTTCACGCTTACAGCCATTGCAGCGTCCTCCATGATCAAATTTCAGATCCTTGGCAACTGGTTCATATTTATGATGGTCGCAGTGTCCTGGGGATCCTGTGATCCCCGTTTGTGACCTTCCAACAGGCAAAGTCACTGGGGAAGCCAGATTCACTTAACCACTGTATTCATAACTGCAGTCATTCACTTAACAGCTGTGGCAAGAAAGGTCATAAAATGGGGCAAAATTCTCTTAAGAAATGTCTCGGTCAATAGCAGAAAATTTGAGCTCAATTGAAATAAACCGAGGACTACCTAAAATGCAGAGGAGCCCAATTCTTGGCGGGGGGGTTCTGGTGGGGGGGTCCTTCCGTCTTCCTGCCTTACAATTTGCCCCTCCCTCCCTTCCCCCCCGCAGGTGATGGGTGGCATCGGGGGAGACATGTTCAACTACTACAAGATGCTGATGCTGCAGGGCCTGATCGCCGCCCGGAAGCATATGGACAAGGTGGTGCAGATCGTGGAGATCATGCAGCAAGGTGGGCCGGGGTCCTCAGGGGAGGGGGGGATGTCTATGCTTTGCTAGATGCCAGTCTGTCATGAAGTTTGGGGGGGGGGAGGGAGCTGTGGGAAGATGGAGGAAACCAAAACCAATCTTCTTCTTGCTGTCCGAGGCCGTGGACCTGGGAAGGGAGCGTAACACCTCTCCGTCTCTCCAGCCGTCGCAGGGAGAGTTACCAAAACGACGTCTTCAAATATGACTGGATGATGGGGAGATAACGGGATGGGGGGTGGGCAGAAGAGAAAGTCAACCCGGGAATCTTTGTGCGCAGAATCTGAGTTGGCTTCTTGTCCTCTGACCTGCCTTTACCTCTCGCCCTGCAGGCTCCCAGCTGCCCTGCTTCCACGGCTCCAGCACCATCCGGAACCTGAAGGAGCGCTTCCACATGAATATGACGGAGGAGCAGCTGCAGGTGCTGATCGAGCAGCTGGTGGACGGCAGCATGCGCTCGCTCACCACCAAGCTCTACGACGGGTTCCAGTACCTCACCAACGGCATCATGTGATGGCCAGAGCTGGACCTTCCCCTCCGGCCCCTCCCCCTCCTCCCAGCCCAGGACGGACAGCACGGAGGCAGCTGGGCTGGGCCTCTCCAGGGAGGGGGCGTCACCCCATGAAGGAGCCCGGGGAGACTTTGGACTGCAAAGGTGGGGGCGTTACCCCCCTCGCCCCGTGAAGGATCATGCTTAAGGACCTTGTCAAGATTTATCTCTGGAGGAAGGACAGAAACGGGGGCCGGTCTGCCCCTGGTGCCCCTTCCTCGAACCTTTTTTATTTCAGTATTACAGTTCTCCTCCTCCTCCATGTCCCCTGCTTTCCAGCCCCTCACCTGTGTGTCGGGGGGGGGGTCCCAGGTGGGAGATGGGAGGGGGGAGCCCCCACCGGGAAGACCTGCAAGGCTCCCTCGGTGTTTAGGGCTCTGCTTCTCCCGTGCAGTTGGGGAGCGCTCTCCCACCTCCAGACTCGCACAGGGCGAGAGAGAATGTGTGTGTGTGTGTGTGTGTGTGTGTGAATACCTTGTGTCAGTAATGACCCCCCCCCCCTTTTCCTCTGCCTATTTTCCTCCCAGACAGTTGAATGCAAGGAGGGGGTGCAAAGAATTTTTCACTGCTTGAAGCACAACTCCAGCCTCTCTTAAAATGAGGCTGGGGGCACTGGCAGGACATCTCCCCCCCCCTTTGGATTTTGGCCTGGCAAGGGATGGGGAAGGTGGGGAACTTAGGATGCAGATGATTGGTGAAAGCTTCAAGCCCCCTCCTCCCCCGGGCTGCTGCAGGAAATTAGGTGTCCGCAAATATTCCCTGGGGAGCATCGCCCCCTTTAATGGGCCTGTTCCATGTCCTTCCCCTTGGGGGGGGCTTCAGACCCCACAACTCCCAGGCCTGCCCTTGGCCAAGCCAGCTTCCTTCTCCCACTGTCTCGCTCTCTCTAGGGTTTCTCCCCCTCCTTACAGGCAGACACACACACACACACACACACACCGGTTGCCATTGTGGAAAAGGGTCCCCCCAATCTCCGTGCAGGATCCGTTTGCAATATGAATTTTGGGCACAGCTCTGCCATTCTCGTAAGGAGGGGTCCCTTTGCGATTGTGTGTGTGTGTGGGGGGGAGACTCTCTTTTGTTGATCCTTGGATTCGCCGAAACTGTGACTGTTTGGTCCTCCACGGCCCAAAGGAAGCCCTAATATGAATTTGGTTCGAGAGCAACGGGTTCCAAAAACCAGGCAACATCAGTGTCTGTTTTCCTGTCTTCCCTCCCCCCCCCCGTCCAATCTCCCACCCCCTTTCTCAACATGAACTTTTTTTCACACTGTACCAGGTTGTTGTGTGTATCTGTGTGCACGGGCATCGCTCCTCATTCCTGAGGCTTAAAGCTCTCCCCCCCTCCTTTTTTTTAAAAAAAAAAACAAAATCTGTTAATTGTTGAGTGATAATTAATGTGGGAAACAGCTGCTGGGATGGAGAATGGAGGACGGGTGCTTTAACTGGGCCTTTGGTGTTTTTAAATTACCTCTGGGCTTCCCCCGTCCCCCCAAATACACAGAAATATAAACACAACCCCCTGCCCACACACATACACTAAAACACTTGGAAAAACCCTTTCTTATGTTAGGAGTGCCCCACGCAATGCCCTCCTGGTGGACTGGTTTATTTTTTATTTATTTATGAAATGTATTGGATTGCAACATCCCTCACCCCAAGAGGAGCAGGGCGCTGCAGAAGTTTGCAGCAACTTGGGTGGGATAGACAGAAAATTTGGGGGGGGGCTGCAGGGCTGTGGTGCTGAGCCAGAGGGACCCCTTGCAGCTGCTTTTGGGCCCCCATGCCTGCCTGCCTGCCTGCCTGCCTTGGCCCAGTCCAGGAGAGCCATTCCAGCTTCGTTGTGTCAGATTTGGAATTGTGCACCGGGTTTCATCAAGCAGATGCGCCCAGCCAACTGGGGTGGCCTCTGCAGGTCTCCTGTGGCCGCTGCAGGAATATCCGTGCCTGCCTTCGCCCCCGTGTGGACCCCTCCCCGTCTTTGCGCTTTCCTTGCGGTGCCCCCCCCCCCGCCCTGCTGAGGCTTCTCTGAGCAGGTCCTTGTGGGCGAGGGGGGAGAAGCTTTTGGAGACGGGCCTTCCGGACAGCCCCCCGCCTCCTTCCAGAGCGGGGTGCTCTCAGAGGCCCTTTTGGGGAGCAGTAGAGCAACGGGGCACCACTCTTAAGGCCCGCGGGAGTGGGGAAGGGGTTGGGGGGCCGAGCAGGGCTGGGTTCCTCTTCCCAGAATCGGATCCATTGAGGGAACCGAGATCTCCAATCTTGCAAGCAAAGTTTGGGCCACGTCCTAAGAAAGGGGGGGTGGGCTTGGGGGCGAAGCCCCCTGCCCGGACGGAGCTCGCTGTCCGGGGGCGGCGGGGATGCTGCCCTGCAGGCTGGACCCCAGTTTGGAAGCCAGAAGCCCCCCCCCGCCTCCCTTTCTGGCGATCAGCAGCTGGTGACGAGGTCTGTCCGGATGTTTCAGATGACGTGAAAGCTGCCCTTGCAGTCGCGTGCAGAGGGTTTGTCTGAAGAGGCACAAAATCACCCGCGCGCCCTCCTGAAGCAAGCCGACATCCGCCCCGTTTGGGCCGAGCGGTCGGAGAAACGTCGGGAAGGAATCTCGGTTTGGGGGAGATTTCCACGCGGCTCCGGCAGGGGGCGCGCGTGCGCCACGCTCCGGCCCGCGGATGCCCGCGAGTGGCGTCCCGCTCCGCCAGGGGGCGCCCGGCGGCCCCTCCGCCCGCTCCCCCGCCCGCCCCAGCCCGAAACTCAACCCGGAGCGCCTCTACCTGTCGGAGCCTGTCCGGCCGGCCGCGCTTTGTCTGCCGCTCCGGCCCGGGGAAGCCGCCCGCTCGCCCGCCGCCCTCCGATCGGGGCAGGGTCGTCAGAGCAGAGGCTCCCGGCGGGGGCGCCATGCCGGCCCCCTGAGCCCCCCGGCCTCCACCTGCCAAGGCGCGCCCAGGAAGCGGAGCTGCGGCGGGCGAGGAGCGCAGCAAGTTGGCACCATGGTGAGTCTTGGCCCGCCCGACGGAGCCGCGGGCCGGTGGGCTCCGGGGACCCCTTCTCCTTGGGGGGATCGCCCCCTTCAGCCCCCCCCTTTCCCGCGGGGGGGGACAGAGCCCGGGGGGGGGAGAGACCCGCGACCGACCCCGGACGCCCCGCCGAGTTCCGTGACGGGGGGGGGAGTCTTTGGCGGAGAGGCATCACATCCCCCCCCCCTCCCCGGCGGCCGCGGAGAGCAGCTGAGCGCCGGAGCAGCCCCGGCCGGTTTTCCGCTGCGCTTCCTGCTGGACGGGTGCGGGCCGGTTTGGAGCAGCGGCTGAAAAGTCTGTTTATTCTGCTTAAGTTCTCCTCAAGTGAGAGACGAAGGTAGCTCCGCTGCCTCCCCCCCCCCGGCTGGCCGGCGCCTTCTGGTGCTCAAAGGGACCCTTGAGGCCATCCAGCCCGCCCCCTGCTCAGGCCAAGAATCTCGTCCAAAGGCTCGCTCCGCCTCTGTCCCGGGAAGAACTCTCCGCCAGCGCTTTGCCCCGGCTTCTCCCGGGTTGGCGTGGGAGGCGCTCCTTTAAGTGGCGGCGGTCCTGTCGGGGCTCCGTGGGAGACTCCACAGCCCCGGAGACATTTTTTTAAAGGTGGGATTGGGGGGGGGGGCTCGCCAGACAGAGGACGGCTTTGCAAAGAGCCTGCCCGAGTGTCTCCTCGCTGGGGCAACACGTGCAGAGACACACCTGGGGAGCCCGCATGGCTGGCAGAAACCCAGCAGTGAGCTTTTCAGGGTAGCACCCAACTAAAGGTTTGTGGTGCTGCATCACAGAGACTCACAAACAGACACACGCACACCTGGTTGCAGCAAAGAAATAAGGTTCATTTATTATGAAGGGGAGAAAGTTTATATCTCCAGCTACGGAGCAGATCTTTCAAATTTCAAATATTTTTGGTAACGTTCTTGTGATCATGCTGGCAGAGGCTGATGGGATTGGCAGTCTCAAACTTCTGGATGGGACGCCCAGCTTCATCGGAGATCTTTTTCGCCCTCCAGGCCTGCAATTCAGAGTGTGAATATTCCAGGTTTATCATTCAAGGGAAGTGGAGCAAAGGTTACAGGGAGGGGGCTGGGAGGGGGAGAGCAGTTGTTTCCCCCTAGGACAAAAATCTGTCTCTTTGGCTCAGCCCCCCACCCCCACGGGAGTCAAGCCCTTGCTTTCTGTCAATTCTGGGATTCAGGAAAATCAAAAGCAGTGACCGCAAGCATGTGCAAAGTGTCTTCCGGTATTACTAGCGTCTATGCAGTAGAGGGCGTTTTCAATTTAATCTGCAAACATTGGGGGGGGGGGCAGGATCAAAGAAGAACCTTATTTATTCAGATCATCTCACCTGCCAGGTCCCTCTTTTTTAAGGTGTACTTTCCAGAAGATTTGAATTTTTCTGCTTGGTGGGGAGGGGGTGATGGGAGCTGTAGTCCAAGAGGAAGGTGGCTGGCTGGGGTGCCCCTGCTCTCCAGGGAAGGCCGAGCCTCGCCTGGCAGCCTCTGTCCTCAGAAGCCAAAGCCTTTTCCCCTAGCTGGCTTGGCTAATGTTTAACTGCCGCCTTGACAGGAGGCTGACACCGGCTAGGCGCCTGCGCGGAAGGTGACGCACCCAGTCCAGCCAGGTTGGGCCAAATTACGTAGGACCAGGCCTGAGAGGAGCTGGCCTGGAATGCCTGCCTGCCCACGGCTGACTCAGGGCCTCCCTTCCTGGGCTCTGCAGGGCCCTCCCGTTGGGACAGTGGCAGAAGCCGCCCCCGGCTGATTCAGAAGGGCGAGGCTGACCTGCGAGGGTTCACACGTGGTGGGAGGAAGAGGCAAACAGCAAGAATACTCCTCCTCCTCCTTCTTGCCTTTCCCCTTCCGCCTTCCCTTCCTCCTCCATCAGCACCTACAATCTACCTGGCCACGGGGGAGGGGGGTGTTGGGGAAGCCGAGGGCATTCAAGTCAGACAGGGCTGTTTGCCAGTCCGTGATAGCTGCAAACTCGGCGCAGGGTGGAGTCCTGTCAGCATTGCAAATACACTTCACATTCCTTTCCCAGGGCTGGAATCTGGCGAAGGAGGTGCCAACCTTGTTAGCTCTTCTGCAATCAGGGCTGGAAAGCGAGTTAACCTCACAATCGCCCCTTTCAGGGCTGCTTCTGCTTTGGGAGATTTGGGGGGGGGGGACAGGGGAGCGAGAAAAGCTGCCTGGGGTCGCCTCTCTGTCTCTCTCTCTCTCTCTCTCTCTCCCCCACCCCGCCCAACGGCGCAGGGGATCTCAGAGGCACCCAACCCACCTGAAGGAAGGAAAGCCAGTTTCCCAACCAGAGTTTCTCCACCCAGGTGATGCAAAGGCCCAGATAACTCATCACCAGCCTGGAGCGAAGAAACTCAGGATTGTCAGGAAAGGAGAAAAGCAGAAACCAAAGGAATTCTGCCCATCTTTACCTGGCAATCAGGGCTCCGGCCCCAAACAGACCAGGCTGCATTCACACACAACAGGTTGACCCTCTTAAACTCTTTGGCTCGGCTGGTTGTATCCATCCTCCCTCCCCCTCTCATCTATCTATCTATCTATCTATCTATCTATCTATCTATCTATCTATCTATCTATCTATCTATCTATCTATCTATCTATCTATCATCTGCCAGAACTGCTCTCCTCTCCAGGCACCCAAGAGTCAACTGGCTGGCCGAAGCGCCTGTCCGTCCAGCTTCTCCCCGGCTGGTCGCTTGGCAACTCCTAGCCGGCATTGTCTTCCCGGCTTGGCTAGGAAGGAACCTTAGCAACCAGCTTTTGGGAAAGTTTACAAGACCAAGACGGGGCTGATGGGAGGGGGGCATCTACCCCAAAAGGCCACCCAGGTTTTGTGGTGCAAGAGAGAAAGGGCTGCCTCTGGATGTGGGGTGTAACAGGGCAAACTGCCCCACCTGACCCCAAAACAGCAGGGAGAGCAAACTTTGCAAAATTTGATGGCGCTGCAACCCCCCCCCCACCTCCTCCTGAGGTTTTTCGCCTGTCCTCTTGATCATCGCAGCCTTGCGGAGCTAATGAAGGGCTAGTATTTTTAGCAGTTTTCTCAGCTCAAACCCAACAATTTTCTGGAAGGCATTTCTTTCCCTCGCAGCTGGCAAAAAGTTCTTTTCTGGCCTTTTAAAAGTTCTCCTTGTTGGCTTTTTTTTTTTTTTTTTTTTGGGTGGCTGCAGCTGTAATTTATTGTCAGAAGTGGCCAAAGTTTTTGAAGTGATGCTTGAAAATTTCAAGGGCCTTCGATGGCCCGGTGGCTACTGACCATCCCATCTGGGGTGACCCAAAAAATTTGGCCGTAGGCACGGAGTCTGGCAGCCCCCCAAGTTCTGAAGACCCATGTGGCTTGCAGAGCTGTGCACTATGGGCATTTCAGTGCCTCGGCTTTTTGCTTTTTAAAAGGATTTTGCTTTGAAGGGGGGCCATGTCTTTCCTCGGTTCTCGAGGGGGTTCCATTTAAAAGGGGGGAAGGGAGGAAGCCACCCCAACTTCCTCCTCCTTCTCCTCACCTCCCAGGGCAGCAAAGAGCGATTCCACTGGCAGATGCAGAACGTCAAGCAGAGCGGGGTGGACGATATGGTTCTCCTCCCCAAGATCCACGAAGACGCCATCGTGGAGAACCTCCGCAAGAGGTTCATGGACGACTACATTTTTGTATCCCTCTCTGAACTTGGGGGCTGCCGGGGGGCTCCCCTGGAGGAGGAGAGTCTCTGCGGGCAGAACTAGCACCAGGGAAGGTGCTGGCGGGCACCCATTGGGAATGGAGTGGCAGAGCCTCCATGTGTAAGAGGAGTCTACCCCTGGCAGGAAGCCTCGGGGAAGGAGCCTGGGGACGGGACGAGGCAGCCGTTCAGCCTCACTGTTCCCAACACGGATCCTCTCAGTCCCCTTTTTGTGCCGCCCCTTAACTTGGAAACAAAAAGACATACATCGGGCCCGTCCTGATTTCAGTCAACCCCTTCAAGCAGCTGCCTTACTTCACAGACCGGGAGATCGACATGTACCAGGGGCGGTGAGTGTGTGTGGGGGGGTGTTTGGGGGAGGAAAGCCCTGCTTTGCCCCATGTGGGGGAATCTTTGCCCTGGGAACGATGGGCTCTGAACAGCAAAGATTCCAGTTTGGGTCCAGCTGGACTAGATGACCTCTAGCTACCCTGAGATGCTCAGGGCCTCCATCTACGTGTGTCCCTCTCACCCAGGCGCAGTACGAAAACCCTCCGCACATCTACGCCCTGGCGGATCAGATGTACCGCAACATGTTGATTGACGGGGAGAACCAGTGTGTCATCATCAGGTGAGGCTGGGGACTTCACTGGGGGGGGAACAATTGGGGGGTCTGTGGAAGCTCATTTCAGGCCTGATTCCCCCCTCTTTCCCTCCTAGCGGGGAGAGCGGAGCTGGCAAGACGGTGGCGGCCAAATACATCATGGGCTACATTTCTAAGGTGTCCGGCGGAGGGCCTGGCGTTCAGGTGAGTGGCTTGTCCTGGCACGAAATAACGCCTCCCCCGCTGCCCCCCCAGACCAGCTCGCTTTGGGCTGGCAGTGGGCAGAGGGTCTTGCACGAAGGGCCCATTTGGGTCTTGTCTGAAGGCTCTGAGCTAGAAACTGGGAGGCTGGGAGTTCTAGCGCCACCTTGGGCGTGAAAGTTGGCCGGGTGACCTTGGGCTGGTCCACCTGACAGGGTTGTTGTTGTGGGAAAATAGCAGGAGGAAGGAGTTGCCTGCAATTATTTATAAAAAGGATAAAGGCAGGATAAACATAGGTAAAATAAATAATATTTCTTCCATTTCAGCATGTAAAAGACATCATCCTGAAATCCAATCCCCTTTGGAGGCATTTGGGAACGCAAAGACTGTGCGAAACAACAATTCGAGTCGATTTGTGAGTGCTGGCGGGGCCTGGGAGGGGCCTGTCAGATCCTAAATCGATCAAGTGTGTGTACAACTGGCTTCTGGTGACTCCATCTCTACATCCATGTACCTTCTTTTAAAGTCTTTTAAACCTCTGTCTTCTTCTAAGGCGTTTCTCTTGCCTTTCCAATCCAAAATGCTTCCCAGGATCTCCCGGTGGTGGCTCATCCAGGCCTGACCCTGAAGAGCTTTTTGAGACCAGCCAAGCTGGGATGAGTGCTACCCCCTAGTGCTTCTGGTGACAATTACAGGTCCAAAAGAAGCTATAAAAGCCTCATTGATTATTCTAAGTCAGTGATGGCGAACCTTTTAGAGACCAAGTGCCCAAACTGCAAGCCAAAACCCACTTCTTCATCGCAAAGTGCCAAGGCTGCATCAGCATTGTGGTGCCCTCAGGGGGGACGTGGGGGCATGGCCCAGTGGGTGGGTATGGCTGCAGTGGTCAAGCAGACTGGGTGAGCATGGCCAGGGCCAGTCCGTTGGCATCTGAAGGGCATTCCTGGGAGCCCACCGCCGCTTCCCTGCTCACTTCCTGCCCTGTTGCTTCCAAACGCCATGTGCCCCTACTCTGGTAAACTCTGCTGGGTCAACAGAACACGTGCCCACAGAGAGGGCTCTGAGTACCGCCTCTGGCACATCTGCCATAGGTTCGACACCACTGCACCCAAGCACTCCGAGTTTGTTGGCGACGTCCATTTTGCTCTATGAGTTCATGTTGACCTAACCCTAACCCTAAGTGGAATTTTCCTCCTATGGGATTTTCCCATGTATTTTACCAGGAAACATAGAGAGGGCAGGCTAGAAAAGTCTGTGCCCTTCTAACCATATCCAAGCATTCCGAGTTTGTTGGCGACGTCCATTTTGCTCTATGAGTTCATGGTGACCTAACCCTAACCCTAAGTGGAATTTTCCTCCTATGGGATTTTCCCATGTATTTTACCAGGAAACATAGAGAGGGCAGGCTAGAAAAGTCAGTGCCCTCCTAACCATACCCAAGCACTCCGAGTTTGTTGGCGACGTCCATTTTGCTCTATGACTTCATGTTGATCTAACCCTAACCCTAAGTGGAATTTTCCTCCTAAGGGATTTTCCCATGTATTTTACCAGGAAACATAGATAGGGCAGGCTAGAAAAGTCTGTGCCCTTCTAACCATACCCAAGCACTCCGAGTTTGTTGGCGACGTCCATTTTGCTCTATGACTTCATGTTGACCTAACCCTAACCCTAAGTGGAATTTTCCTCCTATGGGATTTTCCCATGTATTTTACCAGGAAACATAGAGAGGGCAGGCTAGAAAAGTCAGTGCCCTCCTAACCATACCCAAGCACTCCGAGTTTGTTGGCGACGTCCATTTTGCTCTATGACTTCATGTTGATCTAACCCTAACCCTAAGTGGAATTTTCCTCCTAGGGGATTTTCCCATGTATTTTACCAGGGAACATAGAGAGGGCAGGCTAGAAAAGTCAGTGCCCTCCTAACCATACCCAAGCACTCCGAGTTTGTTGGCGACGTCCATTTTGCTCTATGACTTCATGTTGATCTAACCCTAACCCTAAGTGGAATTTTCCTCCTAGGGGATTTTCCCATGTATTTTACCAGGAAACATAGATAGGGCAGGCTAGAAAAGTCTGTGCCCTTCTAACCATACCCAAGCACTCCGAGTTTGTTGGCGACGTCCATTTTGCTCTATGACTTCATGTTGACCTAACTCTAACCCTAAGTGGAATTTTCCTCCTATGGGATTTTCCCATGTATTTTACCAGGAAACATAGAGAGGGCAGGCTAGAAAGTCAGTGCCCTCCTAACCATACCCAAGCACTCCGAGTTTGTTGGCGACGTCCATTTTGCTCTATGAGTTCATGTTGACCTAACCCTAACCCTAAGTGGAATTTTCCTCCTAGGGGATTTTCCCATGTATTTTACCAGGAAACATAGAGAGGGCAGGCTAGAAAAGTCAGTGCCCTCTAACCATACCCAAGCACTCCGAGTTTGTTGGCGACGTCCATTTTGCTCTATGAGTTCATGTTGACCTAACCCTAACCCTAAGTGGAATTTTCCTCCTAGGGGATTTTCCATGTATTTTACCAGGAAACATAGAGAGGGCAGGCTAGAAAACGTCAGTGCCCTCCTAACCATACCCAAGCACTCCGGGTTTGTTGGCGATGTCCATTTTCCTCTCCGAGTTCATGGCGACCTAACCCTAACCCTAAGTGGAATTTTCCTCCTATGGGATTTTCCCATGTATTTTACCAGGAAACATAGATAGGGCAGGCTAGAAAAGTCTGTGCCCTTCTAACCATACCCAAGCACTCCGAGTTTGTTGGCGACGTCCATTTTGCTCTATGAGTTCATGTTGACCTAACCTAATCTCAGCCCATCACCAGAATACAATATTGAATATTTTGGCAGGTGAATGAAAATTCTGGATGTGACACAGAAAAGGAACAGAGAGGAAAACGTGGAGTACAAAAAGGGGGCAGTTTAAGACCCTCCCTTTTTTCCTCCAGGGTAAATATTTTGAGATCCAGTTCAGCCGCGGTGGAGAGCCAGACGGCGGAAAAATCTACAATTTCTTGCTGGAGAAATCCCGGGTGGTCAGCCAGAATTCCGGAGAGAGGAACTTCCACATCTATTACCAGGTGGGTGAGTGGCTGAGTATGGTCCCTGCACCCAGCAGGCCCTGACCGTGACCCTTTGGATGGGACTGACTCCCAGCCCCATCATCCCCGCCCTTACCCACGGCTGTCAGTCCTGGGCATCCTGCTGCAAACCAAGAGATCAAAAGTTTTGTCTTTCCTTGCGGCATTTTGAACCTGCCTCCTTGGCCCCCGTTGTGTGAATGCAGCTGCTGGAGGGAGCCAGCCCGGAGCAGCGGGAGAATTTGGGGATCACCAGCCCGGATTACTACTACTACCTCAATCAGTCAGCGGCGTATAAGGTGGACGACATGAATGACAGGCAGGAGTTCCAGGAGACTTTGGTAAGGACGTGGGGACAGAAGGGGCCGATTCCCTCTTTCCCACCCCCCACGTTTTCAGAAAATGCACCCAGGAGGAGAGGGCGGGGGGAGCATTCCTCAACCCCTGAGTCTGCCATCCTGGACTACATCCCCCATGATCCCTGGCCACCTGCTTGCAACCAATTCCTCGATGGAATTGTAGGCTTTCCAGGCGGCTCAGGTTGGAAGGCAAAACCCCGTCCCCAGGTTTAAAAACAAGCATCTGTCAGCTGTGAATATTTCTCCCGTCATATTTAACTCAGAGCCTCTCCTTCCTCCAGAGGGAGGCCCGGGGGAGCTCTGGGGCAGGGGGAAGGCACCCTGGGGGGGGGAACGAAGCTGATTTGAGCCCCAGGGAAAAAGAGCCGGTTGGGGCATCAGCAAGTCCCTTTGGAGTCACTTGTGGCTTTTGCCTCGTGCCACTTTGTGCCCAGGAAAACTGCCTTGGGAGGCCCCTGGTCTGCTCTGAACGTTTCAGCAGCAGAAAAGACCCCAATTTTACTTTTAGGGAGTGGCAAGAGCTGGCACGACCACTTTTCAAAAGCAGAGTTTATCAAAATAAGCTACTGGATGAAAAAGAGAGCCGAGTGGCTGAACCCATGACTTTTGGGCTAGCTTCGCTCTTGCCGTGCCATGGAGAGCCCCGTTTACACACGGCTGATGTTCTTCCTCCTCCTCCTCCTCCTCCTCCAGACAGCCATGGAGGTGATTGGCCTCTCGGAGGACGAGCAGGCGCTGGTGCTCCAGATCGTGGCTGGGATCCTGCACCTTGGCAACATCACCTTCCACGAGTCGGGCAACTACGCCGTGGTGGAGAGCAAGGATTGTGAGTCTAGGCAGCCTGGCCAGCTCCCGCCGGGGGCGGTGGGGATTTGGGGAGGGTCCCACTCAAGAGCTGCTGGCTGGGCAGGGGCTGCCCGCAGGGCTTGTCCTCTGGGCTGGGGGTGAAAATCAACGGCCACTCCCTCTTGCAGTCCTGGCCTTCCCCTCCTACCTCTTGGCCATCGACCAGCAGCGCCTCCAGGAGAAGCTGACCAGCCGCAAGATGGACAGCAAGTGGGGCGGCCAGCAGGAGGTGATTGACGTCACCCTCAATGTGGAACAGGCCAACTTCAGCCGAGATGCCCTCTCCAAAGCCCTCTACACCCGCCTCTTCGACTACCTGGTGGACGTGAGTGGCCGGCCGGACCTCCTCTCCCCCCAAGTGGGGCTTAGACGGGCGCGTTGCAGCAAGGAAAAGCTAGACCTCCACAGTCAACCAAGGGAAATGGGTGGTTAAGACATATGAAGTATAAATAAAAACAAATACAAACTGCTTTGGTAGCCCACCCCTCATTCTTCCTTCATTTTCTCCCTCCTCCTCCTCCTCCTCCTCCTCCTCCTCCTCCTCCTCCTCCTCCTCCTCCTCCTCCTCATCCTCCTCCTCCTCCTCCTCCTCTTCTTCTTCTTCTTCTTCTTCTTCTTCTTCTTCTTCTTCTTCTTCTTCTTCTTCTTCTCTCCTCCTCCTGTCTGCCCGCGTCCTCTTCCCAGGCTGTCAACAAAGCAATGGAGAAGGAACACCAGGAATACAACATCGGTGTCCTGGACATTTACGGCTTTGAAATTTTCCAGGTAAACCTGCAGCACAATGTCTTCCTTTCCTGCCCTCCCCCCCTCTCTTGGTGAAGGAGAGGCCTTCTCGTGCCAGCCTCTTCCCTGGCCCAGACTGTCCGTTGGAGTTGAGAGTGGATTCATTTCACGGAGCCGATGGGTGCCACCGGAGGGACATTGTGGCAGAGCAGCCAGGCTGAGCCAAACCTGGTTTTAGGAAAAAGATCCATCGTGTGTATGTGTGGGAAAATAGCAGGCCTCTTCCGAGGCATTCCATTCCTTTATGCTTGAGCAAAAGGGAACAAAGGCCTCTTTGGAAGAGAGTCCCACCACAGCAGTTTTATAATTCCATCACTGTGGGTGCACAATGCCGAACGCTGGATGGCCAAGATCTGGAAGGGCAGTTTTGTGTCGAGCCTCAGAAATTATCAAGAGATCCCGTAGCTGAACTGGCCGGGAAGCAGTTGCCCACTGATGCAACACTAACATTTTGCACACACTCGGGAGCTGAATCTTGGGAGGAGCAACCTGTTCTGTTGCGCCTGGCATGGCCAGTCTGAGTTTCTCCTTCTTTCCTGCCAGAAAAACGGCTTTGAGCAATTCTGCATCAATTTTGTGAACGAAAAACTCCAGCAAATTTTCATCGAGTTGACTCTGAAGGCTGAGCAGGTGAGCGTCTTTTTTGCAAAAAAAAAAAAAAAAGGGGAGGGGACATTTTGCATTTTTAAAAATCATGCCTTTGGGGCAAAAGTCAGAAACTTGGACCAGGGCAGTGATGCGTGAGTTGGGTGGCCATATAAATCTGTTTAATAATACATAATGAGAATTTTTCAGTGGGAAAAACCTGCCAACTTAATCCGACTTAACCAAAGTCAGATTGGCAAACAGAGCCGGAAAGCTCAAGGCCAAACGCGGGGAGAGTCGTGTTTAATTTTTGGCCAGTTTCTCCCTGTTTTCACTCTTTCTCCCGTTCTCTTTCTTCTTCTTCTTCTTCTTCTTCTCTGCAGGAGGAATACGTCCAAGAGGGCATCCGATGGAGCCCCATTGATTATTTCAACAACAAAGTCGTGTGTGATCTGATCGAGAACAAAGTGGTCAGTAAAAAAAAACCTCCTTGTAAAGTAGACCTTATTTATTCACAGAGCTATTTGTAAGACGCCAGTTTTAGGTGGCTGAAAAGGACCCAAAATCTTTCACTTTGCGCTCTGCTAAATTCCTTGCAAGGCGCCGTGGATTTTATAGGCTGTTAAATAGGAATTCTAAGGCGGCTTGAGGGAAGAGCTGGCCCACACAGAGGAAGGACAATTCTCTTTATTATTATTATTTTTTAAATTTTGGAGCAGAGGAAAATATTATCTTCCTTTAAATCTGCAATGAAACAGGCCAGTTCTGGATTTGCACAGAAACCTGGTTTTGCAGGAGGAGAAAAAGACTGGCCAAAAAGGCAGATGATGGGTAGTACAGAAATTTGATAAATAAATAGAATAAGTAAAAGGAGGGTACAGTTGCATTGTGATTGGGCCAAAGGATGGAATCAGACAGGGCTGTGAGTGGAGCCAGAATTCGTTGCTGCTTTTTATGTTGCATTTTGCTTTGATCTTCCTTGTTTCTCCCCCCCCCCCCCGTTCCCAGAACCCCCCAGGGCTCATGAGCATCCTGGACGACGTCTGTGCCACCATGCACGCCAAAGGCGAGGGGGCTGACCACACCTTGCTGCAGAAGCTGCAGTCAGCGCTGGGCGCACACCCCCACTTCAACAGCTGGAACAAGGGCTTCATCATCCATCACTACGCTGGCAAGGTCAGGGCCCCGGAAACCCCGATCCAGCCCGTGGGGACCCTCCCCTCCCCAGGGGCCAGCTGGAATTCAGAGCCCCTTCTCCTGTTCTGCAGGTCTCCTATGATGTGGAAGGCTTCTGCGAGCGCAACCGGGACGTGCTCTTCACAGATCTGGTGGAGCTGATGCAGAGCAGTGAGATGTGAGGGTTGGGGGGGGTTGGGGGGAGGGGTCTGCCAGATCCGATGACCCTAGAATGACTCTCTCCCTCCCAGCCACCCACCTGCTCTCCCCCATTTTCCTAAACCTTCCTTATGCACCAGTCTCTGTCCAAACGGAACATCTCTGTGGCTCCCAAACGACTCTCTTTTGAAGCCTCTGCCTCTTAAAACAAACTTTTAAGAGCCGATTCCCTCAACCAGGGTGGGAGGAGACAGGCAGGGGGGTGAAACCTGCCCCAGTAGAGAGGCTCCTTGGAGCTGGGGAGCGATGATGGCTCCCTTCTGGGGAACTGAAGCCCTCTGCTTCTCCTCCAGCCCCTTCATCCGAGATCTCTTCCCCGAAAGCCTCAGCACGGAGAAGAAGGGGCGCCCGACCACGGCAGGCAGCAAGATCAAGGTAATTGGGGGGGGGGGGCTTAGCCAGGCTGGGCCCGGAAGGGGAGCCCATCGGTAGCTTCAGAACTGCCTAAGAGAAAGAGAAAGAAACTGCCTAAGCTGCTTGGAAGAAAGAGACTCCCTCTGCTGTTGGGGAATCTGTTTGCACATAGGATAATGATGATAGTAACAGCAGCCAGTTTTTTTTCCTTCCTTCCTTCCTTCCTGCCTGCCTGCCTGCCTGCCTGCCTTCCTTCCTTCCTTCCTTCCTTCCTGCCTGCCTGCCTTCCTTCCTTCCTGCCTTCCTTCCTTCCCTCCCTCCAAAGAAACAAGCCAACAGTCTGGTGGGCATGCTGATGAAGTGCAGTCCTCACTACATCCGATGCGTCAAGCCGAACGAAACCAAAAAGGCCCGAGATTGGGAGGAGAGCCGGTAAGGCTGGTGCCATGTTGGCTGGGGAATTCTGGGAGTTGAAGTCCGCCCATCTTAAACTTGATAAGATTAGGAAACACCAATTTAGACAGAGAGCCCCCTGCCCTCCTTCAGGGACCCACTCTTTGTGCCTTGGATCACGGCAGAGAAGGAGTAGAAAGGTGGACACCAAAGACCCTCAATTTTTGTCCCCTTCTCAGGGTGAAGCACCAGGTGGAATATTTGGGGCTGCAAGAGAACATCCGGGTGCGCCGGGCTGGCTATGCTTATCGGCGAGTTTTCCAGAAATTTCTCCAGAGGTGAGAGCTGGCAAAACCAGCTTTTCCAGCCGGATCCACCTGCGGAAGCTGGATCTTCTGGGCACCTCTGAGGCTCTGTCCATGGTGCCCGGCTCAGACCTAAGGGCAGCACCCAAGAGGCTCCATCCTCCCTTCCTCTTGTCCAGGTACGCCATCCTGACACCGGAGACGTGGCCGTGCTGGCGTGGCGACGAGAGGCAGGGCGTGGTGCACCTGATGAAGTCGGTCAACATGGACCTCGACCAGTTCCAGCTGGGGCGGACCAAGGTGTTCATCAAAGCCCCCGAATCGGTGAGTGCTGGGAGCCCCTCCTGGAAGGCACAGAGGCTGTTTCCCTCCCCAGGGGGCGCAAAAAGGCAGTGACTCCCTCTGGGAGAGAAATGGGGACCGTCTCCCCCCTGTGCCCACTTGCCTGGCCCTCAACGCTGGCTCTCCCTGCAGCTTTTCCTGCTGGAGGAGATGCGGGAACGGCGCTATGATGGCTTCGCCCGGGTGATCCAGAAGGCCTGGCGCAAACACGTGGCTGTCCGCAAAAACATGCAGATGAGAGAAGAAGGTGAGGGGGGGGGCAGCAGGCTCGGGCGGAGGAGTTGCAAGCAAAAAAGGTGGTGCTTTGGCTGGGCTGCAGCCCAGGAGCCATCCGGGAGCATCCCCTGCCACTTCATTTGGCTCCAGGGGGATGAGAAAGGGCAAAATTCTCCTCCCCCCCCCCCGCCTTTCTCTGGTTTGGTGGAGAATTCAAAATTGGGTTTTTAATTTTCCTGCCCAGGTGCAGTGACCAACATGAGCCACCAGAGGGCAGCCTTTACCTGCCCTTTGGAGAAGCTTATCTGCTGCTGCAGAGGAAGGGCCTCTGAGCATGTGAGGAGGGACTTGTGCCTTGCCCCCTGTGCCTATTGCAGCCGGGCCTAACCCCAATTTTTCCTCCCCCCCCCAAAGCGTCCAACCTCGTCCTCAACAAGAAGGAGCGCCGTCGCAACAGCCTGAACCGCAACTTCATGGGCGACTACCTCGGTCTGGACAACCGCCCGGAGCTGCGCCGGTTTCTGGGCCGCAGGGAGCGGGTGGACTTTGCGGACACCGTCACCAAGTACGACCGGCGCTTCAAGGTCAGCTGCGAAATTGCCGGATCTAGCCGCTTCCCTGTTGCCCCCTCTCCACGGGCATCAGATAGGCTGTGCCTGTGGCTGGAGGTTCTGCACCGTGGCCCAAGGCAGCCTCCTCTTTTCAAGAGCTTTCATGGCAGAACTTGGCCTCGGGCAGCTGCCCTCTCAGGTGCTGGGTGGACGGGCACCTGGGCACCACTGGCCAGGCACATCTGGAGAAGCCCCCCGGTGCCAGCCTTCCTGGGGACTGACCCCTGCTCTGTGTCCCTCTTGCAGACGGTCAAGCGGGACCTGATCCTCACCCCCAAATTCCTCTACCTGATCGGGCGGGAGAAGGTGAAGCAGGGGCCCGAGAAGGGGGCCATTAAGGAGGTCCTCAAGAGGCAGCTGGAGGTAGAGAGGATCCAGTCGGTCTCCCTCAGGTGAGCAGGGAAGGATCGGGGAGGGAGAGGCTGTGGGACTCCCTACCACTTGAACTGGGGAATCCCAGACATTTGCAGATTCTTCACCTGCCAGCGTGAGGCCTCCCAAGCAATGACTCCTTCCCAGGGGCCTTTGGGGAGGGGGGAGCAGTCCAAACCCGACCGCTGCCATGCAAACAGGACCCCCGCCTGATGATGCTTCCCCCCCCATCCCAGCACGTTGCAGGACGATTTCCTCATCATTCACGAGTCCCACTACGACACCGTCCTGGAGTCCGTCTTCAAGACGGAGCTGCTAAGCCTGCTCTTCAAGCGATACGGGGAGAGGACCCAGAAGCAGCTGCCCATCAAGTTCAGCAACCAGTACGCAGCAGCAGCCCCCCCCTTTCCCAGGGGTGGGGGGAGCAGGGAGGGGCTCTTTTTCAGGACCATTTCCTGCTGTTAGGGATTCTGGGGTAGACTGCTCCTGGACATGGGGGGTTTCCAGCCCACATTTCCAGCCCTGGTTAGGGAGAAGAGAATCGTCACTAAAAATTCTCCTTTGGGTGACTTCCTCAAGGAGACGGGGGCAGCCCTGAGCTGTCTCCCCCAAATTAGGGATGGGACACCATCAGGAAATCCAGTCAAAAACATCCCAGAAGGCGGAGGATGCAAACTGCTAGCAGTACTGAGGACTTGAACCCGAACTTCACGGGGTGCTGACCTCAGAAAGGAGCACCCCGTTTCTGCCCTTGCCTGCACCCCCCCCCAACTCCCTTTCTCTCTGGGTGTCACCCCAGGCTGGAGTTCAAGGTGAAGAAAGACGGCTGGGGGCCCTGGGGGGCAGCCGGCTCCCGCCAGATCCAATTCCAGATCTGCCAGGGGGATCTGGCTCTCCTCCGCACCAACGGGAAAGTCCTGGTGGTCAGCATCGGGCCTGGCCTAGCCCGCAATGCCCGTAAGTTGGGGAAGGGAGAGTTGAGGCGGGCCAGACAGCGATGGAGAAGGCAAGGAGAGCACAGACACCCCTTTGGCAAACTTTTCAGGACTTATTTGCAAAATTTGCAGGATTTATTTTATTTGCAAACGTTTAACTTTTCAGGCCCAAACCGGAAGGACACCAGGAAAAGCCGATACTCAGCGGGAGGCCCTCCCCTCGGCTGGAATGCCCAGACCAGCACAGGTATCTTGCGTTTCCTTGTCTACTGAGTTGTGGCTACATGCCAGCTTTTTTGGTGCTTGCAACAGAGGGCAAAACTGGCTGTCTCGTTCTCTGCAGGCTCGGCGTGGGGCGGCCAGGGCCGGGGGACGAGGACCTCCGTCCAGCACCGCCATTCCATGACCCGCCAGGCCAGCATGGAGCAGCCCAGCCTGCCACGCCAGGGAGCCAGTCCACGCGCCAGAGCCTTCCCTGCACCACTCGACCTGGGCTTCATGGATGTCCCGGATCAAGGGGTAGCTGGGTGAGGGTCTTTCCCTTTTTGCCGAGAGTTCTCCAGCTGGGAAAGTTTCCCAACCTGGGCACCTCTTAAGATGGGTGGACCGTAACTCCCAGAACTTCCTTCTTCCAGCCTGCGGCGCCACCTTAGCAAGGAAGCCAAACCCCTGCCAGGCGGGGGCCGTGCCAAGCCCAAACCCAAGCCCAAGCCGCAGCCGTGCCTTCCCCGGTGCCGGGCTCTGTACGCCTACGATGCCCAGGACACGGATGAGCTCAGCTTCAACGCCAACGACGTCATTGAAATCGTCAAGGAAGGTGAGGCTTCCCGGGGCATCTGGAGGCCATTCACACAGCCGCTTTGCTTGGTGGGCTCCCTCCAAGGGGGAGGGGCTTCAGGGGCTGGCCAGGAGTCTCCAGCTGGGTCGGAGAAGGGGGTCCAGTAAGTCCTAAGCACAACAAAGGCGCTTCTTCTCTTTCCAGATCCGTCAGGATGGTGGGAGGGCCGCATCCGTGGCAAAGAAGGGGTGTTCCCAGGGAATTACGTGGAGAAGCTCTGAGACAGGGGTGGACACTGCCCCTCTCCTGCGCTGGCATGAGGGACTGACCCACGGCTTTCGCTTGGTGGATGGAAAAGACCTGGAGCTTCCTGCAGAACGCAGCAGACACTCGTAGGAGAGCAAGGAAAGGCGCCTTGTTGGCCTGGAGGAATTGGTGGCACCCAGTGCCCTCTGAGAGCAGCCAACTAGGCAGGAACGAACGTTCGAGACGCAAATGGCCACACCAATCGATGCCAGCCTGCTGGACCTTTAATGTGTGTGTGTGGGGAGGGGGGGAAATAGGTTGCCGGGAAAGAAAAAAAGAACTCTAAAATGTTTTAAAAGCAGAAAAAAAATTGGGAAATTTTAAAACAATGCAGCAAAGCCTCGGATTTTCAAAAGGTGCCAAGCCGGGAGGGGCTGGGGCGCCCCCCCCCGTTTCCCGCCGACCTGCGTGAATGCAGTCTTCCGAGAGAAAAGCCCCTCCCTGGAGGAACTCCGGAAATTGGTGGGCCACACGGGCAACGTAGAGAATGCGAGTGAAATAAATTATGTACATGGAGGCCCTTTCTGAAAATGGATTTTATTTATAGCTGCATGGTTTTTTTTTCTTTTCCTTTTTTTTTTTTTTTTTAAAAAAATCACCTCATGTTCCCTGGGAGAGCCTTCCAGGGTAAACATTCCCATGATTGGCGTCAGGGGAGAAACGGAGGGTTTCTCTGGCAAACCATGGTTAAGGAAGCAGACTGGGTTAGCGTGATGCGCGCGTGGAATTTACTGGCCGAAACCTGGAGCTCTGCAACTCCAAAGGAGCTGCAGCCAGCTCAGACGCCGCGTTTGGCCCCTGGAAAAAGGGAAGCCACATGGGCACAGTCCCCGGGGTTGGGAGAGGGAAAATCACCCCACGGAGGCCTGGAGGGCTGAAGACCACCAGCCTCTGGCCTGCCAGGGCTGCCAAACACCACCTCCCCCCCCCCCAGCCAAGGAAATTATTTGCACAATCCCCTAAGCCAGGAGTGCTGGTTTAACAGGGGCCTCCTCAGCAAACGATAATAAAAACCTAATTTTAACCCATCTCCCGCCCTCTTTTCTTCTTTTTTAACCAACCAGCAAAGGGTCTTTCTGCTCACAGGCTCCTTGGGGGGGGGGGGAAATAATCAGTTAGCACCAGTCACTCGACCTGTTTGCTTTCATTCATTCAGTTTTTTTTAAAGTATATGTTACACGATTGGTTTAAAGGACACACGCTTCGCTTTGTTAGTCTGCATTAGTGACAACTCCAAAAAAAAAAAAAAAAGAACCAAACTAAACCCAGGAACTAAAATAAACACAAATCAAAAGACACACACACACACACACACACACACACACACACACACACACACACACACGCCCTTTCCCCAAAAGAAACACCTTTTAAGACAAAAAAGAACCAAAGTCGTTTTCATGATTCCAGGGTGGGAGAGAAGCACGGGAAGGCCCAAAGCACAGAAATGCGCCTCTCTTGAACCCGCAGCCATCATCTGAACTGTTCTGATAAAGAAAAGAGCATCTGGCAGTTCCCAGGCAGGAACGCGGCCTCGGAGTTCGACTGAGGAACGCCCGGGGTCAGGAAGGGGCTAGAAATTGGGGGTTTTGTTAGGAAAAGTGAAGGGATTGTGTGTGTGTGTGTGTGTGGGGAAAAAAAAAAAAAAAAAAACTCTAAAAATCATGGGGGCAGACAAATAATCCGATTATCCTGATCCCTCCTGGAACGCCACAACGGGGAGCCCAGGGACCGAACTGGGGGACAGCCATCCGTAGAGAGGTGGGCTAGATTTGGCTACCTGCCCATTTAGAGAGAAAGACCCCCCTCTTCCTGCTCACAGGAACCAATTTCAGTCTCCTGTTCCCCTCCCCATCCCACCCACCAGGTGCAGCCGCCTCCCCCAGACCCTGCAAATACTGGATTTTACAAGCAACATATGTTGCTTCTAAAATCAAGGTGTGGCCCTGCCTGTCTTTTCTGCCCCCAAAGCACCAGCAGCTCTTCAGGTATTTTGGACTCCAGCAAAGAGGAAAGGACTGGGGGGACTGCCAGGTGAAGACCCCCCCAATGCTGAGAGGGCACCATGCTAAGGGGGAGAAATGGGGGCCAAGAGCGCACCTCCAAATTCTGGGACCTGGAATGATTTGGAAAAGGGAGAAAAGCGTTTTCTTGGCTTTGAGTTGGCCATCATTAGCCGGTGGAAGAGACGTCAAGCCGGCTTCCTTTTTTCCCTGGGACAGGAGTGAAACAAGCCATGATCTGGCCAGGTGAGGGGGGGAAACCGCCCAAAGGTGGACAAGCATCAGAACCGAAAAGAGCCCGTAACTCCTCTCTCTGGGCACCTCCAGGAGCCTCGGGACAGGAAAGGGAAACCGGAGTGGTGATGGACGAAGAACCAGCGCAACCTGCCTTTCACGCAACACACGTGTCCTCTTCATGCATCGTACTTCAACACCCATGTGGCTGAGACAGGGCAGGAATAGGAGGGTTGAAGTCCAGCCATCCCTGCCGAAGTGGAGATGGCCCACCTACAGGGCTCACTCTTGGGGGGCGAGGGTGCCCCTGGCCACTCCCGAGGGCAGCCACAGAAAGCTGTGCCAGGACGATAAATAAGGCGCCGTTCCTCATCTCCGTCACAACACCTCGCACTCAAGCCACGGAAGGAGCCGTGAGGGGGACGTTCCCCCCCCCAAGACGGCTCTGGGGCCTGGCTAGTTCTCGCCCCCCCCGGTCTGTCGGGCCTTGATGAAGGCCATGCCGTGGGTGCGGAAGTGAGTCTTGAGGTTGAGCTGGGTGTCGAAGCCTTTGCCACAGACCGTGCAGGAGAGGCTCCCCTCGGTGGCAGAGGGGGACCCCTCCTCCGTCCCCCCTCCCTGGGGGGTGCCGGCCTCCCCCTTGCCCGCGCCCCGCTTCTTCTTGTGGGTGATGAAGCGGTGGCGGTTGAGGGAGACCTGAGAGGTGAAGCAGAGTCCGCACTCGTGACACTGGTGGGCGCTTTCGCCTGTCCGGTGCCGGGGGATGTGCTCCTGGAAGTCAGCCGCCGTGGGGGCGATGTAGCCGCACTTGCGGCAGTGGTAGAGGGACCGCCGGCCGCCCTTGGGGGTCTTGGAGGGCGGGGTGGTGCTGTCCGGCTCTTCGCTGCACGAGTCCCCGTCGTCCGAGGAGAGCTTGTGCTTCCGGCCGGACACCTGCAGGGCAAAGGGAGAGGGCAGGGTGAGCGAGAGTGTCCGGCCACAGAGGGAGGGAGGGGGCAACTCTCTCTCTCTCTTTGCAGGACTGGAACAAAAACGGAGAGTGCTGAGCCTAAAGGAGCCAAATCTAAAGACGGAGAGTCCTTGACTTATAATATTGCATTTAGCGTCTGTTCGAAGTTAGTATGACTGTAAAATGGGGCAAACCCCACACTCACAACTGTCTCACTTAACAACATAAATGTTGGTCGTAAGCCGAGGACTCCCTGTCTGAACAACTGAGCCATATTCTGGCCGCTGGAAAGAAACTTCACCAGCCTGCCTTTCTCGGCCTGTGTGGGCCATCTCTTTTAGGGCAGGGAGGGAGCCGCCCCCCGGCTGCCCCCGCCTACCTGGGCGTTCCTGGAGCCCAAGCGGGTGGCCAGCACCTCCTGGCTGCGGTTGGCGTCGGTCACCTTGATCCCGTGCCGCACCTGGATGTGTTTCTCCAGGATGAGCCGGCTGCTGAACGTCCGCTTACCCTCGGTGCAGTACCTGGAGAGGGGGGCAGAGCGGAAGAGGAGCTGGGGCGGTGGCCCGGGGGACCCCAGGGACCCCCCCGAGGGGCTGGGGGACGGGGGCACCGACCTGCAGGGGTAGACCCGCTTGATGCCCTCGTGGTTCACCCGGATGTGCCTGCGCAGGCTGGGCGCGGAGCAGAAGGAGCGCTCGCACAGATGGCAGGGGAACTTCTTCACGCACTGGGAAGGGGGGGGAGAGATGTCAGGGTGAGGGAGGAAGGTTATGACACCCCCTTCCCAACTTCTTCCTCCCCAGCCCCCCCAGCAGGAAGGCCCCCCTCCACCCCCTCCTCACCTTCCCGTGGACCTTCTTCATGTGCACCACGTACTCGTCCCTCTCGGGGAACCAGGAGTGGCAGATGCCGCAGGTCCAGCCGTTGCTTCGCGAGCGCCTGCCCAGCTCCGCCTTGCGCTGGAACCGGCCCCGCTTGCTCTTGCGCACCTCGGGGGAGCTGGGGGGGTCATCCTCTGAGGAAGAGGAGGAAGAGGAGGACGAGGAGGAGGAGGGGGGCTTGGAGACGGGTGGCGGGGGCTCCTCTTCGGCCGGCCCTGGCTTGGGGGCGGTGGGCACGGCGGGGGCGGCCTGCTTCCCCGGCTCCTCCTTGGGCTTCGTTGGTGGCAGCTGCTGCTGGTGGTTGTTCTGTGGTGCAGAGGGAGGCAGCGGTCAGGCTGGGTCCTTCCCTGCCCCCCTTCCCGGCTCCGGCCGGCCCCCCCCCCTCACCTTGAGGTGCTCCAGCATGGTCCGCTTCTGGGCGAAGAGCAGAGGGCAGTCGGGGCACTTGAAGACGCTGACCCGCTGGCTGAGCAGGTGCTGGTCGAAGTGGGAGGAGAGCAGCGGCTTGTGCGTGAAGACTGTGTCGCACATGGCACACTTGTAGATCATCCTGAGGGGGAGGGGGCTGTAAGAGGGGGGGTCTCCTTCCTGCCCTCAGAGGCCCCCGCCCCCACCCCGGCGGCTCCTTACTTGGACTGCTGGCTGCTGAAGCCCGGGTGCTGGGTGTAGATGTGGCCGTGGGCGCTGGGGGCCGACTTGAAGGCCATGGGGCAGACGGGGCACTTGTGGAAGACCTCGCAGTGTGACGTCTGGATGTGGGACTTGATGGAGTTCACGCCGCCGAAGACCACCGAGCAGCTGGGGCACCTGGGGGGAGGAGAGCGAGGGAGAGCTTGGGGGTCCGGCCAGCGTTCGCCCTTCAGGCTCCAAGCGGGGAGTCTGTTTTGCGGCCACCGAGAGAGGCGGAGCCCTCGGTCCATCCGCGGAGGTGAGGGCAGGTGAGAGCGGCCCAGGACCCCGCCCCCTCCTACCTGTAGCCGATCCTGCGGGAGAAATGCAGGCAGGCGTCCTTCAGGTGGGCATCGAAGTTTGCCAGCAGGAAGTTCCCGCCACACTCGGGGCAGACGTGGGGTGGGCGGTTCTTGTGCATGCGCTGGTGGGCGCTGAAGCTGCAGCGGTTGGCCATGATCATCGGGCAGCTGTTGCACACCTGGAGGGGGGGGCGCTCCTTTATCACAGGAAAAAGTCCCGCCTGGGTCTGCCAGCCCTCCTCCTCCTCCTCTGCCCACGGGTCAAACTCTGTTTGGCGCCGTCTCCAGATACGGGACCTGGAGGTGTTCTCATCCAGCCCCCTGCCCAGGAAGGAGACCCTGTGGCTGTCCGGTCTCTTTTTGAAAGCCCTCGGTGAGGAAGGCCTGGGAGAGCCGAGAGTCCAACCAACCCGGGGACACCTTGGGTTCGAGTCCAGCGGCTGCCCACCCAGCCCCTCCCCCTCATTTACCGTGGAGCCGGCGCTTCCGGCCTGCTGGAAGTGGGCCGCCAGCCCAGCCTTGTCCTTGCACTGCTCCTTGCACTCCAGGCACTGACAGGAGTTGGTGGCCGGTGGCTGCTCGGTGCTGCTGCCGCCCAGGGGCAGGACAGGCAAGTCCTGGGCGGGGCCTCCCTGGGCCGGGCTGGTGTCTGGGGCCGGGCCGGCCGGGGAGGTCGCCTTGCTGGCGCTGAGGGAGGCCAGGGAGGCCAGCGGGGCCACGTCCGGCTGGCCAATCATCTGGTCCAGGGCGATGGGCCGCATGACCAGGTGGGAGCACTGCATGACCAGCCCCTTGTCCTTGTGCTCGCGGGCGTGGAGCAGCAGGCTGCACTTGTTGAAGAAGACCAGCCGCTTGGCGCAGTGGTTGCAGGTCACCTCCACCCGCAGGCTGCGCCGGTCGTAGTGCCGGGCCAGGCTCCGCTCCAGGGCGAAGGCGTCGCCGCACTCCAGGCAGCGGTAGCCCAGCGGCGGCAGGCTCAGGCTGGACTCGGCGGGGGGCAGCAGGTTGGGCTTGTAGGGGGGCAGCAGGTTCTTGCTGTTGAGGATCTTGTTGAAAGCCTCCACCAGGCTGGACTGGCTGCGGGAGATGACCGTGCCGGCCACGGGGGGCGAGGGCTTCTGGGGCTGCAGGGCTACCACCGTGGTGCCGTTGAGCTTCTGGCTGGCGGGGGTGGGCACAGCGGCCCCCCCAGCCCGGACCTCGGCGGCCTTGGGGAGGGGCTGGGGCACCAGGCTGAGGACGTTCTTGGCCAGGGCCTTGCTGGGCAGCACCACGGCCTTCTGCTGGGCCACGCTGGCCGCCATGAGCATGGCGCTGCTGGCGTTCTGGATGGTGGAGACGGGCAGCACCGTGCCCCTGAGCTTGGTGCCATCGCCCAGCTGGACGCTGACCACCTTGGGGCCCTCCGTCACCTTCACGGGGCTGGACACCAGGGCCCTCAGGCCAGGGTTCTCCGGAGCGGCCTCTTCCTTCTGACTGACGGCAAGGAGCAGGGCGTCCTCGGCTGCCGGGGTCTCCGGATCCGAGGACAGCTTGCCGAGCCCTGGCTCAGCGTCCGACGAGACCCTGGTCACTGTCCGGGTGATGCTTCCTGAGGACGTCTTAATGGTCTTGATCCTCACCTTGAGGGGCCGTGAGGAACCGGACGAGGGGGAACCGGTGCTCTGGTCCTCCTGCTCCCCATCCTCCTCCTCCTCCTCCTCCTCCTCCCCCCCCCTGGAAGGGACTGGCGGGCACTGCAGTGGCTTTTCCATCGGTTCTTCTTTCAGGGATCCTCCGCCGGGGGGCTTTGGGGGGACCAGGGCCCCTGGACTGGCTCCCTTCCGTGGGGAGCCCTGGAAGAGATGCTCCCGAGGGCTGGAGAGCGAGTGCTTGATGTCGGGGAGGCTGCCGAGCTCCCCCTCCAGGTCTGCGTCAGAGCCAGGCCAGGGGACCCGGGGGGAGGTCTCCGTGGAGTAGCAGGAAGAGCCAGGCTTGGGTCGCCCCAACGGGCTGGACCCCTGGCAAGGCATCTCGCAGTCCACCTCCTGCTTGATTACAGGAGGAGCCGGAACAGGAGCAGGAGGAGGGGTCAGCGAGAGGCCCACCCCACCAGGCGGGCACGTTTCAAAAGGCGGAGCGAAGGCCGGAGGGGACGAGGGTCCCAGGCTCTCCTGAACGGGTTGGGGACAATCCAGGGAGGGGCCAGCAGACAAGATGGGGACCGGGATGAGGGGCGCCCCGGCAAGGCCCGGCTGCTCCTTCCCCTTGCCTCCCCGGGGCTGGTCGATCAGGTCTGCCTCCCCCTCCTTGTGGGGCTCGGGGCTGAAGGGGGAGAAGAGGTCCAGGCTCTTGGGGGCCTTCTCCTTCAGGGCCCAACAGTCGCCATTGGCGGGGGCTGCGGGTTCCGCCGAGGGAACCGGGGAGGCCCGGGGCAGCTCGGGCGCCGTAAAGCCATTCTGCAGCAGGCGGGGGCCGCCCACGCCGTCCTTCAGGCGCCCGTCCCCCGGCTCCAGCTGCTCGGGGCAGACGGTGTTCTTCACGATGACGCTGACGGTGGTGATGTCGGCGTGTGGGAGGACGTGCTCGGGGGCGGCCGCCTCCCCCGGGACGGGACGGATGGGCGCCTCGGCCTCCTCGTGGCCCGGATGGATGGCCTCGCTGGTGTCGATGTCGGGGATGTCAAAGGCCGCCAGGAGGTCGTCGAAATCCGGGGTCTTCATGTCCCCCATGTCGAGGAGCTCGGGAAGCTCTTGATCCCACGGAGCAGCAGTGAAGCCCCTTTGCGAGAGGAACCGGGTCAAAGCTGCCCCTTGCCGGTCGCGGCTGCTCCCCCACGAGCTGGAAACTGGGCCGGCCGGCCGGCCATCTCCCCGCGGAGGCCCCAGCAGACGGACGGAGCTGAAAGCCAAAAGCAGAACACTGGGCTTAGAGCCTTCCTCTGAGGGGGGGGGGGGAGGGCAGGCAGTCCTCGCCTTACGACTGCCACAAAGGAAAGTGCAAGGAGGGGCTCCCGGGGGACACAGCCCCTGCAACAGGGAGCCACACAATTTTGGCTGGGCAATTCCAGAGATGGGAGGGCAGCCTCGCCCGTTACCTGTAGCTCTGCAAACCTACCAGGGGAGGCTTTTTGGAGCCCACAGCGACCCCCTGGAGGGAGCCCTGGCTTTGATCTGGGATGATTCTTATCCTCCACCCATTCACAAATTTACAGGCTAACTAATTCTCAGTCGCTCTGGGCAGCGTCCAAGTTCATATAATTTTTTATTTGCTGGCTAACCTCAGAGGATTAGAGAGCTGTTTTCCAAACTGGGGGGAGCACCAGCATGCCTCTGCCCGCCTGAGATTCTGTGCAGCCAGCGGGCAAAAGCCGTCTCCTTCCCCATCAGGAGGGGAGGAGAGCAGCGGCCAGCACCCTCCAGCCACACTGGCAACGGGCACCTGCAGAATCGCAGCACTAACCTGACAGGGAAGCTCCCTGGAGACCAGGAACCAGGGCGGGAGACGGGCAGAGGAGTGGAGGAAGAAGAGGGGGGCGGCGGCTGAGGGCCTTTGGCTTCTGCCAGGCCCGCAAGCCAGGTGCCGCCTGGGGGAGAGGTTGGCGCAGTCGCTCTGCCCGGCCTCCCAGCGCCAGCTGCAGAGGGAAGCACAGGGAGGGAAGCCACGCGGAGGAAAACAAGCACCCAACTGGGGGGGGGAAGGCAGGGCTACCTTTCCCGCAGCTCTGCTCCTCTCAGCCCAGACCTGCCAGTCACGTTGAGCAATTATGTCCCCCCTCCCCAAAGGCACCCTGCTCGGCCATCTGCGTTTAGAAAACGGGGTGGGTTAGGAGCAGCCCCCCCTTCCCTCCCCCGTGGAGCACAGGGTGGAGCGCAGGCAAGGCCGAAGGGGCTCCTGGCGAGAGATAAAACCAGGGCTGGCTGGATAAGAGGAGAGGAAGGGAGGCTGGCAGGGACTCCGGGGTGAAGAAAAGGCTCCGCCATGCCAAGGGATGACAGAAGGGGAGGCCGGGGGAGGCCTATGAGGGGGGCACAGGGACCCCTCGGAGGGAGAGCAAGGCCTGACCCAGGTCTTGGGTGGGTGGGTGACACTTCTGCTCCAGGGAAGGTTAGATACACACGTGCCAACCCACTGCCACCCTGGCACAGCTCCTTAGGTGCACCCCCCAGCCCGCACCCTGAGCCACGCACCATCGGCTCCTCCAGCAGCAGATTTGCCCGAAGTTTCAGGCCACAAAAGCTGAACTACTTATCTGCCCTGGCATAACGTTTGGGCATCTTGGCGGGGGAGAAATGAAACATATGCGGCGCCCTTTATTTTTTGAAGCAAAGGCAGCCGAGACGGGGATCCCCTTCGCCCAAAGGTTGAATGTGGCATGAAGCGAGGCAAAGACCAAGGACCAAGCATTTAAAATGTGTTCTGAGCAACATGGGCAGGGGTCTGCTGGACCCCCATTACAGGTCCTCCAAGCTCTCCCTGTTCAGGAAGACTTTGAAGTAGCAGGTACAGCTTCAGACTAAAAACCAACCAATTTGTCCATACCAAGTTATTCCACAGCTGTTCCCCCAATCCCAGCTCTGCTAAAGTTATTTTATAAGTGTAGGAACATCCGATAATCTCCCACGATGGATGGACAAAATCTACGGAGGTGACACTCAAGCTTTCCTAAGGGCGACCGCTCATAATCCCTCAACATCAGTCCCAAACAGACCGGTTCCCTTCACCCAGGAGCCAAAACACAGTCACACCAACACACACACACAAATCTTCCTCTTCTCAAACCAACAACACACACCCCCTCGCCGCTCAGAACTGTTGAGGCAGAGCCAGGCAAGCAGTATAGGAAGGAAAGCTTTCGGCCCCTCCAGATTTAAGGGGATTGCCCTAGCTGATTTCCCGATCTCTTAAATCCTAAAGGCTTCCCCTGGGAGAGATTTAAATTTAAATCAAGCCACTGCCAGGCTCAGTATCTGAGGAGGGCATTCCAATAGGCAACAATTAGCTGCCAGTTTATTGGAGGAACAGCTGGATCTCCTGCTATTTTGCTCCACGCCTGCCAGGGTGTCGCACACGGCACCCAACAGCCGGCTCTTGGGAACAGCTGCCCCCTCCCCGCTGGGAATCAGTGCTTGTCCAGAGCAAATGTGCAACACAGCTGCCCCCATCTTTGCCTGATCACAACAATTAAAATATGGACTCGGGTGTTGGAAAATTACATGGGTATGTCTTTGGAGTTGGAAGTCTGGCATATTAGGGCACTGAAGTCATGGGGGGGGGAGCAGAGTGACTGGAAAGAAAGCCCCAATATTTATAGCCAGGTATCGGGGTGCAAACCCCGCCCAAGGAGAGCAGAGGAACCGTTCCTTCTTGAGCAAGGCTCTAGGTCAGTGTTTCTCAACCTTGACCATTTTAAGGCATGTGGACTTCAACTCCCAGAATTCCACAGCCAGCGATGCTGGCTGTGGAATTCTGGGAGTTGAAATCCACATGCCTTAAAATGGTCAAGGTTGAGAAACACTGACCTAGGTTTTGGGAGACGGTGGAAAATTAATCCAGAGGAAGGATGACAAGGGGAGAAGCTGGGAAAATAGTCACCCTGCAGAAGCCCACCGGATGTTAACTGAGATGCTATTTCACGGCCCACAGCATCTTGCAAAGCCTGCTTCCCTCTCCTGAGCACCACGGACTGTGCATGTTTACCTTCCCTCCTCTTAACTCTTCACACCTACCCTGGAATACTCTTGGGGCAGGGCCTGAACAAACACTCGATGTATAAATTTTGCAGCCGAATACACTGCTGCTCCCTTAGGGGAGACGGGTCACCCTCTTCCCCATCCTCCAAAACTGGGGCAGATCCCCCACTGGAAAACAATCTGGAAAGAGGCTGGGCGAGAAGCAAGTTTTTTTCATTGCCTTCACGGAGAGTCACTATTCCAGATTAATTAACGCCCACGGCAGCTGCCCACCCCCCCCCCACCCGGCCTAGCCATGTCTGGCAAGAGATTAAATTCCAGTCCATTTAAGAGAATTAAGACAAGACCATCTGCTAACTTTAAAATACTAAGCGGGGAGGCCAGGAGAAGGAGAAAAAAAAGACTCAGTGGTGGCCAAGCTCACTCAAGGGGGAAGGGAGGTTAATTTTAATGAAAATACAATAGCGATTGGCTTCTTAAGCATAACAAACCAAGGGCAGGAGAAAGAGCTCCGGGAGCCCACAATGGGCATTATCACTGGGCATAAAGGCAGATGACCACTTTTGAATAGCAACAAGTGATTTAGCGTTTCTGGATGGCACCAATTCAAATGCAAAAGGAAGCACTAAGAGGTTTGCCTGGAATCCAAAACTAAGCAAAACCTTAGCAAAAACACCTCACTTTCTAACCAGCCCCCCCAATCCACTCCTCCCCAATACCTGGCATCTGATTCACAACATCCCTCCCCCCTTAGAGACCATAGCTCAGAGAAAGAAGGATGCTACAGGAAATGGACACCTCAAAACCCAAGAATGCCCCCAGTGTGTGGCACTCCTTCTTCCCTCACCTCTGGAAAAGCATAATAAAAAGTTGGGGTCCTTCTTTTTTTATATATAAAAAGGAAATGGTAACGGCAATATAGTAGGTTCGCTGTTTCTGTAACCTACAAATTTCTCAAAGATTAAAAGGGCCCGGGGCAAAAATAAAAGGAAAAAAAATCAATAAAGATCTTTAAACTTTCCTCCTCTAACAATTCAGCTTTTCTGCTTTAATCAAATTCACACAATGTGGGCATTTATTTACTGATGGCGAAGTTCCCCAATGCATTAGGACAGCCCAAGGGTTGCACAGAATTTAGGAATGAAGCAGAAAACCGAGAACAAAGCGCATTAAAGGCTAACTTTATCCAATGCCAGTTTGGGTAAAGGGGCTTCACACTCTTAACAACTTTCCCCTGCCCCAAGTTTCACCAATAACACAAGCCCCCCCGCAAGAGAAATTTTCAGACTTCAAAGGTGTACAAAATCCCCCCTTTAGATCCTGCACGCGATGACCAGGCATTGCCCAAAACAAATGGATAAATTCAATATTTGCAAACACATCTGTGGATGCTTTCAAACTCCCAGACCCAGGTAGATACACGTATCTAGGCAACTTTTTTAAAAAAAGAAAAAAAAAGGCTGAACGGGTCCAGGGCAGGAGCTTATAAAGTTATACAGGGAAAGCCCTTTAAAATTGTGAAATATTAAATGCCGGGCATTTTTGCCCCCAAAAGAACAGCGGTGCCTCTCTTGAGCCACCAGAGCAAAATGCTCCATTATTAATGTTGGGAGGAAGAGTTGCAGGGCCCCCAAAACATTAAATCTCCCTTAATTCTCATCCCTTTTAAGGGGGGGGAGAAGCCCTAGGAAGCCCCCCCCTCACGAGCTCCTTCAAAGCTTTCCCCCTTTATTAGGGCTGGCCCCCCATCTAGATCTGCCCCCAGGGTAAAATATCTACCTTCTCCCCCCCTTTTTTTTTCATTAATGAGATTTTATGCCCAGGGTCTCTATTAAGAGGCAGAATGGGGAGGGGGGGTCAGTCTTTCTGGTTTGGGAGGGGGCAAAGCGACCCCCCCTTGCAATTCTCAGCAGCCCCGCCCTCCAGGCAGGCTTTTATTGGGGGGAGCTTGTATTTATTTCGGAACTTCCCTTCTTTAAAAAAAGGCACAGACTGGGGGAGGGGCTTTTTTGCTCCTGACTGAGGTTCCCCCTGGCAGCAGGAGAGCAGGCAGGGCGGGCGAGGATGATGGGATCCGGAGTCCAGGGGAAATGGGCTTTGCAGTCCGATCCCTCGATGGCCGGGGGGGCAGCGGAGGCCTCCGAGCGGGGAGGGGGCTCCCCAGGGCGCTGGGGGAGTCGGGGGGGGCGGCGGAGGGAGACCCCCTCCCGGCCTCACGCGCCTGCCCTGCCCCCCCGCTCGGAGGCCCCGGGGGAGGGGAAGAGACCCCCCGCCTTGGGGCGGCCCCACGGCCTCCTACCTGCGCGGCCCGGCGCCCTCGGCGGCCCGGCGTGGGGGCTTCGCGGTCGGCGCGGCGCCTCTCTCGATTGCTCTGAGGGCCTCCGCCTCCTCGGCCGCTTCCTGCTTCGCCCCCCCCAGTGCTCGCGAATCGGCATTGGACCGCCTGACCGCCACTCCAGAGGCTCCGCGGCTTGCCGTTGGCCGAGAAGGACGTCACTCAAAGGCGGGAGCAGGCGCTCCGGATGGCTATAGGGTCAAGGGCCGTCACTACAGAGGGATGCACCGCCCACTTCGACCTCTGTACTCATTGGAGGCGAGGACGCAGAGGGGCTGTCCTGTTCCTGTCGCCTTCTTGATCTATTGGTAAAACGGCCTGCCTATCGATGCTCGGCACGCCTCATCCGCTGGCCGTGGAGATGGTTTTGTGCGACTCAGCTGGGGGAAATAGAAACCCCCCATTGGCTCTATTGGCTAAGAGTGCCATAGTTGCCCAAGGGCTTATCGTCACGATTGGCTCTTATGAACGTCACTCAGACTGACATCGAATGCCGCATTTTAATTGGTGAAAACTCGCCGCAGGCGGGATTTCTATTATATTGACTCATTGCTTGAGAACACAGCAGCAGGTGTAACGAACTGCCTATTGGTGTTCGACCACGGAGAGGCGGGGCTTTGTCTCGTGGTCCCGTCATCCTATGGCGTATTATTCCTGTCGTTCAAAGACTCGCCCGCCCTCAAAGCGCTTGAAAAAGATGAAAAAGCATCAACTCGCAAGGCATGATGGGAGGCGAGAGGCAGTGGTAGCCGCGCTAGGACGTCTGGGGGAAAAAGTGACTCGGGCTCCTGAGAGCGCAAAGGATTGTGGGCGATATTGGCCAACCTGCACTTCCGGCCAGGGAAAAAAGTGCTGTTTTTAAAAAATATTAAACTGATTTGTGCTTAAATCCAAGGCAAAATGACGTTTAAAAATTGCCTTAGACCAGTGTTTCTCAACCTTGACAATTTTAAGGCATGTGGACCAACTCCCAGAATTCCACAGTCAGCATTGCTGGCTGTGGAATTCTGGGAGTTGAAATCCACATGCCTTAAAATTGTCAAGGTTGAGAAACACTGCCTTAGACTAAGGCTCTCCAAATGTGGCAACTTTAAGACTTGTGGACGTCAACTCCCAGAATTCCTCAGCCAGCCTCCCTCGCAGGGGTGTTGCTCAGATAAGAGTTGGGAAAACCAGGAGAAGCCAATGGATAAAACTTTGCAGCAGGTGGTCCTTGCGCCTGCAACCCTGGTTGCTTTTTCAGCTCTGCAGACCAACTCCGCAAGGCAGCTTCGTCCGTGAGGACTAGAACCCTGAGGAGGCTGGAATCTCAGCCCCAGCAAAAGAGCGAGATCCTCGGCGGCCTCCTGCTTCTCTCCTTGAAGCGGCTTTGTTCCTCCACCTGCCTCGGTGCCGAGCCAGATCTTGATCTCCCTGGTCTGGCAGCCCAGCTTGGAACAGTCTTCTCTTTGTGCTCCTCCAAGGCCAGGGTCTCCGTCTCCCCCTCGCCGAGGCTGGGCTTGGACGCCTTCCGAGGCTGCCGTGACGAGGCTCTTTTCCCCAAAGGGAGAGCGGTGGCCTTGCTCGGGGCAAACGGCCAGACCCGGAGCCTCCCTTTCAAAACACGCCTTGTTCACCATATCAGGTGGTGCAATCCGACCTGAACAAAATGCCAGGAAACGGAGACGGGTCTTCTGTCCAGCCAACTGGTCTTTTTGGGCTCTGAAACAAAGGCTGCCTTCTTGTTTCATCTCTTTCCCGGCTTTTCTTGCAGCAGGAGAGGTGAAATGGATGGCTTTGTTTTCAGCTTGGGCTTGTACTTCTCCCCTGCGCTCTTTCAACTTGTGTTCTTTTTTCCTTTCACCTTTTAGAAATAAATTCCTTATTCAATGGACATTGGATTGCAAAGGATGGCTGCAGCAATACATTGACCTGAATCTTCCCATGCTGCTTCTCGCCGTGGATCTTGGCCAACGGCGACCAAACTAATATTTTTTTGGAGCATGGAAAGAGATAAAGCAATAACCCTCACCTCCAAAAAGTTATCAAGATTTTGAATTGCCTAAACTTAACTTTCATAACTTTCTTTTGAAAAAGGTAGAGTTACCCCATAGTATCCCCAGTCTCCGCAGTGGGATGGTCTCCCTTTTCTCTAATAATGGTGTATCACGGCCAGCCGGAAGGGTGTGTGACCCGCAAAATGGACCCCTCTGAACTGCTGCCGTCCTGCCAAGAGCTGGAAAGCTGCTTCCAAGCTATCCTGGTAACTCTTTGGGGCTGGCAGGGAAGCAATTTAATTCCCATTACAAAGAGCAGGTGCTCCCAGATGGTCCGGTCTGCTTCTCGCCCTTTCTCCGGCGCTGGGAAGCAGAGAAATGGGGGCGAAGGGGAGGAGAGGGGTGACGCACAGCCAAACACGCTCAACTGGTCCCAATTCTCTTGCAGAAGAACGTCACACTGGGGATCACGGCAGAGGTACAGATGATGGGGACGGGGGCGCTGGGAGGCCTGGTCACTTTGCTTTGTGGCAACAAGCCAACGTACCTTGTCGGAAGCTCGGCACGTAAGTTGCCTGGACAGGTCAGGGTGGACAAAACAGGTCTCCCTGTGCATCCCAGGTGGTGGTGGTGGTGGGAGGAACGCAAGGCTGTTTCCCAGCCATAACCCTCCTCCCCTCCAACAAAGTCAAACTCTTTCTTCTTTTTTAACTTTTTCCCCCAGTGGCTTTTCAGAGAAGCAGAGCTGCTTAGGAAAGAGATCCCCCTTCCTGCTGACCCCCCCCCAGCCATGGAAGAGGCCACAAGACGGTTGCACGGCCGTAGAGATCAAGCCACAAGACGGACTGTCTTCTGCTCCTTTGCCTTTAAAAACTGCTGAATTTGTAGCGCTTAATAAAGAAGAGAACGCGGAAACATTTGGTCTGGATAATGTGACTCGGTTAAACCTCTGCATTTCCAAAATTCCCAACTCTTAAAAGAGAGCGCTTGGGAAGAGCAGGGAAGGCATTCAGAGTCTGTTCACAGCCCCTGATCTTTTAACTGTTCAACTAAAAATAGGAGCCAGGCAGTTTTAGCAGATAACTCAAAAGTTATAGATCTGGATGGAGGTTTAGGAGCTGGGCACTCTCCAGCTTCAGAGGGACAACATTTCCGTTCTTCACTCTTTCCGTCCACCAGAGATGGAGCAGCTCAGGGCAAGGTTTACACACGTGTAAACTGCTTGGGTTTGACCCCCTGGGGATGCTTCAGGTGCTGCTTCAAAGAAACACACCAGTAGGGAGAAAATTTAAGGGTTTTATTAACTGTTGAACCAGAAGCAAAATGCGAAAAGGACCCCACCCACCCCCGGGATCCCACGTCCCTGCAGAGACAGACAGCCCAGAAACATTATGGAAACCGAACGCTACCAGGCCACACAACCTGGATGCAGGTGTGTGGACACAAGGACAAGGAGGGACTCAGTCCCCTCTCCCCCCCCCGCTCATTTCTTCTCTTCCTCCTTTTTCTCCTTGTTCTCTTTGGAGCCCTGCGAGGCCAGCGAGCCCATAGCGTTGCGGATGGCCTCGTTGTTGGGGTCCACCCCTGGCAGGTTTTCCAAAACACTCTGCAGGAATTCAGGATCCTGCATCACATCATAATCGTCTTCTTCCTGAGGAAGGGGTCGGGGAGGGGGGTCACATGACTGGGTTAGTCTGGGATTAGGGAGCAGACCACCATGGAAGGCCACACACACCCCCGCCCGAAAACAGGCCTTCTGTAAAAGCTGGGTGGGCAGGAACACGTACACACCCTGCCAGAATTCCCCCTCCTACGTCGCTGCCATCCGAGACTTCTCATTTAAAAATAAAAGAATGGCTTGGCCAGCTTTCCCCGAGTTGCAATGGCAGCCTTCAGTAAATGGAACCTGGGCCAGGGGGAATCCTGTCTCATGGGACCCTCCCCCCAAGTAATTCACCCTCTGGGTCTGGAGAGGCCCTGTCTTCAGCGCCTCTTCAAGCCCAGCTTGGTCCCCCCCAAAACTCAAACCTTGGTGGGCTCCGACGTGTCCATGTCAGCCGAGCTCTCCCCCTCCACCGACTCTCCTTGCCCAAACTCTGCAGAAAAAGGGAGGGTGGCGGTGCAGGTCAAGCTTCCCAGCCCTGAATGACGGCCGTGAATGACAGTCTGCTGGGATCGCCCCCTGCACACCCCCCCCCACCGCTCACCAGCTCCCTGAAGAGACATCTGCATAGCATAGGCTATCTGCTCCTCTTCGGTCATGGTGCTCAGGTCCGGCAGACCGGCGCGGCCAAATTCCTGCTGCCCGATGGTCATTTTCAGCAGAGTGTCGTCTGAATCTGAGACACAGCAAAGGAAAGAGTCCTGGTGGGGGGGCTGCAGTCTTTGAGGCCACACCGAGCGAGGGTTGAAGGAGATGACTTACCATCCCCGCCCGTGGAGGGAATACCGGCCTCGGCAGCTGATGCAGCAGCTGCTCTCCGGGCCTCTTCCTCCTGACGCTGTCGCTGTTCCTCCATCGACACCCGGAGAGCCTGGAGGGGCAGAGGGACACGTCAGCAGCCCCTTCCCCAGTGATGCTGGATGGCCAGGGAGTTTGGGATCTGTGTACCAGAATTCCTTAGACCAGGGGTGTCCAACCGTGGCAACTTTAAGACTCGAGGGCTTCAGCTCCCACAATTCCCCAGCTGAATTCTGGGGAGGTGAAGTCCTCAAGTCTTAAAGTTGCCACAATTGGACCCCTTTGCCTTAGACAACCATGGTTAACTCAGGCATTCTGGGAATTGCAAACCAGGCAGATGGCCTGCCTTACCAGTGCCAGCTCTGGGTCAGCACTGGGATCCACGCCAAACTCAAAGTCGCTTGCCCCCAGGCCCAGCATGGCTCCTCCCTCTCCAGCCAAGATGGGCGAGCTGATGAGGGCATCGGCCAAGCTCGGCCCAGGAGGCACCGTCACCAGGTGGGAGCCGGTGCCATCTTTGCCATTCAGGGTGTTGATGAAAGCCGTCAGCTTGTCCGTGTTGGCCTCCTACAGAGCAGGGAGAGGAGGAGGAGGAGAAGTCAGGGAGATCAGCACAAAAACAGGAGTTACACAGTCAATCTTGGGGTCCCTCACCTCTTCTCCAAAGTTGATGATGTCCACGTTCACCTTCTCCTTCTTTAGCCGCTTGGCCAGTTTCACCAGCTGCAAATGAAAGATGCGCTTTGAACAGGGGCAACCTGAGCACAGGGCAGGAGCTCCATCTGAGAATGCCGAGGTTGGAAAGTGGCCTTTCCAGAGGAATCCCAGTGAGGAACGCTGGGACTTGTAGTCCAGTGGCATTTATGAATATTTTATCCAAATTCTATTTAAACTATCCCTCGGGACAGGGGATCCCATGTTTTCAAAATATATTGGCAAACGCCAGGGATGCCCTTTGCGTCACTCACGTCCTTCTCGTTGTCTTCCACGGGACTCCCAACAAAGGCAATGATGCGCATTTTGTGGTTCTTCCCCTGGCGGTGCTTCAGAGCCAGCTGGAAAGGAAGAAGAGATTTAGGGGAGGGTCTGTGGCTACTTCCGTTCCCCCCCTTTGGTCCAGCCCTTTGCTTTCTCTCCATGGCCTGGGTCTCGGCTTCTACCTGCTGCATCAATGCCCCAAGAGGAGCCTGGGGGAAGAGCAGAGCCCATCTGAGAGGACTCAATCCAGACAGAGGGGGACCTGGGGTCTGGGGGGGGCGCAGGGGGTCTTACGTGAGCCACTCGGATGCCGGTGCAAAAGGTGATCCTTCCTCTGGGCTGCACCGAATGCAGCTTGGACAGGATGCGGCCTGTGTCTGGTGTCAGCGTGGTCAGCACCTCGCAGTTGCTGCAACAAAGACGGGGGGCTGGGGTCAACAAAGCCCCCCCTCCAAAGCAGACCTGATTCGGGGAGCGGAGGGGGAGGAAGACCCGGCGAAGACGAGCCAAGTGGGGAATGACGGATGAGGCCACACAGAATCCTGGGGGGGGGGGCTGGGAGGCCATCCAGTCCACCCCAAGGGCGCCGGGTGGGGGGACGAGGGAGGGGAAAAGGGGGGACCCACTTGGCCAGCGTGATGAGCCCCACGTTGTTCTCGGGGTTGGAGCGGGTCTTGGAGTGGCAGACGATGTTGACGGCGTCCTGCTGCGCCTGCAGGCGGGTGGGCAGGAAGTCCCCGTTGCGCATGTACTCGCTGTTGTCCACGCTGCGGGGGGGGAAGAGGGGGGACTTAGGGGGGCACTAGGTTCCCCCCCAGGTTTGGGAGCCCCCTCCCCCGGCAAGGAGGACGGCCCTCGCGCCCAGGGAGCCCCCTCCCCGGCCCCGAGCCGCCCCCCCTCCGCCTTCCCTACGGGCGCCCCCGGCCCCGGCCGTGACTCAGGGAAACCCGCTCCCGGCCCCGCCGGCCTCTCCCGCCCCGCCCAAGCCGCCCCCCCCGCCGCCCCCGCCCTGCCCCACCCCACTCACCAGACCATCGTGCTCTCCAGCACCATCGCGGCGCCTCCGCTCGCCCCACCGGCGGCCCCCGACTCGCTTCCTGCGGCCTCTGTCGCTCCGGCCGCCCGGCTGCTGCCAAGCCACCAATCAGCGTCGCGCTTCTTGGCAGGTCGGGGCGCGGGGCATCCCGGGAGGGATAGTTCTAGCGCCTGCGCAGGGGCTTTCGTGGGCGGAACGCGCAGGCGCCGACTTTTTTTTTTTTTTTAAGGCGTGCGTGTTACGTACGAGGCTATCCATACACTTTAATCAGAATAGATCGGGAAGGGACCCTGGAGCTCTTCTAGTCCAGCCCCCTGCCCGAGAAGTCCCTGTGTCATTTCAGAAGAGTGGTTGTCCTGTCTCCTTAAAAATATGTAAATATGTGTAAATGTATGTAATTCTTAATTTATATATTTATATGTATAATATACATACACAAAAATACTTAGATCGATTTATGCATGTATACATGTATTATCGTGATAGCTTATTCGATGTACGGTGATATTTATCATCCAAGCAGCCATGCCCCACTCCTGCTGGCTGGGGCTGATGGGCGCTGGAGTTTAGCCAGTCATGGAAGCGAGCGAAGGGAAGGAAAGAAAAGCCGAGGCGCCGCCAGGCCTGTTTCATAAAACCAGAGCCCGACTTGGCGCAAAGACAACAGGGCAGAATCTCAACTAAACACAGAAGCAATTAAGGAGGCTTCCTGCTACTTATAGAGACGCGAGGCGGCTTCGGAAGGGACGCATCTGATTGGCACACCCGCTAATGGGCGGCGTCACCGGAAAGCAGGCACCCGATTGGTCGCTGGGGAAGGACCAATCGGGCAGCCTTCAGTGATACGCCATTGGCTAGTAGCCGAACAGCGCGAAGTTTGAAGCGGCGAAGAGGAGGAAGTCACTGAGTGCGAGTAGTGACTGAGCAGGAAGTCACTACTGCTAGGAGCTCAGCTTGCACCCTTTGTAGCCCTGCCTGCTAGACCCAGCAGAGGCCCTGGCTGCTCAGGTTCTCTAGCCTTCAGAAGGCAAAGCCTTATGCCGCTTGGAGTGCCTCTGGAGAGCATTGAACTGGTGGGGTGGGGGGGGAAGGTGCAAGAATATAACGGGGGGGGGAAATCACAACTGGGCGTCTGGGACATTAGCTCCCATGCTCCAATTTCACCAGCCAGCTCAAGGCCCACCCACCCAGCAGAGTTTGGCCAATGAACTCCCAAGCCCAGGGAGGCCTGGTAAGACCTGCTTGCATGGTCAGGCAGTCTGGTCTCCAGCCTTGGCCACTTTGAAACTGGCTGGAGAATTCTGGGAGCTGAAGTTCACAAGTCTTGGGTGATCATTAATCCCACCCATGCAGGGCAAGTCAGACCTGTGATGCCAGGTCTGATCTCATAACCAGTGTCGTTTCTTCTGAAGGTTAAGCAGTGAAAGGCAACCTGTAGCCTCCCCACTTCTCAGTTTGTCCCCCAGTCTAAAATGATGCTGCAGTCTGAAAAACAACTCCCACAGGGAAGAGACAGGCACCAAAAACCAGGCTTGAAATATAAGTTTATAAATTACAAACTTTTGTGGCAGGACACTTCCAAATCAGTCTAATGTAGACAGTTCCGTAACATGTAACAGTTTGAGGAGATTCAAGGCTCAAATTTAACAAGACCCCCCCACCAACCCAGCCCCGAAGGCGGATCCCATATCCACAAACAGCCATGTGATTGATTATACATTGGTGTTTTGAGGTGAAACAGATGCCCTGCTCTCTTGCAAACTTTTCTCAAAAATAGAATTTATTTACCCTGATCTCACTTTCTTTAGGGACTGAGTGGCCCCTTCATCCATCTCTGCAGCCAACATTGAATGCTAGTCTGTTTCCCATTAAATGCTTCTTCACAAAAATATCTATAAAGCTCACTGAAAAAACAACTGTTCTTTCTCTTTCTCGCCCTCCAAAACTGGGTGGGAAAAAACGAAGGTACGTTCTCTCTGCCAGACAGGGATGCATCTTCCTCTTGACGCACTAAAGCCTTTTCTGAATAATCACCCCAGCCAAGAATTCCTCCGGTTGCTGCAGAGGTTTTGTTAGGGCCAGAAAAACGTGCTTGGTGCAAGGAAAGCCATGTTGAGGGTTGCTTTCTCCAAACGCAACCCGTGAGGATGCTCGAAAGGGGGGGAAAACGCCCCCTCCCTACGTGCAAAAAAGGGGTGACCATTCTTACAGATTGCTAAAAAATAGCCAGAATGGAGGAAAAGCTATAAAACGGGGGAAGGGGGGGAAATGAGCCCTGACTGTAGTGAAATTCTACAAGCTTGTCAAGAGGGGTTTTAATACTGAAATCTCCCATTGCCACAAAGCGAGCGAGGAGGTGCAGTTTGGTCCGTCAGCACAACACTGAAAAACTGTACTTGGCAGCATTGAGCAAAGCAGCCGCATCTGGACTCCAGCTCCCATCACTCTGGGCGAGCCTTGCAGGTGAGGCTGACCAGCCAAGGCCCACGAGAGTCCTGGAGCAGGGAGATGGGCGTGGGGAGGCTCCTGACCCCCCTTCCACGATACAGCACTGAAAAACAGAGCTTCCCCCCCCCCCCCAGATACGGGCAGGCTGAGAGGATCCTGGCCTCACAAAAGAAGCTCCCAGATACGGCAATTCATGAAAGAAGAAGCATGGCTAAACTTTAGAAAACCAACATTAAGGGGGAGCGTTCGTCCTTTGCAATCTTCTCCAAGCGGGCAGCATCGGCTTCCACACACACCCCCCCGGGAGGAAGTGAGGATGGAATGGTCGTTCTGGGGCTTGGAAAGAGGGGCCTCGTCTCTTCTGGACACCCCTCTCCTCGGAAGCCCCACCAGGCTGGGCCGCCCTGTCCTCTGCCCAGGCTGGAGGGGGCTGGACACCGAGCCCCCCCATCCCCCGTGCGCCCCGGAGCTGGGCGCTGTGGGCTTCCGTCTGCTCAGTTCAAAGGAGTTTGTGGTGCCAGCAGTTCCAAAAGGGGGCGGGGGGGCTGGTCCCCCCCTCCCTCCCCCTCCCCCGCAAAGAGACAGGCCATGCAGAGTGCGGAGAAGATCTTCTGCTAAGGTTCCCTCTGAAAAAAAAACAACTCCAGGGAACATTCACTGAAAAATCAGAAAAGAGGGAAGGAGGGTCAGGTGGGGGGAGGCTCCAAGCCCCAGGGGCTCGAGACGGGTGAGGGCAGGCTGGATTCAGGGGCCCCTGCGTCCCCTCCCTCCAAACGGTCACCCAAATGGGGGTGGGGGAAGGAGGGAGGGGCCGAGGAGGGAAAGAGACTCACACAATTGATTTCGCTTTCGGCCAAATCTCCAGGCTGCTGCATCGGCTCAGAAGGCTGCCCTGTGGCCGAAGGGCTGGGGGAAGCACTGGGGGGGGGAGGGAAAGCAGAGGATGAGCGGGGGGGGGGGAATGGCACCTCCACCAACCCCATCTCACTGGGCCAAAGTGGCCTTTCAGGGGCTTGTGGCTCCTGCACGTCCCCGGCACAGCCGTTCTCCTGAAGCCGATTTGGGGCAGAGGCGAGCATTTGGGACACTCCTTGGGGACAGGGGTGATCCAGGGGGAGGCACACACAAACACAGAGAAAGTTGTTCTTGCTCCTGGTCCACTGGACCCCTGCGCCATTGGGAGCCACAATCCGAGTTGCAGGGAGGGGCCTGGTGCCCTCCACGGCCACACAGCTTCTCCGGATCAGAGCAGCTCTCTCTGGCCGGAGGGGCAGGCAGGGCTGGCCCCCCCCAGGAGCGCTAAGCCCCTCCCCTGGCCCCAGGGGTTCGCTTGGCCCAGGGCCTGGCCTGCCTGGACTCTGCCTCACCTACTTGAAAGCATCCTGCACTATCTAGCTCCGAGGACCACTTGTCTGAACTGACCAACTCTCCGCTCTCTGACCTACGTGGAGATTGAGAGACAGACCCCCGGTCAACTGGAGGGGGGGGAGACGGCAGAAAAGAGGGTTTCCGCCACCCCCACTTTCCAGGGGTTTTCAGAGAACTACACTGTTCTTGCACAAAGTCCCCTTCGGTCATCACAGCCGCTCCTGCAGATCCAGAAAGGCGGACGAGATCACAGAGGCCTTTTGGGGGTCTCCAATCTCGCCCCCCCTCACCTTTCCAGAAGGAGCACCGCTGGGTCCTTGGGGGCGTCCGCTGGGAGCACTTCTGCCCCCACTGAGCTGAAGGGAGAAAGAGGGGAAGAGAGTGAGCTCCAGGCCCATCTGCAGAAAAACGAGGCGCCCAGCGAATCAGTTATCCGAAATCTCGCCGCAGGCTGGACGTGCCACTCCCCCTCCCCGGCCGTGCTGGTCAAGCAGCCTCCAGAGAACCCCCCCAGCCCCTGGGGAGCCCTGTTGGGGACAGCAACTGACCGGATGGCTGGCGAGCTGTGCCCGGGACTGCCCAGCGAAGAGGTGGATAAGGTAGTCGCTGCCGAGTCGCTGTTGGCCTCTTCAACGGGGGGCGTCTGGGGGAGCAGGTCGGGGCGCCCCAACAGGGAACCTGAGAAGGGGAGCAGGGGGGAAAGGCTGAGCAACCCTGGCTGCGCAGCACGGGGGGGCCTAGGGCAGGGCTGACCACCCAGTCAGGGATGGGAAGCGGGAGAGAGGGGGTGGGGCATCCAACCTTGGCCACTTTGAGACCTCTGGACTTCCAACTGTGCTGGCTGGGGGGGTTCTGGGAATTGAAGGCCACAGGTCTCAAAGTGGCCAAGGTCGGACACTCCTGCTTTAGAAGGGCTCCTGGCTGGGGGGGGGGGAAGGTGGAGGAGCTACCCCCCTGCCTGTCACAAGGCTGCCTCTTTGCTTCCCGCCCGGGCCAGGAGGGGGTTGACTTTGGGCCCTCTCCCCAATTTGGATGAGAAGAAGAGGGTTGCAGGCCAGGGGCGCCCACCTGGCTCCATCTCGGCCTCCATCGTGACCTGGACTCTCGTCTCGCTCAGGCCCTGGGCGGGGGTCCCGGTTTGGCCCGGCCGACGCGGAGGACCCATCCCGGAGCGGCTCTTTTTGGAAGGGGAGGATTTCACTTTGGGGAGAGAGAGACCAAACTCAGCTGGGAAGCCTCTCTAATGCTACAATGGGGGGGGGCGGCACAGGAAGGAGACATCCCCCTCCCCTTGCCAAATGGGGGGCCATGCCAGGGACTCACGAGGGATCTTCTTGAAGACCGCCTGGCACATGAACCGCTGGAATCGCTCGGCATAAAAGCTCGGCCGGTGAACGGAGACCGTGTCCTGCAGGGAAGCGGGCAAAAGAAATAAGTTGGGGGGGGGGCAGAGGATCTGTCTTCCCCTCCCCCCCAGCCCCCCTTTTCCCCCACTTGCTCTGCCCAAAGACAGGAGCGACCATTTCGGCCTCTTACCCCGTCGTGAACCAAGGCTTTCCAGGAGTGCTCCAGCTTCTTCATAAACCTGGAGAGATGGGGGGGGGGGGGAGGAAGAGCAGGTTATAAATTTAATTTTAAAATCGGCCCCCAATGCCCGGCTGGGCTCTCCTCCCGCTTGGAACTGCTGCCCCTCTGCCTCCCCTCCTTTCCTCACGGGCTCCTCTGCCCAGCCGGCTTGCAGCTTCCCACGGCTCCTGCCGCCCTTATTCACTTCCGGCCTGTTTCTGCCACCAGCCGCAGAGCCTCTGATGGGCAGGTCCAGCCGGGCAGGTCCACCTGGGCTGCTTCGTCAGCCTTAATTGCTTCTTGCCGGCTGGCAGAGGGAGGGAACCCTCCCCGGGGCCGACTTCCTCCATTAGGGATGCGCACAGCCAGGCTGGCATCCGGCAGGGGGAGACGGCCCGACTGCTTTACCTGTAGGACTGCAGCACGTCGATGATCCCCACGTAGAGGAGCAGTCTCTCCCCCCTGGCGTTTCGGGATGGGATCCCGCCCATCCTTCAGGAGAGAGGAGACAGAGGCATGGGTGGGTGGGTGGCTCAGGCTGGAAGAGGACCCTGACCAGGGACACCACGTCTCTCCTCCGAGCCCCGCAGCTCTGCTCGCCAACCGGCGCAGGGCCTTGTCCGAGTGGCCCCGTCTCTTTGCCGCTGCACTTACTGGTCGTCTGTTTCGATGGTGCCCCCCCGCCGGGCCTCTCCCTGGATGGCCTCCATGGCGGTGGAGTAGAGGGCCCTCTGGCCGGCCGGCCGCCTCGTGTCCGCCAGGGAAGCCCCGTCGGCTACTGCCCGTTCCCGCTGGGCCAGGTCCAGGTTGTGGATGGCCACCAGCAAGCTGTAATCCATGATCTTGAAACTCTGCAGGACCTGGGTGAGGGATTTTTTTGGGGGGGAGGGGGAGAACAGAGGAAAGGAAGCCCCCAAATTAAGCCAGGGTCCTGCTGGGCTGAGGCTGGGCTGCCTTCGCTCTCTTTCCCCACTCTCCTAAGCGGCGAGATCCCAGCCCAGGTGAGCTGAGGACGAAAGGCAGACTTTGGTCCAGGAAGCGATAAGAGGCCTTTGTGCAAACATCCCCCCCCCAAAGGCCCTCAGGCAGCCTCTTCCTCAAGGAGGCCCTGCCCCTCCCCCCAGCAGCTCCCTGCCTTTGAACCCGGCCCAGCCTGCCTGCCCGTCTCAAGGGCCCCTCGGTTCACCCCCTACTCATAAAGGTGGATTTGTTCGTTTCCGGTATTCCCTTCTCTCTGTTTTTCGGCAAGTGCTTTGATTGCTTTGGGAAGCCCCCAGCCTCCAAATAAAGAAGAAACTGACCTCTCCCCTGGGCAGAACAGGAGACCTACGGCCCCATCTCACCCACCCTGTCCTGCCACCCCGGGACTCCCAACCCGCCTGCCCCGCCTGCCTACCAGGCAGTCCCTCTGCAGGGTCTTGCACAAGGCGCTGTGCATGTCGGCGTCCAGGAAGAGCCCGTCGGGGACATCCTGCACGAAGTCCAGGTCCTTGTAGGTGGGGAAGACCTTCTCACGCTCCTTCTGCGACGCCCGGCGCTTGTAGGTGGAGCCCTTCAGGTCGTACTTCTGGTGCATCCGGACCGAGCGGGGCAGCAGGTTGTTCATCACCACGATGCGGATGTTCTTGCCTCCCGCCTGGACGCAGTACAGGCCGTAGAACTTGGGCAGCAGCGTCCGGGGGTTCTGGTTCAGGTTCTGGAGGGGCGGAGAAGAGGGGTGTCCTTAAGGCGAAGCCCCCCCCAAGGCGGCCCAAGGAGAACAGCGGCCACCACGAGGATGAGGAAGGGGCCAGGGGACGGTCAGGGGCCCCTTTTGGAGGGTACAGAGGGTCCCCCGTCTCCTGGGCTTGCCTCCCCACAGCCGCTCACCATGTAGTAGCCCGGCAGCAGCTTCTGCAGAAACTCAGCCTCCTTGTGCTGGACGGTCTTGATGATGAACTCGTCATCGCTGGAGACGTAGAAGATGGAGCCGCTGGCGCCGGAGTTGGAGAGCTCGATCAGCGGCTCGCTGCAGAGGGAGCACTGGGGGGGGGGCAGGGGGAGGAGATCAGCCCTGTGGACCTCTCCTGCCTCCCCCCAAAGGGGCCCCTGTCCGGCCCTTCCCAGGGCAGCTTCCAAGGGCCACCCCTGAAGCCCGCTCACCAAGTAGTCGTCGGGCCGGATGCCGAAAAGCTCCCGGAAGTAGCGGAAGGCCACAGGGGCGTAGGTCTTGAAGCGGAAGTCGTTGTAGTGGTGGGCCGGGGTCAGGTTGCTGCCTTCGCTGCAGGGAGGGAGGGAGGGGAGGTCAGCAGAGGAAGCAGCGGCCGCAGAGGCCGCCTGGCCTGGCTGTGGTTCACCTGGGCGGGCAGGTGGCACTCACCCGGGGAAGAAGATGCTCTCCACCACGTAGAAGTCCTGCATCAGGACGTCCCGCTCCGGCTTGGTGCTGAGGCTGCCCACCGTGTGGGTGATGCCCAGCTGGATGGCACCTGTGAGAGCCGAGGAAGTCGTCTGGAGGGGGGAGAAAAAGAGCCGGTCCTGATTTGCAGGTCCTTTCGCAAACGCCCCAAACGCGTCGTGGCTCGCTTTTGCCGAGTCAAGCCAATTGGAGGCCGTTCCTGCTGCCAAATCAGCATTTTAACGTGATTTCGAGTCGGTTATTCCTTTGAAAACCCTCTCGCAAAACCGTCGGATGAAGGAAATTCCTGACTGGTCCCACTGGGGGGGGGGGCAGGAGGCAGAAACTGCTCTGCCTAAGTGCCTGAAGTCTCTCCTGGAGAGCTGGCGGGGCTTCCCCTGCTCAAGCCTTCCGTAAACCACAGGGCTGCCTACGTCAAAGGCGGGGCGCCTCCTCGGCCCCAGTGCCTGGAAGTCCCCTGGCTGCCTTCGCTTCCTGCTTCCCCTGCCAGGGAACCCCAAACTGGCATCTCCCATTTGAGCTGGGGGGGGGGTGGCCAGCCCGCCTCCCGAGCCCTGAACTGTGGGACTGTCCGCTCGTCTCTCTGGGAAGATCAGACCAGAATCGCCAAGAGCTTCTTGCTCCGGGAAGGCTTGGGGGAAGGGGGGCCACCCCATCTGGCTTCTTCTCCCCCCCAAGGATGCCAGGCAGGCGCCCTTCCCAGAGAGGCGAGGGGGAGGCCCCAGTTCAGTGGCACGCGTGGGGACTTGTGCCAAGCTACAGGCGCTGGGGGCCAAAACGCGCCGCAGAGCCCTTCCTGGCCCGGGAGACAGCTGAGCTGTGGGGAGCTTGAGCTGGGCTCCCTCCCCATCCACACTGCCCTGATCTCGGGGACCGGCTCCGGAGACCCCCTCAAACAGCCTCCCACCGAAGAAATGCGGAACCCCATTGGAAAGAGGGCTGTCCCCCCATGTGAGGGAGATGCTTCAGGAGTGGGGGCAAAAACGATGCGCAACACACCACTGGAGGCAGAGCAGCTGCCACAACAGGCCAAGCACACACTCCAGGCAAGGGAGGAGCCCACAAAAGGCTGAAAACACAACAGAAGGAAGGAAGGAAGGAAGGAAGGAAGGAAGGAAGGAAGGAAGGAAGGAAGGAAGGAAGGAAGGAAGGAAGGAAGGATATTCCTGTCAAGGATCAATTCTGCCAACTGTTTCTTGGTTCTACTGACCACAGAAACAACCGGGGAGGACTATTCCAAACTCCCCTGGGCATTCCCCCCCCCACAATCTTTGGGGTCCCCAAGCACCCCCCACCTCCACAGTCCCAGGCCTATCTCTGGGCCCAGCAAGGGGGCCACTTACGGAAAGAGGCGGCTTCCGAAAGGACCCATCCCGGCTAACCTCCATTTCAGAGCCAGCTGGAGCATCCCGGCCCGGATCCGAGTCCCCTGGGACCCGGGGAGCGTCAGAGCATCTCCCGCACGGAGGGTAGGAGGAGGAGGAGGAAGCTACGTCTGCTCCGGAGAGCAGGCCCACATTTTGGGTGGGGGGAGAGAAATCCTTCGAGGGAATCCCGGAGGGCCCAGCGGCCACCGTCCTGGAGAGTCCAAAGCACCCCAAGGAAAAGTCTCCAGAGGATGAAGGGAACCTTCCTCCCTCTGGCCCACAAGCGAGCGAGATCTGCTCTGCCTGGATCTGCCAGTAGAAACCTGCCTCTGAAACCGCCGTGCACCTGGGCCTTTTATGCCGAGCTGGTGACTCAGAGCCTGGAGAATGCAAGGGGGAGGAGGCCGCCGGGGGAGGGAGGGGAGAGGCACGCAGCAGCAGCAGCAGCCCAGCCCCAGCGCCCGCCTGCCTACCTTCTTGTAGGTGGTCTCTCCGCTGGAATCCACGCCCCGGTGGCCCTTCTTGATTGTCTGTGAGGACCCGTGCCCAGAGGAGCCTGGCACCTGAGAGCAGGAGAGGAGAGAGGGCTGTTTCCAATCCTCCCGCGGGCAGGGCGGAGCGGGTGCCCCCAAAACAGAGGGGGGTGGGGGCAGCCCCTGCCCGTCAGGGAGGGAAAAGAGGGTGTGCAGCTTGGGGGTGTCTGGGACAGGAGCACCCCAGGCCTGGAAGTCTCCAGGGCCAGTCCCTTACTTTGCAAGCTTCTCCCTGCGCACGGGGATGTTTTCCTCCACGTTTACAACGCGGGGCAAAGTCAGAAGGTGGTGTTTTGTGCTGTGCAATTGTCGCCTTGCGATCCCAGGCTGCTCCCTTCAGCTTTCCCAAGGCCACGAAATCCCCCACCCCAGGCTCCTGAAGGGCACCGACTGCTCTCCACCGCTTTGTCAGCATTTTCAGCACCTGTTTTGTTTTTGTTTTTTAATTTAATGCAAACTCACCTCCAAGGACTTTTTGAAGGTCGTTGCTCCGGGCGCCCCTGGAAGGAAAAGGGGGAGGGGGTAAGACCTCTGGCAGGTAACCAGTGCAGAGATTCAGCTGAGCCCGGTCAAGGTCCTCCCGGGGGTGGCTGGCTGGAGGTGGGCGGGAGGCAGGGAAAGCGACCGCCCTCCTGCCCCCCCTTCTAGAGCGGAATCACCATGAACCAAGCCCAGGGGGTCCTCTGTTCACATGGGTGCCTGCTCTTGCTTTCTCCTGCCGGTCCAGAGAGGGCTTCTCCAAGCCCACAGGTTTTCTGCCAAGGGAGCCCCACGTGTCACTCGGGGCTGAGTCACGCAGATGCCGAAGGCTTAGCACCTCGGGCCAAGGTGTGGACCCAGCCGCGGGAAACTCCTGTGGTCTGTAACCAACACGAAGCCCTCTGGGATCTGCAGGAAGGCCTGCCAGCAGAGGAGAGCCATCTGGGGCTCTTTGGGCAAGGTGGACAAAGGCCAGCCCCAGGATCTGCCCCTCTGCTCTGGGTCTGGGAACACAGCCCGTCTGGGTGGGCCTGGGCACTCAGTTCCTTCCCAGAGGGCAGCCCAAGCTAGAGCAGGGGGTCTCCAACCCGGGCCACTTGAAGACTTGTGGACTTCAACTCCCAGAATCCCACAGCCGGCAGGGGAGTTGAAGTCCAGACATCCTAACGTGGCCCAGGTGGAGACCCCCTGCTCTAGCTTGGGCTGCCCTCCGGCAGAGGGGCCAGGGGAAACAGCGCCCTCTGGTGGGCCAGGACTGCAGCCGCAGCAGCTCTGTGAGCCCAGCGGACCCTGACAATGAAGAAAGGTAAAGGTGTCATCAGACCGAGCTGAGGTTGCAGGCAAAATCTTGGCTCAAGGAGGGGATCCTGACTGGCCCTTTGCAGGGGCTGGGTGGGGGGCGTTGGTGAGGAGCCAGCTTCATTTTCCAGCCTTCGCTAGGCTGATTGATGAAGGTCTGTCAGAATTGGCAGCAATAACAGTTTGGATAAATGATGATAACTTGGTTTGCAATTCTTCTGTGTTGCTCTCTGCTTTGGGAAAGCTGCAAAAGCCACTGACAAACGCCTGCAAGGCAGGGAGTGCAGGAGACTGGGCTCCTGCCATGAGCAGATGGGCTTGATGACCTCAAGAGCCCCTTGGCTGAGAATCCCAGATTCTGACGGTCGGGGTTCCACGGAGCTGAGAGACATCTTCACGCGATGTGGCTTTGCACTGGTTCTCTTCCTTCGGGTCGGGAATTCGGTCCACAACCAGACGCCATCCGGCCACTTGTGGGGAGGGAGGGAGGCTGGGGGGGGGCATTCTCCAGGCCTCGGGGGGGGGAGGAGTGTGCTTCACCCTTCGTGCTACAGCATGTGGGGGAAATATTTAGCAGAGGGACACCCCTTTCTCCCCATTTTCTCCCAGGTATTCCTATCTGATGCCTCCCCTATCAAAACGCTCCGGAGGGAGGGACGTTATTCTCTGCCACTTCCAGCTGGGCTGGGAGAAGAACCAGGAGAAGCCCTGGCCAGACCAAGCGCCACGGCTCCGGCCTCCAAGCAGGAAGACAACGTGCTGCAAAAGCAGGCGAAGCTTGGCCAAACCATGCGCTGAACTTGCAAAAGCTCAAAATGAGAAGATGGCGGCGTTGCCAGCACCACGTCTGTGGCGAGAAGCGGCTGAACCGCCACTGGATTAGCCAAGTTTGACTCGGGGGGGGGGAGAAACTGGATTAGTTGCACATTTTCCTATCCTGGTTGATTCCACAGCTCTAGCAAGCTTGCATCGAGAAGGGCTAGCAAGGCTAAATCCTGGGGGGAAAGTACATTGTCTCAATGCTCCAAAGACGACTTGGGACTCTTTGAAGCCTCCAGATTTCCATCTCTAAAATGGGGAGACGTATCCCCAGGGCGGGGTCTGCCAAACGTTTGAGACCAGCCGTGGAGTTGACCCAGAAGGGGCCTGAGTGCTGGGAGGGAGCGAGGAAGCGAGCGAAGCAGCTGCTTCATGTCCATGGAAAAGCCAGTGCATCCCCGGTCACTTCCACACCACCACCGCAGGCAATGAGGGGCCAGGCGGATTAGCAGAGGAGGAGGGAGGTCATGCCAGGCCTCGCTTTTACCCATACATCTGCGTCTTCGAGAGGGCATCACGGAGCAGCAGAGGAAGCTAAAGGCTGGCAGAGAGGAGAAAGAGAGACAAAAGGGGAAGCCACAGAATTTTTCAGGAAGGAAAGAGAGTTTGCTCAGCAGAGAGTCGGGATCACAAAGGCTCGAAGTTCAGTTAGAGAGGAAGGGAAGGCAGCTGTCGATGAAAACCACCGCAAAGGGCGAGGGTCACTGTGGGTTCACCTACAAGTAGGAGCACCAGCCCCTCCCACACATCTCTGCCCCCCCCCCAGCTTCCTTCTGCATCTCCCCAGAAGCAAAATATCCCAAGAGGCCAGGAAGTCCTTGGTGCTCACTGAGCTGGGTTGTTTTCTTGCAGACGTTTCACAACCCAGCTAGAAGGAGCATTTGCAACAAACCCCACTGCTACTGATGTTGTTACCTAATTTGGGTCATACGACGTCTGCAAGAACGAAGCTCGGAGAGCACCGGGGACCCCACCGTCATCTTGTCCTCCTCCTCTCCACAAACCCCCTTCCCTTCTAGCACTGATGCCATTAGCTAGTTGGGTCATGAAAGGGCTGCAAGAGCCCAATCAAACTCAGAGAGCATCAAGGACCCTGAGCTACAAATATCCTCCTTCATGGAGCCCAGGAAGCTCAACAGCAGAGACTTACTTTCTGTCACCTTCCCATCTAATTATCCCCACCTCCGCTGTGCCTGCAACGCCCTTTGAACAACTCTTGTGATGAAAACCTGGCAACTCCGGTTCTCACAGCGCCGGGCTCTCCTGCCGACACTCCCTTCCCAAGAGAACCAGCTTCTCCGCTCGGTGAAAGGGCTGCCAAGTCCAATTTTTATTATGTTTTCCACCCTTTGGAAAGACACCTTTTAACCGCTGCTCCTAACGAAACACGTCTCCGGGGCTGAGCATCCTGGAAACAGCTGCTTGGATTTCCAGAAAAGGAAACCCCCCTCCCCCCCCCCAGAACGGCCTCCTCCCATGTTGACAGCACAGATTTAGAGCCGCTTCCCCTGAAGTCAGAAAGGGAAGCCAGAATACATCTGAAGAACACGCAGGCAGAGAAGCCGGCTGACGGAGGCAGCTTTCGGGCGCTGGGAGAAAATTTGTGCAAAGTCAGCTCTGCCGCTTTTGACCTCTGCTTGCTCGGCTTCCCTGTTCCAGTTTGAACACGGCTCAGAAAAGCAGGACAAGCAGGGCACTCTCCATAGGACAACACCTCTCTCTGTGAAAAGCCAACATCTTCCCCCTGTACGAAGCCCTGGAAAGGAACATGGGTCCTGCTTCAGACAGACTAGATCAGCGGTTCTCAACCTGTGGGTCGGGACCCCATTTGAGGTCGAACGACCATTTCATGGGGGTCATCAAACAATGCAGTCCGCCATTTTCCCCCCTTTTCTTAGCTGTGCTACTCCCTTTTATTCTATTGGCTTTTGAAAGCCAATAGAACAGACTCTCTTGAATAGAGTCTAATTCTATTGGCTTTACAAAGCCAATAGGAATTGTCCAGGCTGTCTCTGCCCTGCTGAGCCCGCCAAAAGTCCCATTCTGCAAACGGTGCTGCACCAGTTGAGTAGTCCTCAACTTACGACCGGTTGAGTAGTCCTTGACTTACGACTGGTCGGGGGGTCGTGGCATTAAAAAGGTTGAGAACCACTGGACTAGAACCTTGGGCCCAAGAATGAGGGGAAAAAATTGGGGGAAAAAAGGGAAAATTGCTGCCCTCAAATAAGCCCCTTTTTTTGGCCAAATCTCCCTCGGATGAGAAACAGCCTCTCAAAGGCACCCCTCTCTCCTTCCCTAAACCGAGGCTGAATTTCCCCACTGCTTGAAGAACAACTGAGATTGTACAGGAATATTAGGAGACATCAGCTCCACGATGCGGGAGCTACAGCCAAGCCACTTGAGACTCAAAAGAGAAAGTAAATGTGTCTTGTTTGGAGGGGAAAAAGGGCCAGATTCAGAGCCAAGCTTCAGTTCCAAAGACCAGCAGAAAGAACCAAGGCCTATTTTTAAAAGGCAATGCCTAAAATAGCTTATTTCCCCACGGAAGATTTTGGCTGCCCTCAGGGGTGGTTAAGGGAGGAGGCTGAATAAGCAGGATTTCTGCTGAAAAAGAAAGGGGGTCCTTTGGGGCGGACGCCCTAATCTTCAGAAGCTACCCCAATCGCTCTTCTAACAGGTTCAAATATCATGGAAGCCGGAGTCCCTCAGAAAGGAAACCACCCGGTGTTAGAGGCAACAGTAGAAAATAACAAAGCCTATACCCACAATACAGAAAAGTCTGTGAAAGAAATCTGAAACAGATTTTTGCCTGGCAAAGGCATCATAGCTTTTCCAATTTTTCACGGCATGGTTAGGATTTTATTGTTTGACACAACTGTGAGACACATAAAAATCAAAGTACCAGTTTCACCAGCAAAATGCCTTTCCAGTTAATGCATTACTCTTTTTTAAAAAAGAAAAAAAAAAGAAAAGGCTTGCTTCTAGTTTGGTTGCTGAGTCAGGAAACCCCATCTGCTTTCTTATCAGGTCTCCAGCTGGGGATGAAGTGGGGGGGAAGCAGAACTGTACAATTCATGACTTTTAAGTAACAATTGGCTTTATTTCAGCTCAGAGCCCCAAATTAGCGGGAAAAGAGATCAGCTTGAACAAATGACCGGTATGGATCAAGAGGATGCCTGGCAACCGTGGGGCCAACTTTTCATGCTCAAAATGAGCCAGTAAATATTTGCCAGAAAACAGAGATGCGGTTTCCATCCTCAGCCAGGGAGACCCTGGGGAGCCAATTGGGGAGGGGGCTGAAGAAGGGCTGGGGGTTGCCAGCTGTTCTAGCCCCCCCAAAGCTTTCCCCCAACACACCTGGGGACTCAGGAAAAGCTCCTGGGGGCGTTTCGGCTCCCTCCCCGTGGGGGCTCCTGGGTGGGGAGTCAATGGGATCCTGCCAGCCCACCTGGGAAGGGGAAGACGGCAGAGAGAGGCAGGAGGGTCCCCCCAAGGCCCCAGAGAGCCCCCCAGGAGCCGCCCACATCACCATGGCAACAGCTGCCCTTCAGAAAGAGGATCCACCCCCCCTCCAATTGGCACCCTGGGGAAGAAGCCCCCTCCCCTAAAGGAGCCTGCGCCTCTCTCCTCCGGGGAGGGGCAGACCCCCTCCCCACCCCTCGGCCCCATTGGGCTCCCTCTCGCAGGGAGGGCTCTGCTTCCCTGCCCCCCTCCAGGAGGCCAGCGCCCCCAAGGAGGAGGAGGAGGGTCCCCCTCTAGAGGCTCCCGAGCCCCCCCGGGCCACGTCGGCCTCTGCCCCCTCCCACATTCCCCCCTTCGCCCCCTCCCCGCCCCAGCGCTGCCCCTCGCCCTGCCCGGACCCCAGACTCAATGGGGATGTCCTCGACCCCCCATTTCAGGAGCGGGCGGCCAATGCGAGGGACGGGAAGGCCCCTCCGTCCCCCGGGGTCACCTCCTGCCCCACCCACGGGGACCCTTACCCGTGGCGGCTCCGCTACTGCTGCTGCTGCTTCCCCCGGATTCGGGCCCAGCCGACGCCATCTTAGCGCTTCTCCCGCCGCCTCGCCCGCTTGTCCTCTTGCCTCCCCCCGCGGCGCCCCGTTGGTCTCGCCCGCCTCGCTCCGGCCGCCGCTGTGGGCCGTGCCACGCTCGCCTCCGGAGGGATGGCCACGCCTCCTCCCGGTCGCCCCCTGCAAGGCTTCCTCCCTCCCCCGGCTTCACGGAATGGGCCCGCCCGGCAGGCGTCGGGAGAAACCACTTTGCGCCGGCGGGGGCGGCAGAAAAAGAGGCAGTACCGCCTTGTTTATTTTAACGGAAAGCGGACCGTCAGGAAAGGGGCGGGGAAATCGGTACCGCGCAGGCGTAGAAAGCAGAAGGTCGCGGGTGGCCGCATCAACGTTGCAGTGGGCGCGGCCTCCCCCGCATCACAGAGCGTGCTCCTTCCGACCGGGAGGGGGAGTTCTGCGTGGCCCTGACGTCACGGGCACGACCGTCGCTCTAGCAACGCCGCCAATGTTCTGTACTCGCCTCTATAACGCCACGAGCCAGGCCGGAGTGACGTCAGATCTCAGAATGATTTATTTGCAGATCCTACAATAAATTCGTTTTATTCCATCTTTGGGGAAACGGGCCGAAAGCAGCCCACAAAACCCCCCGGAGAAATCCAACCACGCCCAAAACAAGAGTGCAGGATTTGATGATGATGATTTGCTTTTAATCCTTGCAAATCGAGCAGGGGGTTGGACTGGAGGACCTCCAAAGTCCCTTCCAGCTCTATTCTGATTGATGGGTTGAAATCTCGAGCAGCGCCTGCAACGCCCCCGCCGCGCCAAAAGGGGGAGGCGCAGCCCCGGCCGTGGGCGAATAAAGCCGCCCAGGAGGCAAATGGAGCCTCCACGGCCGGCAGCAGTCTACCTCGCAAAGCCCTCCCCTCTTTCCCGGGGGGCCAATCCGGGGAGCCCCCGCGCCCCCGTTAAAAGAAGGCCGGGCGCGGCCAGGGCGCCCCCGCCTCCATGGGCGCTCGCCTGGCTCCATCCCCGGTCGCCGCATCGGCGCTCGACTTATCGCGCCTGGCCGCCCGGCTCGGCGCGGCCTTCCCCGCAGGCGCCGCAGTGGCGAGCCGAGCGCATCGATCCGGAGGCGCGATGGCGGCGATGGCGGGAGCGGCAGGCTCGTCGGCCTCCGCTTCTGCGTCGGGCCTGGCCGGCGGGCGGGCGCCGCGGCGGACGGCGGGGAACCGGCTCTCGGGGCTCCTGGTGGCGGAGGAGGAGGACGAGTTCTACCAGATCACCTACGGCGGCTTCACGGAGGTCGGCGGCGGAGCGCGGGGAGGGGGCGTGGCCAGGGCGGACGCGGGCGGGGATTGGCTGGGAGAAGAGCGGGGGCGGGGCTACGAATCCTTCCAGGGCCCGCTTCCCCAACAGGTCGCCCCCGGGCTGGACTGGATTCCCGGACCATCCTCCCCTGCCCAGTTACTTTCAGCCGTCTGCAGCCTTTCCCCTCTCGCTGCATGAGAGGTGCAGCACCCCCACACCCATCCCTGATAGATGGGTGGCGAGCGAATGGGCCTTGTAGTCCCGAGGTGTCTTGCCCAGAAGGATGGGACTTGGGAGACTGAACTCCTTTGGCAGGAATCGGGCGACGATGAGTACAAGGGGGACCAGTCGGACAGCGAGGACGAGGTGGACTCGGACTTCGACATCGACGAAGGGGACGAGCCCAGCAGCGACCAGGACGACTCGGTGCCCAAGCGGAAGCGGAGGGTAGTCACCAAGGCCTACAAGGTGAGACCCTCCCGGGCAACGCCAGCCCCAGAGCGGCTCGCCTTCAGTCGGGATAGAGCTGGATGGGGCCTTGGAGGTCATCTAGTCCAACTCCCCTGCTCAAGCAGGAGACCCTGACCTAGAGCAGGGGGTCTTCAAACTTGGCCCTTTTAGGACTTGTGGACTTCAACTCCCAGAATTCCTCAGCCAGGCACGTGTTCCTCCAGGCCCCTAACGGGTTTTCACCCACTTAGTGACATGCCACTGAGTGAGTCTGAACCCTTTGTAGGAACCCATCAAAAGCCTGAGGCTGAAGAAGCCTGAGGCCCCGGCCAGCAGCTCGCAGAAGACCAGAGAGGAACGATCGGCCCCCGCAGAACTGGAAGACACGGTGGACAGTGAGTGTCCTGGGGGGGGGCAGGTGGATGGGGGGAGGGTCAGTCGCTTCCTTCTCTCCCAAGCCTGGCCTGAAGCCCCCTTGCTCAGCCTCCCATCTCCTCCTCCCTTCCCGCGACAGGCCGGAAATACATGCGCCAGTCCACCACCGAGCACACTCGCCAGACGTTTCTGCGCCTCCAGGAGCGCCAGGTGCAGTCCAGGCGCAAGAAGGGGGCCGGCCCCAGCTACGACAGACCCCTGACCCAGGAAGAGCTCCTGAGAGAGGCCAAGATCACCGAGGAGCTCAACTTGCGCTCTCTGGAGACTTATGAACGCCTGGAGGCAGATAAGAAGAGGCAGGTGCAGAAGAAGCGGAAGTGCCCAGGCCCCACCATACGCTACTACTCGGGGACGATGCCCCTCATTTCCGAGCTGGGGTACAAGGAGGAGAATGTGGACGTGGAGGGGTAAGCGCCCCCTTCCCCTTGCACCCAGCCGGCAGCTGCTTTGCCCAGGACCTAAATATGGCTGTCTCACTTAGCCACAGAAGTGGGTCATGAATCAAGGGCTACCTACACCAGGGTGGCATTTAGGGCCCCTGGCTGCAGTTGTGGGTCCTGCCCCAAAGGCCATTTCACCACACACACACACACACGCACACACAACTTCCGAGACACCAGCCGGGCTGGGGCCTGAGACCTGACCTCTGCTTCTTTTTCCGGCTTTTAGGTTAGAGCAGGAGGGTCTTCTGGAGCCCCCCTCAGCTGCTGCGCCCGCTGCAAGATGCTCCCGCACCTTTGTCACCTTCAGCGACGACAACACCTTTGAGCGCTTCTTCCCCAGAGTCCCGCCCCCCAGGCTGCCCGTCAAGGAGATCTGCCCCGTCACCCACAAGACCGCCATCTACCGGGACCCCGTCACTGACATCCCCTACTCCAACCTCCGCTCCTTCAAGATCATCCGCGAGGCTTACAAGAAGTACATCACTGCTCACGGGCTGCCCAGCGCGGGCGCCTCCGCTGCCCTGGCGGCCGGCTCCCCCATGCCCGAGCCCGGCCTCCGGCCCACCCGGCAGAAGATCATCATCAAGCAGAGCGTGCCGGCCACCTGAGCTCCCAACGGCCCCTCCGTTTCTGCCAAAGGGCCTCCTTGTCGTCCCTTGCGGGCGTCAACAGCTCCTTTGGCACTCTCAAGAGCCACATCCAGAAGTTTCCAGACTTGTTTTTTTTTTGGGGGGGGGGCTTAGGCAGTTTCCAAAAGGTTTAAGGGGAGGGGCACGGCTGAACCTGCCACCCACCCCGGCTGCAGCCTCACAGCCGTTCTTCAGTGAAAGCAAGAGCCAAAAGATTTCCAGTTGGCCGTCCTAAAGGGAAAACAGGGCCCAAAGGATTTTGTTTTATTTCTGGTTTATTCCTTTCCAATTTGCTGCATATCCAGATGGTGGAACTGCTCCTGACCAGAGGCAGAAGTCCGATGGTATCATTAACAAATCGGACACGTACCATGCTTCTGCCAGCTCGTTCACCATTCTCCAACAGTGTACTGATTCTTTCCTAAAAGACCCCTTTATATATGTATATTTCCCCTCTTTACTGTGACTCTTATTATTTATTTTCTGTGCTTTTGTGCCTCTTCTGGGTCTGTTGTAGAGAGCGGCCCTGTCACTCTTCCAGCTGCACTGAAAAGGGATTGCCTTTTGGAGGGAGGCTGGATAGAGCAGGGAAAGCTATAATCCCAACAATGCCTTCATTCTCAGTTGCTAGTATCTTCTTTTAAAAAATAAAATAAAATGATAAATACATAGCTGCATAGGAAGTCCTTATTCTTAATCGAACTGAAACTGTTAAAGCTCGAACAGATCTCTCGGCCAGCGTTCCTGGACCGCTTCGCTTTTAGGAATAATTTCCTGAGGATCAGACTGAGAGGGTTCACGCTTACTGGCAAGCGCAGAGATTTTGGGTGTGAGAAAGATCCCGAGCGGGCAAGGACTGGCAAAATGCAAACTCTGATTTCCTCATTTGCTGGTCAAACCAGGTCACTGGAGGTTGATCTCCCAATAACCCCATTGGCGAACGAAAGAACGTAATGTTTTATCAGAAATATTTATGTGAGAACTCGATTAGCTGGATCGACAGCCTTACTCCTGCTATTTCAATACTTCCTCGCTCACACGCCTGTGGGAAACAGCCTGGTCAAAAAGCTTAGCTCCGTGCACGGCTGCAGGATGCCACGCAGAACCTCCAAGGTCAGGGGCACCGTATCTGTGAAAACTAAATGCAGACAGCGAGCAAGGGCTGTGGTGTCCCAGTCCTGCCTGCAGTTTTCCTGGAGGCCTCTCTTGGCCGATGGAGAAAGAGAGGTACTGATTTAGACAGGCCGGGGGTCGTTTTGATCCCGGGGGGGGGTGGGGCTCTTCTGCTCTGAGCAAAACCAGGGAGGCTTGCCGATCAGTGGAGACTCCAAGTTCAGGGGCAGTTTGCCCCTATAGATCACTTCGGGATGATGATTGCTCAGATTTTCAGAGTGTCTATGGGAACGCGGGTGGGAATTAAAGCACGCATAGGTTTTTTTAAACCACTTTACAACGATGGGTGGATGGATGGAGAAAGGGAAAGAAGAGAGGAAGGGAAGGAGAAAGGAAAAAGGGAAGGAAGGGAAAAGGGAGGGAGGAAGGAGAAAGGGAAAGAAAGAAAAAGGGCGAGAAGGGAGGAAGGAGAAAGGGAAAGAAGGGAGGAAGGGAAGGAGAAAGGGAAAGAAGGAAAAAGGGCGAGAAGGGAGGAAGGAGAAAGAGGGAAAAGGAAAAAGGGCGAGAAGGGAGGAAGGAGAAAGAGGGAAGGGAGGCAGCCTCTCCCTCCTGGGCCGGCCGTTCCCACCGCGGCCGCTGGGGGAGGCGGGGGGGGGCGCGGGCGGGGCGGCTGCGGCGTGATTGATAAGCGAGTCTGCAGGGCGATCCCGGCTCCGGCTCCCCCCCCGCCCTTCTGCCAGGCTAAAATAAAAAAAAGGCGCCGGGCTCCCCCTCCCCTCGCCTCGCCTGCCTCGCCATTGGCCGCCCGGCTGGGTGCACACCGGCGGGGGGGCGGCGGGGGGGCCAGGCAGAGGCTGCCGCCGAGCAAGGTAGGCATCCGGAGCCCTCCCGCCGCTTCTCGCCCCTCGCCGCCGCTTCGACTCACCTGGCTTCGGGCAGGCTCGGTCCCGCGGAGGGGTGGGGGGGTCCACCTCCCTGCCCGGCGAGGGTCAGGCCGAGACGGGGAGATCCGGAGCGCCACCCGCTCGCCGAGGCTGCTCCGGGTGCGGATCCGGCGCCGAGGCTCCCTTGCCAGTCGGGAATGAGGGAAGTAAACAAGCTTCCTTGGATCTGGGCTTGGCGTTGCGGCTACCTGGCCACACCCGTGATGAAGGGCGGCGGGGGGGGGGCTACTCCAGGACAGGAGGGTCCTCTGGGGGCAAAGATTTGGGAAAGGTGGGGGGAGAATGGCTCCCGGGACTGTGTGAATTTGGCTTTTATCTGCATTAGCCTCCGAGAGAAGAATTCGGCGGTCCAGAGGGGGTTTATTGGGGGATGAGACCTGGGGTGGGGGAGAAGGCAGAACAGGGGTCTGCAAAGAGATCTGCTTTTGGGAGCAAGAGTGCCTCTGAGCTTAGAGTTGCTTTCGGCTCCAGAACAAGGTGGCTTTCCTGCTCAAAAGAAGCCATCTCCCCCCATCACCACAAGAAAGGCGTCTTTGTCTTGAGAATCAGCTAAAAGCATCGGAAGATGTCGATAGGATGAATTTTCCCTAAAAATGCTCAGCCATAAAAAAAAAAAAAAAAACATCCTCCTTCCTCCAGATTTGGTCTTCCAAAATCTGTGAAATGGCCAGCATCCCTCATACTGGACAAATGCAGGGTTTCTTCCCCCAAGAGATGGATGGGCTGTGTGTGTGTGTGTGCGCGTGCGTTTGTGTGCAAATTATTTTTGGCAACTTTCTCCCAAAGTTGTAGATAGAGCAAAGCAGAAACCACAGACAGGAAGCTTAAGCGAAAGGGATCCCTGTTGGTGATCTCTTCCCCCCCCCCCCTCTTGCTAGAGAAAAATGGGATGAGTCCCACCACACCGGCTAGGTCACCAGCGGCCAAGGCAGAAGTTCAACCCTCCGGCTCAAATTTCTACCTGCTGGCCACCACGAAATGTGAAGAAAAGGGAGGAGGGGAAGGCCTGAACTGGACATCTGCTAAACTCATTTCTCCAGTGGCAAAGCCGCTCTTTTAGTTGAGAGTTGGGTGGGTTTTTTTCCTGCTAGCATTTTCCCAAACGTTGCGTAGGCTTTGCTACTTGGGATCAACTGAATATTGATCCCTTAATGGCGACAGACTGACCAGCAAACCAGCCGACACAGGATGAAGTGGTTTGTGACCTCACAACTCGGGAGAGGGAGTTGGAAAAGAGTTGCAGGTGCCTAAAAAGGTGGGGAGGGGCAGTCCAGTTGAGGCTCCTCCCCTCTGGTCAGCGGCCACCTCAGATCTGACTACAGCACCTGGGAAAAACGGTGACAGCGGAGACGTTCTTCTCATAGCGTAGATTTCCATGTGCAGGGTGTTTGGGCTATAATCACTGCCCACCGTGCATTTCTCAAGACATAAAAGGAGGCCCTGGGGGGAACTGGATCCCCAGCCGTAAAGCGGGTGGCAGCAGAGTCAGCTGGCCCCATTGCTCAGTCAACACCCTTCTCCTTCCTCCACGCCATCGGCAGCTGGCCAGCCCAAAAGGCCAAGATCGTTTCCAGCCAGCTCAGCGGCTGAGAAAACTCTGGAGGCTGCTAAGTGCTTCTTCGCCTTCATTCCTTGGCCCAGATCCTTGAAACAAGCGGGGACTCTGCAAAGGACGGCATAAAAAGGCCCTGGTGCCAGGTTCATCCAGCCATTCCCCAGTTTCTAGGAAGCACTTGTGATTAGGATGACAGAGCATTCCGACAATCATGAGGCAGGGAGTTCCGCTGATCCATCCACTAATAGTGCCCCCTGTTGCTCCGTAAGCAAGTTTGCAGCCAGTTCTTTGGGCTTCCTGTAAACTGTAGCTCTTCCCGGGCCTGGCTGGTTTTTTCTCACAGGGGAGACCCTCCGCCATCGGCCTCTTGGCCACGCTCGCCATGACGACTTCCTACCGACAAGAGCTGGAGAAATACCGAGATATCGATGAAGACCAGCTGCTCAAGGAACTCTCCCCAGAGGAGCTGGATCAGCTGGACCTGGAGCTGCAGGAAATGGATCCAGAAGTGAGATCAGGGGTGGGGGAGGAGGACCCTCGGAAGCTCTGGATCCCGTTCTAAATCTCCCGAAATCAGAGGATTAGAGGCGGAGCCTCTTCCGTTGTGAGAGCGGGAAGCGGGCATTTAAATAGCAAAATTGTGCCGTCTTCAGGTTTTGGGGAGAGCAATAAAGTTGTGACTTATCTAGTTGTAACTGGTAAGATGGGTGACCAATTTTATAAATAAAATAAAATAAAAGCGTTCATTCATTCCACACATTTTTAGGGCTGCCCAGCTCACAGCCAGCTTGACAGATTAACAATCCCTAACATAAAACCCATCACTCTGCCCCCCTCCAGCTGATCCTGCCCCCCCTTTTAAACGTTGGGTCCTGTTTAGACTCCTGTGCCAAGGCCCACTGGTGTGACCCCCCCCCGAAAACCCCAGTGGGGTTTTCACCAGGCTGTCACCGTCCCTGCACCCCAATTTCTGCTCTGCTTCCTAGAACATGATGCTCCCAGCTGGGCTCCGGCAACGGGACCAGACGAAGAAAGACCCCACGGGGCCCCTAGATCGTGATGCCCTGATGCAGCACCTGGAGAAGCAGGCGATGGAGGTGAAGGAGAGGGAAGACCTGGTGCCCTTCACGGGGGAGAAGAAAGGTAAGGGCAGGGCTGCCCACCTGGGCTCCACTGTCCATGCCGGCAGCGCTCAGAGGAAGTCTGGGGTCCCTCCTTCCCTCCCCGGGGGGTTTCAGGCCCCAGACGGAGAGGGGGAGAGCCGCCAGAGCAGAGAAACCAAAGGGGAAATGTTAATGCATCCGCTTTGCCATCCATGCCTCTATTCTGTCTGGAGTCCATCCCTTGGACTCAAACTAAGATTTCCCTGAAAATCCCCCCTATTCTTTTCAGGGGGGGGGGACTTTCCTGGATTCCTTGTTTACCAATAACAGAGAATATTTGTAGCTAAAGGTTGAAATGAGGGGTCGTTGGTGGTCCTTGAGCTTGGTTGTTTTCTTGGAGACGTTTCATGACCCAGCTAGGTAACATCATCAGCGCTTCTGAGGTTGGCTGCAAATGCTTCTTCTAGCACTGATGATGTTTCCTAGTTGGGTCATGAAACGTCTGCAAGAAAACAACCAAGCTCAGAGACCACCAACGACCCCTCATTCATTGTTTGAAAAGAAAATTAGTTCCCTACCAAATCAGAGCCCGTTGCAACCTTTCTCATCCCATTCCCTTGATGCAAGTCACTGAAATATTAAATATTTTTCTTTCCTGCTCTTGGGAGCTCAGGAAGGACTTTTGTTTCAAGCTGATCGGACGGGATCCGTGCTGGTGTCCCCGCATTTAAGCCAAAGGCACCTCTTCTTCCTTCCATAACGGAATCGTCCAACATCTGACTACTATTAATAAATCTGGAACTTCCTCTCTGTGTCCAAATTACCGGCATGAATGAAGGCCGTTTCAGGGACATTAGAGAGGGAGCGATTCCAGACAGGAGGACAGCGGATTGTCAACGAATCGCTGGGAATCCCTGCAATGTTAATGTTCAATAGAGGGGGGAAATGAGGGGCTAATGTTGCACAGCTGATAGATGGGAAGGAAGGAGGGAAGGAAGGAAGGAAGGAAGGAAGGAAGGAAGGAAGGAAGGAAGGAAGGAAGGAAGGAAAAGACAGCTGACTTCAATTTATTTGCACCCACATTTTTCTTCCGTTCTTCTCCCTTTTCTGTCTCTCCCTCTGCAGGGAAGCCTTTCATCCCTAAAATTCCCAAGAAAGAAATCGTCAAAGAGGAAGACGTGATTTTGGAGCCGGAACTGGAAGAAGCTTTGGCCAATGCCACCGACGCCGAAATGTGCGACATTGCAGGTAAAATGGGCCCACAGACGCCAAAGAGCGACCTGCATCCAAGGTCCCGTGGAGCCTCCCCAGCCGGGGGCAGTTGGCTGTGAACTGCCGCTGTTGTGGGTTGGGTCCAGTCCCGCTTAGGATCAATGCACAGAAAAAAAAGCTTTGGTTTTGGGGGCGCAGCTCCTTCGTAGACCTGCAGGATAGAAATCCTTCCGCATTCTGCAGAGAAGAGGCCTCGTCTGGCCCAGAGAAGCAGGAGGGCAGGGAGGGGGTGTCAGCAGCCTGCCCCACATCCCCGCTCAGCAAGGAAGCCTCTTCCTCAGCAGGTGTAAGCTGATAGGGCAGCCGTGTTTCTGATTTTAGCCCCTGCCCGGCACTCTGCCAGCTCCCCTCTCGGTCGCCTGCTCCACTTTAGAATCGTGCCTGATTTTGCAGCAAGCCTGGGTTTTCTTTTTGTTTCGTTTTTTTCAAACCATCTGGGCTTGTTTTCCTTCTCCTTCCTTGCAGCCATCCTGGGCATGTACACCCTGATGAGCAACAAGCAATATTACGATGCCATCTGCAGCGGCACCATCAGCAACACGGAAGGCATCAACAGTGAGAGGCTTGGTTTGGGTTTAGGAGAGGAGGCCCTTTCCCATCAAGTTTCTAGCCCTCATGAGAGCCATGCCTTCCCCTGCCTTGGCTGCGGGAGAAAGAACCAGGATCCCCCTACTCAATCTTTCAGCCCAGAACACCCCCCACATTCCGCCTGGGGTCAAGAAACTGTCTTGCTTGGCTGAACGCTGTCTCGTCCACTACACAGCTCATCATCCCCTGCTCCCCTCAAAAGCCAAGGGGAGGACCACCCTGGGGAGCAGAGGAGGGTGGTCTTCAGGCCAGGAGCCTCGGTTGGCTTCCAATATCGTCCTTCGGCCAAAACTCAGGACTTGAGGGTGAGGTCAAGAAGTGAGAAGAGGGTCACTCAGCCCCTTTTCTTCCCCCCCCGCCCCAATTCTCTTCTGCGCAGGTGTCGTCCAGCCGGACAAATACAAGCCTGTCCCGGACGAGCCTCCCAACCCCACCAACGTCGAAGACACCCTGGCGAAAATCCGAAGCAACGACAGAGACCTGGATGAGGTGAACCTGAATAACATCAAGGTCGGTGTCAAATGGCAACAGGACCCCCGCGGTGAATTGGCCAAAAGAGCAATGGGGAGAGCAAAGGACGTGTCCCCTCTACAGACTTCCCCCCCCCCTCTTCTCTCGGCAGGACATCCCCATCCAGACATTGAGAGAGATCTGCGAAGCCATGAAAACAAACACTCAGGTGAAGAAGCTCAGCTTGGTGGCCACCAGAAGCAACGATCCGGTGGCCCAGGTAAGTGCCCAAGGTCCTATCTCAGGGACCGGCACCCCGAACCCATGGAGTCTGGCTCCCCGTGGGGGCCGATCCCCCCAGTGACGCTCTCCTCCGACCCCTTTTTCTAGGCGGTGGCCGAGATGCTAAAGGAGAACAAAACTCTTCAGAGCCTCAATATCGAATCCAACTTCATCACCAGCGCAGGGATGATGGACGTCATCAAAGCCATGAAGGAAAACGGCACCCTGTCTGAACTGAAGGTGGACAACCAGGTGAGGGGCTTTCAACTTTAAGCGGGTGGACTACCATTCCCAAAATTCCCCAGCCAGCTGGGGAATCCTGGGAGCTTAAAGTTGACACGGTTCAGAAGTCGGACACCACCAAGTCACATTTTGGGGTCCTGCATTCCCCCAAATGGGGAACAATTACATTTTAGAATATTCCCCCCCCTCAAGTTTCCACTTCACACTACTTCTCCTGTCTCCCCCCCCCCCCCAGCGCCAGCGGCTGGGCGACTCAGTGGAGATGGAGATGGCCACCATGCTGGAGAACTGCCCCTCCCTCACCCGGTTCGGGTACCACTTCACGCAGCAGGGCCCAAGGGCCCGGGCCTCCATCGCCATCACTAGGAACAACGAACTGCGTAGGTTGGCCGAGAGTGGGGAAAAGAGAGAGAAGGAATAATGGGGTGCAAGGAAGAGGGAGGGGAAGGGAGGGAAGGGGAGGAGAGGGAGGGGGGATGGGCTAGATCAATGGGGGGAGAGTCTTTTGCCCAGCCACCTTGCTTTTCAACTCTTTTTCCCTTTCGACAGGACGCAAACAGAAAAAGACATAAATTGCTGGGCACCATCATATTTGCCGCAGCTCCGGCATCTCCCCACGGCTATTCCTCCAGAGCAGCCCAACAGCCATTTTGGGGCCCATGTGCCCAACTCAGGTTTTTTTCCTCCATTCATCTCCAAGGGCCCCCCCCCCCCGTCTCTCAAATACCTCTGTAAATAAAGCGATCTGAAGGATGCTACCCCTTCCCCCCCTCAGTGCCTTTCTTTCCTTAACTAAAGGGGCCTGGGTCTTTGGACTGGAGGGAGGGAGGGGCTTCATTCGGAACTGGCTTGGTGCTCCAGTCCTCAGCAAAGGCTGCTGAGATCCTTCTGAGATGAAAATGGCTCCAAGATTTGGGGAGGGTAAGACCTGTCAAGGCAATGGCTAACAACCTTGGGTGAGGGGAGAGAAATAAAAAGCAGTTGGGGGGGGGCTGGGGAGGAAGGAGCAAATTGCCCTGGTCTTCCTCTCTGCCGGCTGGGCTTCTGGTGGCCCAGGGCAGCCATCCCCACCTGAAACCAGAGAAGACCCGGGCTGGCCGCTGGCCGAAGAAGCTGCCACGCTAGAGAATTATCCCAAGCAGGTGCTGGTGCTGGGTGCCACCCCCACCCCGTCCTTGAGACGCGGCAGGCGAAATGGGAGAACCCCGGGGTCGGGTTGCACAAGATCCTGGAATGGTTCCTGGAGGAGGAGGAGGGGGAGGAGGGAGGGGGAGAAGGAGGAGGGGGGGGGTCCCAGGTCTCTGAAATCCCGTAGGACGCTGCAAATCCTTGCCTGCAGGGAGCATGCAAGGAACAGCTTTTACAGTAAGTAAAGAAGATCACAAAGAAGTTGCTTTTCAAATTGCTCTATCCACAGGGTCATTCAGGCACCAGATTATAAACTGTGAGTAGGAAAACGAATGGGAGTTTTAACAACATTAACCTGGCCCCAAGTTTCCAAATTCTCAGATCTAAATTCTCTCGGACAATCAATCTACATGGAGTTTGGTCCTTTTTAGTTTCCAAAATAGAAAATCCGATCCCTGTCTTGGTGGTTCTGAATGCAGCGCACAACGTAAATAGAAGCAGCAGCCGAGCTCCCGAGGCCAATCCCAGCTGTTTATCCATCCAGCTGAAGAGCAGCAGTTCCCCTAAATTCTATTTTTAATTTACTTTAAAGATGTCTTAATGGCTTTTCTCTCCAGCCGCTGCCTTGCTCAGAGACTGCTTGGAAACCTCCCAACGAACTTAAAGAATGCGTTGTCAGAAATGCACCAATGGAAACAAAATGCAAACTGCAACCACAGAGAAATAAAAGTGAATAAAACCGCACTACTAAAAGCCAAAAGGTGGGAAAACGATGCCTTAAATGCACAAAGGTCACAATGGCCGGGCCCAAAGTGTCTCATGCATTTTCTGATAGTTAATTCCTGATTTCCGGGTGTCCCTTGCACACTTCCAAGGCACGGCCGGTGGGGGGGGGGTTTTCCATCCGCCATCAGGGCGCGGGCAGCATCGGGGGCTCCTCCTCGTCCGAATCAAACTCCACGTTCTCGTCTTTGACCCACTTGCCCGACCCATCCTGAATCCACCCCGAACTGCAAGACAGGAAGGAAATTGCGCTGAGGTAGGAAAGCCCAGAATAGCCCCGAATCCTCGCAGAATCTTCCCTGGAGTTACCTTTTCAGCCTCAGGAAGTGCTCTAAGGCACGCTGCTTCTCCGGATCATTGGGCTCGGACGATTTCCGTGTGATGCGCCCCTTTCCTTGACGGACAAACTTCCTCTCTCGAGTCTCTGCGAGAAAGAACAGCCATAAAAATGACTTTAAGACTTTGTTTGTGGGTGACACCACTGTGGATGGCAATGGTTGTGCAGAGGCAACCAACCGGGGTTTGTTTGTTTATTATGAAATTTATTTGCTGCCCTTCTCGTATCCAACGACTCTGGATGGCTGTAAAGCAATAAGCCATGGTTAAGCCAAGTTTCATGCACAAATGTTGCTTCTTGGACCTAAACTAGGTTCATGTCCCACGTTCCCTTTTCCTGGCTAACTCTGATCCTTTCCCAGCTCGGTTGCCTCTTAGAGTTTACGTTCCCTGCGAGGCAGACCGCCCATCTCTGCGCATTTTTTGCCTGGGGTTACTGTCGCAAGTTCTCGAAACGGCTTCTGACCTGCTGTTGAGAGTCTGCAGCCGGACGAATGGACAGCGGGGCTGGCTTCCTTTTCAAACTGCCGTTCTTCGTCCACCAAATCAGAACTTGAGGGTTTGGGCATCCCGGTGGTCTCGGCTGCTCCGGAGCCGGCATTCACCCCCGAAGTGCTGGCACCGACCTGATTCCTGCGCCAGATCAGAAACCACAGAGATCCAGCCTTTAATATCAACCGACCTTCCTGGTAAGCAGAGAAACAGCAGTCGGCCTTCTCCAGATGTGGGTCTTGACTCTTACCTTTTGGGGCGGCAGCAGCTGCTGTAGGGCACGGTTTTCAGCAAGGCATTCTGGGTGATCCTCCTCGTTTGGGCTAGCAAAGGGGCCGGTCCTTGAGCTACCTAAAAAGCAAAGCCAGAATCTGGCGGGTTTTTAACGTGCCAAGTTCTCAGCAGTGATTCTAATGCATTTATTTCAGAATAAGGGCTTTTTTTTTTTTTTTTTTTGAAGAGATGAGGGAAAGAGCAGCGGGGCTGTCTGGCCAGGATCAGAACGCAGCTCAGAACTACCTGGGTGCCGCTTTCTTCTGCCTCCAGGTACGCCTGCTGCTGACGCTTCTGAATCTCGTTCTCGAGAGAACGCTTCTTCCCGTAAAACTTCTGCAAACCTGTGAATGGAGAGGGTCAAACAAGGGCTCGGCAGCCGGTCTTATAAGCCATCTGGGGGAAGCAGAATCTCAGGGCCTCAGTCTTCCCCGTCTGTAAAATGGGACTAAGCTCTCTGCGGTTTGTAAAGGCGTGCTAACGGACTTGGCAGAGAGCCCCACCAAGTTCAGACCAAGGGTTAAGTCATTACCCCGGTGCTGAGTGTGATACCGAAATTAGCTGAAGTCCCGAGCCCTGGAGGATCCTGGCAGACTTACTGGCTAAGTGTTTCTTTCCAGAACGATGAACTGTGAGCATGTCCAGAGTGTCAAAAACTGGCCTTTGGAAGCAGATGGTGCAGGAATACCTAGAAAAGGCAGGGAGCAAAGTGGGGCCTGGCTGTGGGGACAGTCTTTGCATACACACACACACACACACACACACACACACACACACACACACACACCCCATACCTTGCGCACAGATCAGGCTTAGCCCAGCCAGATCATAGCCCAGCCAGGCAGCCCTCACCTGCCATCGCGCAGCAGCAAGGCTTCGTCCTCGGGGATGTAACTGGCCAGAAGCTCGGCCACCCTCCGTTTCTGCACAGGGGGCAAAGAAGGCGGAAACAGGGGAGGCGTGCTTGGGGAATCACGGGAGAGAGAGACCCCAGAAAGTAAAGATTCCTGGGCATCTTTACAACAACCCAGCGAGGGAGAGCCGGTGGCTGTAGTCCTGCTCCGGGGAGGGAGGGAGGGGGTGAAAGGAAGAGGGCGAGCCCTCCTTCTCTTAACCTAGTCGCCCCCCCCCCGAATAGTGGCCTTCCTGAGTGCTGGACTACAATCCCCATCTTCTGGCTATAGGTCTGCACTCTGCACATGCTCCGGCACCGCCCGGGCATTGAAGAGCACGTGCAGAGAGCTGCGAGCAAAGGACGGGGGGCCACCAGCCGAGGACCCCCTCCTCACCTGGAGCACCTGGAGCTGGCTGGGGTCGTCGCCCTCCCGCTTGAAGGACATGCTCACCCCGCCGCTGCCCCCCGCCTGGGAGAGGAACGGGCTCTCTTCCCGCAGGGACTTCCGAACCCCGACTACATTTCCCAGCAGGCCGCGGGCTGTCCGAGTCCTTCCCCGCTCCGCCAATCAGGGCACGATTCCTGGCAGACCGGCAGGGGGAGCTCCAATCCGCCTTTCTCGACTTGCAAGCGAAGGACTCCATTTCCCAGCAGGCCGCGCGGGAATTTCTGTTTGCTTTGGCTGCTGCGAAAACAGAGCCTAGAAATCTTGCAAAATGATCCTTAATAATAAAGGATTATTAAATTATTATCCTTAATTATTATCCTTTCCTCTCCCATTGCAATGAGAAAGCGCTCCTAAATTCGGATAGATGAGTCCTTAGAGGAAAAAAAAGAGGAGCCTTTCCTTCCACGACTACAGCCCCCATGCTCCTTTGCGGGAGGGGTAGCATGGGCCATGTAGTCTGCCCTCTGGGGCTCCTCTGCACCCCAAACTCAGGGGGAAGGCCGGGAGGGGGCAGGCACTTCCATGGGAAAGCAGCCAGGATCGACTCCCGAGGAATATTGAAAAGATTGAAACTTATTTGAGGCGGAGGGAGGAGAGGCTGGGGGCAGGGGGGTGCCAGGACCACAACTCCCGGCAGCCTTTGCGGGCGATCAGCTGGCCGGGAGGGCGGGGCCAGCCGGGGCTTCTGCTCAACTGCCTGCCGGAGCGCCGCAGCCGCGATCTCGGGCGCGGGCGAGGAAGAAGAAGAAGAAGCGGGGCGGGGGTCGCCATGGGGCCGCGGGGGACCCTTCTGCCCGCCGCGCGGAAGCCCCGGACCCCCCTGCCGAGGGGCGCCTGCTGAGATGCCCGGGCGGGCGACGGGGCAGCAGCTTCCCTCCGGCTTCGGAGCCAGCAGCGGGCGGCGGGATGGCCTCCCCCTCCGGGCAGGGGTCTCCGGGCGCCGCCGGGCTGCTGCGAGGGACTCGGACGCGCTCCTACGGCAGCCTGGTCAGCTCCCCGGTGCGCGAACGGCGGATGGAGCACCAGCTGCGTCCCGGGGATACCCTGCAGGGCCTGGCCGTCATGTACGGGGTGACGGTGAGCGGGGGGGACGGCTGCATGCCCCCTCCCCGGGCTGGGCTGCAAAGGCAACCTCTGAGCATGCACAGAGTGGGAAAAGGGGCCGACGCTCAGTGTTAAATGGATCCGAAGGAGACAGTTCCTCCTGGTTCTGAGATAGACTGCCTCTCCCTGTGGAAGCTCCGTTATTGCGGGTGCCCTTTATCCCATCTCCCTTTTAAGCCCTCCCAAGCTGGGTAGCTCCTCTTCTAAACCAGATCCCCAAATCTGCAGGGAAGTGGAGGTTTTTTATAGCCACAAGTCCCATAAGCCACAGCATGTGGCCCAGCACCACAAGGTCAGGGACTGCCCGTGCAGATTCTCTCCAAAATGTTGCCCCTAAAATCAGCCAGGGGACTTGGGCTTTACAATCCGAAGGTCCCCGACTTAAAATTTGGCAGAGAGGGCCGAGGAATGCTGTGTCTGCTCAGGGCGTATTTTTTGACCCATGAGGACTTGCAGCCTTCTCCATTCCTTTTCCAGACGGAGCAGATCAAGCGGGCCAACCGGCTGTACACCAATGACTCCATCTTCCTCAAAAAGAATCTCTTGATCCCGGTGCCGACCAAGCCCAAAGCTTTGTCCAACGGACTGAACTTTGAGGAAGAGGAGGAGGAGGAGGAAGAGAAGGCAGGGGAGGCCCTCCCATCCGAATCAACCAAGAAGCAGAAGCAGCCCCGGAAGAACGGCTCTTCGGGGGGATCGGTCCCCAAACACGACCTCTCGGCTGCCGATTTCCTCTTCAAACTGGATTCCGAGATCCGCCGATCGAAGCAAGCGGCGGTCAAGAAGCTGCGCGAAGGGGAGAGTGGGTGAGTGAGTGGGGGGGATTTGCAGGGAGAAGGGAAATGGGGTCTATGTGTGTGTGTGTGTGTGTCTACATGCAGGCAGTGCAGGTCCGGGCTGCTTGCATGGAGCACTATTTTAGGTAACTCGGCGCAAGTGAGCCAAGCTGCATTGGGGAATGAATAATTTGAATCCTTCTCTGGAAGCAGAAGTGTGGACGTGTCTGCTTGGGAGAGGAAAGGCTGACCGCAGCTTTTTATTATGTTCGCTACCTAAAAAACGGGTAAGGAGGGAAGGCCTGAGCCAGGCATGGATGAGGCACCACCAGGTAATTCCAGGCCAGCAGGATATTAATGTTTCAGGGAGGTGTTTGTGAGGCTCACCTTTTATTAAACCTGGCTCATTGTTCAGGCCTCTATGTGGGCCACCAGGGGGCGCCCTTGCTCTGAACACCTTCCCTCCAGCCCATTTGTGTGTTTTTACATTCTTGCAAAAGACACACATGTCCTAACAAGAGCAGCGTTGCAGACAAGGACTCTTAAAATCACTAATGGGGAAATGTAGCAGCTTCCTGTGTTTCCCTCCGACCGCAGTTGAATTTTTATTTTAGACATTTGGTTTAATTTCTACAGCCGCCCAGCTCAAGAAGTGACTTGAGATAGTCAATAGTTAAAAACTATTAAAACAACCAAGAGAAAATAAATATAGGCGGCACCAAGCAGAGCTATTACTATGGACAGTCGGGCAACCAAGTAGGTGGCTTGGCAGTAGAGTGCCTCTCGCTCTGGAGGTTCGCAATCTGTGCCACTCAGTTCACCCACTCAGCTAAAGGTGTTTTCTTGAAGTGCCTCAGTTTCCCCTCCCCCAGAAGCCAGGATGGCGCTCCTGGTCTTCCCCGGCCCCCACTGGCACCTGGTGCCATTCTTCTCTCTCTCTCTCTCTTCCCCCCCTGCAGGATTTTGGGGGAGGCAGCGGGAGTGAGCCCCACGCCTTCCACCTCCGGCTCCTACCAGGGTGAGTCTTCGCCCCGGAGCCAGCAGCGGGTGGTCCTTGGCCCCGTGCCTCTCACCAGGATCGCCCGTGCCGACGCTCTGCTGGACCAGGAGGACGAAATCTTCAAGCTCTGAGGCCCCCCCCCCCCCGAGGCCGCCGGCATCACCCGGACCCCCGCCGTGCTACGGGGAGGAACGGATGCTGCCCGAATGGACCCCTGGAGCAGCGGATCCCTCCTCGCCAGCTCTGGCTCCAGTTCTGCTTTCCTTGGACACCCCCTGCCAGTCGGCCAGGACGATGGACACCTGAGTGGATCCCTTGCTTCATTTCAGCCCCCCCCCCATCCCTGCCTCTCTCCCTCTTCCAGGTATTTATTGCCCCCTCCCCGGTATTATTGCCTCAAGTGCTTCTTTGCCCAGTAGCTCCACCTTGGGGGGAAGAGCCCCACACCTGCGCCTCCTCCGTCTGCCCTCCCAAGCTGGGTTTGGGCCCATCCCGAGGACCCCAGAGGGAAGATTCCTGGAAGAGCTGTGGAGTATGGGCCAGAGGGGAGGCTACTGAGCAGCCCTTCCCTCCCCCCCACCCACACTCCGTCTTCTGTGGCCCCTATTCTCTGATTAAACAGGTTTTGCGACTTGGGTCTGCTGCCGTGCTCAGTTGTCTGAATGTTTTCAAGCAGGGCTCCCCCCCAAAAAAATGTCCTGGGGGTCGCCAGCAGCCCCAGGAATCCCCCTCCCCCTTCAGCGTCCCCAGGAGTCTCCCAGCCACATCTCTTGAGTGATTCCCTCGGTCAGCTCAGGTTGATCTGAGCGGGATCCGGTTACCTGCCTGACACTCCTGCAGTGGCGTCTCCAGAGAACGGCTTTCCTGGCTGAGGGTGCCTGTTGCCTCTCCTGATGAGTCCCTGGCTTGAGGCAGGGGCCTTTTTTTTCCCCAAGAGGAAAAAAAACCAGAAGCACAGCCCTTGAAAAACCAAAATAAGTGTATTTTCAGATTTTGCGTTCCCTGAGACAAAAATTCTAAAGACAGAGGTAGGAAGGAGATGGGAGGTGTGTGTCGGGGGGGGCTCTTCTGAGTTCCTCCCACCCTGAAAGCCAAGCTAGGAATCCATTTGGATAATATCCAGAGGCTCAGAAAAGCACTCCCCCCCCACCTTTCCAGAGAGTTCCGGCCAAAGGGAAACGGGGGTCCCTTGAGGGCACAAAGCAGGTCTGGTTCTGAGTTTCTGCTCAGCAGATGCCAGAACCGGCACTTTCCAAGCATTGCTTGCTGGAAAAAGCAAAAAGGAAGAAAAGGATTTTTCACTTTCCCCTCTCTCCCCACTGATCACAATCCCCCCCCCCATTCAAGACGTGAAAAAAAAACTACATCCTTTGACCTTTTCATCCAGCTGAGGGAGCCAAGCTTCCATTCTAAGCTTCTAGTCCTCATCGATCCATTGCAAAGACAACCTGCTGAGTCCTTAGACCACAAAAGCTAGCTCAGAGGGGGGGGGTCTTCCAGGAATTTGAAACCCCCTCCTTTAAAATGTCCCCGGTATGAAGTCCCAGGCACGGAACTGGCGGAAGCCTGAAGTGGCTGTGAGTTCCACCGGCTGACCCAGAGATCACCCCCCTCCCCCCCCGGAGGGAGTCACAGCTTCCCTTGGTCCATGAGCTGGTTCAGCCCTTGGCAGACCCTCTCCAAGTGGGGCTCAAAGGGGCTCCCGGGGCTGTAGAGCTGGCCCAGCAGTTCGGTGTTGGCGAAGTGGTCGAAGACGTGGCGGATGCGGCCGTGGGACTTGGGGGTCAGGTGCTTCTCCACCAGTCGGAGCAGCAGGTCCCGGCACTCCCCCAGCAGCTGCACCAGCACGGCCCGCTCAAAGGTGAAGGCCACCTGGTGGAAGCTGACGGCCGTCATGGCGCCCTGGCGCAGCTTGCGCTTGAAGTCCTCGGCCACGGCCAGCTCGGCCTGGTTGAAGCGGCCATTGCGGAAGAGGATGGAGACCTTGACCGCCACCTTCACCAGGTTCTTGATCACCTTCTGGGAGGCCGCCCGGTCCTGCGTGTGCTCCTTGGAGATGCGGTAGAGGTCATCCAGCACCGCCCCGCTGGTCTCGTCGATGAACATGGTGACGGTGGACTTGGTGGCCATGTGGCTGAGCAGCTTCTTTTCCACCTGCAGGGCCAGTTTGCGCGAGTTGAAGGCCTCCATCGCTGCTGCAGGGGAGGGGGAGAAGGAGGGTGAGGAGGTGGGGACACGAGGGTGGGAGACCCCCGGCTCTGAGCAGGTGGCTGCCCAGGGGACCCCCTTGAGCCAAGGGGACGTTTCCAACCCCGTCCAAAAAGTTGAAGAACCCTCGCAACCTCATCTGTTTTGCAGCAGGAAACAGGACTATTATATATATATATATAAATAAATCAGTTTTGTCTGCTGCCTCAAATCTGGTTTTTTGACATCGAGGAAGTGCCTGAAATGGATGCCACATTAAGTAAGGCTCGGTTTTAAAGTATATTTTTTGCCCATTCTGCTGCTTTGCTTCCTCTGTGTACCAAGCAGTTCCCCTTCCGGCCTCTCCCTCCCCTTGCCTCTTTGTTCCTTTTCGCCTGCCCGGGGAAGAGACCTGTGTGTCACCACAGCTGGCCCATTCTGAGTGGGCCCTGGTAGAAATAGTGGAGAAGAGACAGGAGCCTTGGGTACCCAATGCAGGATTTGCCCCTTGCCCTTTGCCAGGAGTGGCTTTGATGAGCCTGCCTGCTTTAAAAACAAAACAAAAAAAAAACCCATTTCCCCCCCCCCCTTTTGTCCTCCTGGCCACTTGTTTTCCCTGCTGCTCCAGGTGCCCTGGGGGCTTCCTGCTTGTAGCTGCATCCTGTGGCCTTTTTCGGATCTCCAAGAAGGGAGATGCATTGGCCCTTAAAGGGCTGAAAAAGTCAGGAAAACGCAGACCCAGCCAGAGATGGGGGAGTAAAACTGGGGGGGGGGGGCTGAACAGCGATGCCACCAAGTCTGGTCCTCATTTTCTTCCCCCTTGCTCTCCCAGAGATGCTGAGGACTACAGGTGGAATCTCCTGGAAGGCTTGGAGGAGAGAGAGGAAAAGGGTGCCTCTGAACATCTGCAGAGGGCTATGCCCCCAAAGACGGGATCAGTGGCTTGCAGGCAGCCCGGTCCAAGAGCTGAAGAAGAGGCAGGCCAGAACGGAGGGAGGGAACCGGAGTGGGCGCCTGCTAAGGGGCATCCGGCGCGAGCCTCTTGGCTTTCAAAGCAGCTGCCCCACCCCGAGCCCCCCCAGTTGCGGAACCAAGACGCTGGAGGCGGCGGAGCTCGGCACGTGCCGCCCCGGGGCCGAAACCGAAGCCCGTTTCTCACGCGCGCCTGGCACGCCGCTGTCTCCTTAAAGATGCGTCCTCGGGGGAACAGGAGTGCAAGAATCCCGGAAAGGGGTGCCTCGCCCTGGGACGTCTGGAGGGGGGTGCTCAGGGAGGGGGAAGGAAGAAGCACGCTTTGCGTATGCCCAGAGACACGCCTGAGCCTCTCCAAGCCGCCTTCCGCCTTGAATGAAGAGCGCGCGTCTCCTGGCGCACAAAAACCCAACTTTCTGGCAAGCGGCAACCTCCCCGGTTTTTCTTTCGCCAGCCCGGCGACTCAGACCGGGAGCCGGTTGCAACACGGGGGGGACGAGGGGGGCATCGAAGCCACCCCCTCCCCAAAGGAAAGGACGAGGCTCCATCCCCTGCCCCCAGAAACCTCCCCGGCCACCCCAAAGCGCGCGGCGCGCACTCACCGGAGCCCCGCGCTTCTGCTGGCGCACCCGAGCCGCCCCAGCCGGCTTTGCACCCCGAGGGCGGGAGAAGAGCCGCGGGAAGGTCCCCCCGCTCGGCTCCCACCAAGACTTCCTCCCGCGGCGAGCCCGCCCCATCAGCTGACCCGCCGGAGCCACAGTCGGCGCACCCCCGGAGCTAGGCAGCCGAGAGACGCCGGCGAAGCTCCCGCCGGGGGCCAGACGGGAAAACTGGACGGTCCACATAGTTGGCGCGCCGCGTCACCCGGGTGCCCGCACCCCCGCGGCCGCTTTCTTCCCCAGAAGGTCTCGTCTGAGGCCTCTGCTCACTCTCTGGGCAGACACGTGTCCGCGCCTGTTCTCCTGGCTGGCCGGGGTCCATCCAGGTGGCCTTTGGCGCCCGGCCCTTTCCTGGAGGCCTGGAGGAGCCCCCTCCCTCCTACCTGGAAAGTGGGGGAGCTTTTGAAAACCGCCCTGGGGATCTCAACACGTGACCCCAGGGGGATGCCTGGGTTAGCTGGATGCCAGGCACTTTCGGCTGGCCAGTTGTGCCTGTGAGGTCATCTGGACAGGATCTCTGCTTGCAGGGAGTTTATGAGTGGGGCTGATGGCGCTCAAGGCAGGGAGGAGGAGGAGGAGGAGACAAAGTTTGTGAGCATAGCTAGAGATCCCTGCTTGCAGGGAACATAGGTGCCCTCTTCACTTTGAAACACTGATTGTGGCCTTGTGCAGCTTGGCTCACTCACATGAGCCACACGAGGCTGGAGATGCTTTTCCCTTCAACTGGGCTCTTCAAGGTTTTCTTTACAACTGAGCACCCCCAAATCACCTGGAAGCAAGACCCCAGGACAGAGTGACTGTTGAGTTGAATTTCCAATACTGAGTAATTTCCCCCCCCCCAATTTTAACCCTAAATCTGATGGTGGGGGGAGGGTTGTCCCAAAGCAATTGGATCTGACTTGCTTCCAAAGAGACTGAAACTGACAAGACACTTGCGTGCTTCAGGCTTCCTTGTCAGCAGTGTGGTTTCTCAAAAAGCAACACAACAGCACAAATTCTGACCACTCCCCTGCCAGTTTCTCCTTTTTTCTCTGAAAAGTTCTCAATAGACAAAGACAATGGGGCCACATAACTCTGCAGAGGAAGCCAATCCCTTCTCAAGGTGCTCAGGGAAAGAAGCAAGGGCAAAATTAGGATGGTCATACACACACACACACACACACACACACACACACACACACACACACCCCTTATGCACACAGGCTCTTCCATCCCTGTTTATGGGCCTGTCTGCCAAGGCTGGGCTTTGAAGGCTCTGCTTACCCAGCCGGGCCTGAAACTTTAAAGCCGGAAGTTGAAAAGAGGAAGAGTGGAAGGAAACCACAACAGGCAAAAAGGAAGTGAGTGGGGGGGTGAGGGATGAGGAGAAAAGAGGGGGGGATTTTGCAAGAGAGTCTGCGCCATCATGATTACAGTTCAGTCTTGTTTTTCAGTCTAACTATTGGAAGGCAGGAACCCCCCCCCCCAAGGGCCTGGCTCAGGGGAGAAAAATCCGCTTTTTTTCAATCAGCAGCTGTTAAAAGTAAATGTTTAGTATTGATGCACAAACACACCGATGCACATAGTTCATAATTGGGTTTGCTTCCGGTTTCCGGTGGGGGCATTTTAAGGGCTGCCCCAAAAGCAGAACCCTTCAACGTTCCTGTACAAAATGAGAGAGATGATCTGAGCAGCTTCCTAAGGTCTAGAAATTTGACTTGCTTCTGTTATTTGCACATACACAAACACACTGATTAACTAATCTCCAACTGGACACCCATTTCCTACTTTAACAGGAGGCTGTTCCTTATCTGCCAACCCCCTTGAAGTGAGAAAGGCACCAACAGCCTTCAGAGGGAAATCCCCTAAGAATATTGCAGGGGAATTTAATTTATTCCTCCTCTTCGAATGAGGCTGACCAAATAATTCAGAGTAACGCAAAGCAGAAACTTTAGCCAAGGCTGAAATCTGAAAACTCCCTGTTTTGGCTACGAAGAAGCCCAGGATCAGCAGCAGAATCATGAGGACTAGCGATGCCAATTTCTTCATTTTAAAGGAGGTGGCAAGGAGTGAGAAAATGGGTGTGAGACTGTACAAGGGGGCCTCCCCAGCTGCTCCTTTTGAAGATGGAGTTTTCTTCCAGGCAGAAATGGAGATGGGGAGCCACTGACAGCTGAGATGCCCCCCTTCTCAGGGCAGAAACCCCCCCACCAGGCCCACTTTTAATGCTTCAGCGCTTCTGAGCCTTGGAATCAGACCTGGTCACCTGCCTGGGGTGGCAGGGGGAGCTTGTGCCCTTACTCTCAACTCTCCCCACCTTGCAAAGTTGCTGAGAAAATGCAAACAGCTCCAAATTTACAGAACCAACCTGGATCCATAGCTAGATCTGCCTGCAATTGTGGAGCAAAAGGGACAACGGGGCCATCCCATTTCTAGCCACCGGAGGGCGGTGTTCACTACCCTTTGGAAAAATCTGTTTTTCTTCCACCAAAGATCCTGAGCTGAATTTGACCAAAGGGATGAAAAACGCCATCAATTAAGAACAATGACAACCCCCCCTCCCCAGCTCTGCCTTTTTTGTTTATTCCCCTCCTGATTCTGTTTTGGAAGATTCAAGTTTCTAGTCCTCTTGGTTGCATTGCCATGAGACCTCTGCCTGCCCAGGTGAAGCCAGGGGCTCAGGATGGAGTAATCACTAAATTGGGGGGTTTGGTTCCGAGCCCCCCCTCTTCCAATTCCATGCTCCTGGCACCTGCCACGTGTGCCAATGTGTGCCCCTGGTTTAATACGTCCTTCCAGCTGGGGCACATCCTTGCCTGCCTCCACACTTCAGCCTTGCCAGGTGGTTAACGGGGGCGTATTATGAAGATCTCCAGGTGGGCACGTCTCCCCCTTGCGTGTTTTGGCATCACCAGTTGCTATTCTTAACTTGCCACCTCTGGCACAGCTGTCCTTCTGTCCCCCCCAAAATCTTCTCTGGGCTGGAAGAAGGGAGAGCCGAAAAGTTAAGCCTTTTAAGTATCTCACCACTTTGCACTTTAATAAATTCCTTTCCCTTCATATTATTTTTCCCTCCCAGCGCCCCCGGGAGAACCAAATTCTGAAAATGAGAAATTGAGATTGGGGGGGGGGTGGCTGAAGAGAGAGGAAGAAACAGGCGGCGGACATGAATTAATCAGGCAAAGTCTTATGAGAAATTATTGCTTTGGGGACTTTAATAAAACAGGGAGCGAGATTCTGTGCCATCCGGGGGCAGAATAAATGGTGGAAAGCTGCAAAATTGGAAAGACAAGGCTTTCAAGCTAGGAAACGGCAGACTGGGGAGGGCATATCAGCTATTAGGCTCCAGCTGAGAGAAATTATTATTTTTCCAGAACTTTTCTTAATTTATTTCCTTCTTTTTTCTTCTTTTCTTCTTCCTTCCTTCCTTCCTTCCTTCCTTCCTTCCTTCCTTCCTTCCTTCCTTCCTTCCTTCTTTCCTTCTCCTTTTTCTTCCTTCCTTCTTGGGGGATGGGCAGCCAAGGAAAGGAGAATGGAGCCTCCACCCTCAGGAGCAGTCTACCAGAAATATACATCCCTTTCTTGAACTCAGAGCGGCAGGAACTTCTGGGTCTTTGGTCTTTGCTGCTTCCATTGTTCAAAGAGATTTCCTCCAGGGAGAGAAGCAACCTCCATTTTGCTTCACGTCGCCCCAGTTTTCCTGGAGGGCTGGCACGGCTTGACCAGACCCCCAGCAGCCCTTCCTTAAATGGGAAGCTGTACAGCAAAGCCCAACTTGGCTTTATCCACCGGGAAGGAAAATGGCAGCGTTTCCCCTTTGCTCGGTGACTTTCCCCACATCCAGAGCAAAAATAAATAAATATGAAACGGCCATTGAAAAAATAATAATGACCAGCAAGCACAGGAAGAGCTTGGCGGTTCCATTTCCAGTTTTACAATGCCTTTTCCTGCACAACTGCGCTGTTGTGCATCGCCTCGGCTGGACATCATTCTGGTAAAAATCTGCTTTTAGAGGAGGGGGCTTCCCTGCCCCTTTTCTCCCCCCCCCCCCGTTGCCATTGCATTCATCTGCCTCTTTTCCACACCAGCAGCTGGAAGAGGAAATTCTGTTGGGGACTGGATGTTTTTCCAGCTGGTTGCCTTGATGGCTTGTGTGTGTGTGTGTGTGTGTGTGTGTGTGCACGCTTGTGTGCTTGTGGATCCCACCAAGAAAGGTAAAAATAATGCACTGCCCTAATTCTGGGTCTTGTGTGCAGCGAAAAAAAACCTGGTGCTTCTTTACTAAACAGAGCAAAAGTTGAGTTAACTTGTCTTGGGGGAGCCAAGCAAGATTTACCCACTTAGTTCAGGGGTGTCCAACCTTGGCCACTTCAACTCCCAGAATTCCATGTGTGGCTGGCTGGGGAATTCTGGGAGTTGAAGTCCACAGGTCTTAAAATTGCCACGCTTGGACACCCCTGACTTTGTTCAGATTTCCTGATTCCGAGGCGATAAAGTGGATTACTTTTGCTCCACCCTAAAAATAGATCCTAATCTTTGTTTAGAACAGATGAGGGTGCCACACCTGGGAAGGAGGCCATGAGGCCTGCCAGGTGCCCCCTCTGCAGGGCCAGCCCCCACCCCAGACCCTGGCAGCCCTGTTAACTGTCGCTGCCTCTATTTATGACCGTGATGGATGGGGAGAAGGACAAAAGGGTGTGGGTTGCTGTGTTGCTGGGTGTGCAGGAAGAGCCGCTATTGTTCTGACACACACACACACAAGGGGAAGGAAAGTGCCTCCTTCGGCAGCAGAAGGAACTCTGAAGAATTGCATTCAGAGGCGGGGTGATTGTCTGCAGCCACACCATAACGTGTGTCTGGGGACATTGTTCCTTCCCTAAACCCTTTCCGTGCAATTCTTCTGAAGCCTTCCTACAGTGCTGAATGCGGCAGGCTTCCATCTTTGCGGATTTCCACGCAGATTTAACCCAAGGCGGAGTTGCTAGTCCTCAAGGTTCCGAGGAAACAAGTCAATGCGTTTGGCTCTTGCTTAGTATTAACAGCAGTAGCAACAGCAGCAGCTGAGACCTGATTTGAACCCCACCAGATATCAACAACAGATGCTCGGCTGCGAGGAGTTGGCTAGGTTCGTGAGACCGTAAGAGCCCTGGCAGGCAGCAAAGATCCCAACCTCTAACCATGGTTTGCAGCTCAGCCCAGAGTGCAAACCTGACTCATTTGGGGAGGGCAGTCTCTGGGCATCATGGTCAAAGCAACCCAGAGGTTCAGGAAGGATGTAAACCAGATTGACACCCACAGAACAAGCAGGTTCAAGCCATCATGGTTTGAAGATTGTGGGTTTGAACAACGGAGGGAGGGTGGGTAGCTGTTCTGCCTGCAGACGGATCAATGGACACCCCCCTCCCCTTTTGCTTCTGAGTTATTAATTTAAGAGGGCTAATGCCTGCTAATCTTCAAACACGCCACCTTCCAGAAATGAAGGAAGATTATCTATGAGCTCCAGCAAACCACCAGCCCCCTGCCTCCCCTTTCGCCCCGCTGATGACTCTGGCTATTTCTGGTTCCCCAAAAG